AACCCTAACCCTAACCCTAACCCTAACCCTAACCCTAACCCTAACCCTAACCCTAACCCTAACCCTAACCCTAACCCTAACCCTAACCCTAACCCTAACCCTAACCCTAACCCTAACCCTAACCCTAACCCTAACCCTAACCCTAACCCTAACCCTAACCCTAACCCTAACCCTAACCCTAACCCTAACCCTAACCCTAACCCTAACCCTAACCCTAACCCTAACCCTAACCCTAACCCTAACCCTAACCCTTTGTTAGGAGGTCTTGGGGGTCACTACTTGAGAATTGAAAAGGGGCCCTGTTCTTCAGCCAAAAGCAAGGTTACACAAGATTTGCTACCACATCAGCTATGCAAACCATAGGCTACAATCAACTTTCATTAAGTGCCCTACACTGGATAGTCAGCCAGATGTTGAGATATCACCACATTTTCCAACTTTTTACCCCCCGTCGCGTGAAAATTCCGTTATTCTAAGTTTCTGAAGCCGTTTCCGCACGGATTGCCAATCCAAGAGTACTTCAATTAGAGAATATGATATGGGGCCAACTTTTCAATTAGGACGCCAACTCCGGATCGGCACTAGAAAAATCCCAATTTGCACAAGTCCTATAACGTATATATAACATATATGTCCCCTTTATATCAACCCCCCCCCCCCCTAGTGGCACCCCTGCCGCCCCCCGTACCCGCACCACCGCCCATATGACCCATCACTTGCCCTTGCACACCTAGTCCTCCCCGACTTGCCTAGGTGCGCAACACCCCCCGCCACTACATCCCTCAGAGTCAAAAATTTGAACTGTAGAACACACCCAAAAGCCAAAAAACTCGAAAATTTCTAAGTCCCTAGGGTTCCAGGCAACCCAATAATAAAACCCAACCCAGGGGGTCTTGTAACCCTAACCCTAACCCTAACCCTAACCCTAACCCTAACCCTAACCCTGTCACTGAAACTAGGCCCTCATCGAAGCTTACACTCCCAAATCCCTTCCCCAAGGGCCCGAACATTGGGAACGTCTCATCCCCTGCCTCATCTCGTCCCCTCAGCACCGGGATATCCATGCTCCTGATCATCAATCCTATGTCGAAGGTATTCGACCGGCCCCCTGAACTCTCGTAGACCGCATCCTTCGCTGCCATGGTCTCCCAGTAAGCCTTCATCCCGTACTGCACTATCCTAACCATTCCCCCTTCAACGCATTCCGACAAGGTCCCAATCAGGGTATCCAACGCCACATGCTGTCTGCCCTGAATCGTGCTATTAGGGCTGTCACTCCCCCGCACAATTATTCCATGGTCCCTATATAATCCCTCAATGATCCCCTCTCTAACACCCCGACTCGGCGGGATGCTCAGTATGAACGGTTGGCTCACAACCGTAATCCATTCCTTATAGAATGGGTCATCCTTGAACGGCGGACGAGCGCCCGCCATTTGGACAATGGTGGACCTATCGAACAGCTGGTTAAGATCAGTTAAACTGATCGTAACCGCCATCCAGTCCACATCGTATTGATATGGGTGCATGGTGATATTTATTTTGCCCCCGGAAAAATCCCTCTGTTGTTGTGTCGAACGCAAGGTTTGAACCATGCACCCTCGGTTGTGAATTGAGTATCTTATGCAACTGCGCTATTTGCCATCGATGAAATGCATTGAAAACGTATTCGCCAGATAGGGCGCAGGCTAACCCTAACCAGTATGCGTGCATAGTAGAGTTGTATAGAGTGCGCTATGGGTGTCCGGGGACTATGGGAATTCATCTGTAGGGGGTTCCTAGGTAAAGGACATGTGTATGGACTGGCTTTAATGCATTCCAGGTGGTGTTGGATTTTGAGAAAAGCGTCAATCCTATTTTGTTTTTTGCATTTTCTGCAGCCGTTTACAGCTTAATTGCACATCTGAGATGACTTTAACTATGAGAACATATATCTGGCTACAACTTTCGTTACGCCCACATCGTGTTTCGGGTGGCGCGGGAAAAAGAAAAAAAAAAGTATCCCCAGCAAAACCGGGGTTGGAACTTGGGGCACTAGTTCAGATAACATTAGCACTTGCCACTATGCCAATGTCTGTCGGTAGAATGTTACCTGTGTTTGGTCAGGTCAACCAGACGGCGCAAAATGCAAAATTTTCGAAAATTCTCTAAGTCCCACCCATTGGAGCTTGCGGGTGCCATAGCTCTGTCAATAGTGATTGAAACTCCCTGGTTGCCCTTCCGTACCTATACTATCTTTTGAATCCGCACCATTGCCTTGGATGGCCAAGGTGGAACGGATGATGTAGTGCATGCGAATGGACACGCACCGCCGGTTTTTCGCATGTTTTGCTTGTAGATCGGCCAAAAACACTTTTTACCTGCACTTCTCAGCTTTTTGATTGTTTCCTGACACTGTCAAGCAATGCTAGACGTATTTGAAGACATTTTGAAGGAGGAAAAAAAGAAAAGAAGGCCTGGCCCCCTCTGAGAATCAAACCTGCGCCATGAGTCACCAAAATCTTTGAAAATTCTCTAAGTCCCACCCCTGGGGACTTACGTGTGCCATAGCTCCTTCAATAGTCATTGAATCTCCCTGGTTCCACTTCCGTAACTATATTATCTTTCAAATCCGCACAACTTTCCTCAGGTGTCCAAGGTGGTGCGGATGACATAGTGCATGCAAACGGACATGCACTGCATGCTTTTTGCATGATTTGCTGGTTGACAAACACCCTGTCATATCCATGTATTGCAATGCAAAAAGGCATTTGCCATCCTCCACCATCAGGAGGAGCAGTGGAAGAAAAGAAAGTATTTGGGCCTCAAAAGGATTTGAACATGTAGCAAATTGAGAGCAAACCAAAATGAGTCATTCGCCACCAACTGGAGAACACCCCCATATTGCCTGGAAACAAAAAGTGCCAGGAGTTGATGAATACTAGAGTAGATGAAGGTTCCTAGATGTTTTTGGGGATGTTTTCTGAGACATATTCCACTTCAAGCAAATTCCATCCACTCAGAGTTTCAGAAAATGCGTTTTGGTCACATTTTCATAGTAAAAAATCTGAAAAACGGATTTTCCGGGAGCATTGAGTGGAAAACATGCCCCAAAATTTTATGTACAGTACAGTAAGACGCCCCTGAACATTGCTAGCACCTATTTTTGACACTTTCCGGACCACCAAAAATAACCCATAACCCGGAACAGTCCTGTAACCCTAACCCTAACCCTAAGTCCCACTCCTGGGAACTTACATATGCCATAGCTCCTTCATTAGTCATTGAATCTCCCTGGTTCCACTTCTGTAACTATATTATCTTTTGAATCCGCACAACTTTCCTGCGGTGTCCAAGGTGGTACGGATGACATAGTGCATGCAAACGGACATGCACTGCATGCTTTTTGCATGATTTGCTAGTTGACAAACACCCTGTCATATCCATATATTGCAATGCAAAAAGGCATTTGCCATCCTCCACCATCCGGAGGAGCAATGGAAGAAAGGAAAGTATGTGGGCCTCAAAAGGATTTGAACACGTAGCAAATTGAGAGCAAACCAAACTGAGTCACTTGCCAACTGCAGAACACCCCCATATTGCCTGGAAACAAAAAGTGCCAGGAGTTGATAAATACTAGAGTAGATGAAGGTTCCTAGATGTTTTTGAGGATGTTTTCTGAGACATACTCCACTTTAAGCAAATTCCATCCACTCAGAGTTTCAGAAAATGCGTTTTGGTGACATTTTCATAGTAAAATATCTGAAAAACAGATTTTCCGGGAGCATTGAGTGGAAAACATGCCCCAAAGTTTTATGTACAGTACAGTAAGACGCCCCTGAACATTGCTAGCAACTTTATTTGACACTTTTTGGATGGCCAAAAATAACCCATAACCGGGAACAGTCCTGTAACCCTAACCCTAACCCTAACCCTAACCCTAACCCTAACCCTAACCCTAACCCTAACCCTAACCCTAACCCTAAACCCTGCGCCATGAGTCACCAAAATCTTTGAAAATTCTCTAAGTCCCACTCCTGGGGACTTACGTGTGCCATAGCTCCTTCAATAGTCATTGAATCTCCCTGGTTCCACTTCCGTAACTATATTATCTTTCAAATCCGCACAACTTTCCTCAGGTGTCCAAGGTGGTGCGGATGACATAGTGCATGCAAACGGACATGCACTGCATGCTTTTTGCATGATTTGCTGGTTGACAAACACCCTGTCATATCCATGTATTGCAATGCAAAAAGGCATTTGCCATCCTCCACCATCAGGAGGAGCAGTGGAAGAAAAGAAAGTATTTGGGCCTCAAAAGGATTTGAACATGTAGCAAATTGAGAGCAAACCAAAATGAGTCATTCGCCGCCAACTGGAGAACACCCCCATATTGCCTGGAAACAAAAAGTGCCAGGAGTTGATGAATACTAGAGTAGATGAAGGTTCCTAGATGTTTTTGGGGATGTTTTCTGAGACATATTCCACTTTAAGCAAATTCCATCCACTCAGAGTTTCAGAAAATGCGTTTTGGTCACATTTTCATAGTAAAAAATCTGAAAAACGGATTTTCCGGGAGCATTGAGTGGAAAACATGCCCCAAGATTTTATGTACAGTACAGTAAGACGCCCCTGAACATTGCTAGCACCTATTTTTGACACTTTCCGGACCACCAAAAATAACCCATAACCCAGAACAGTCCTGTAACCCTAACCCCTAACCCTAAGATCACTTTAGGCTTCGCTAACGACTGACGGTAACAATCTGACGCTTCTGAATCTGCTACATCCTCAGTCATAGCTATCCACTTCCCGGCTTGCGGACGCTGCGTTTTCTGCACCGCCAGAGACCTCAATGTCGAATATGAAAAGGAACGTAATGAATGTTCGCATAAAACGATATGATATAATGCCGGCAAAATCTCAAAAGATCCGCACGGACAGTGGATCTCTGTCAAGAATAGAAGCCCGGCTGAGATACCGCTCGTCTTCTTTAGTAATACGAGATTCGACGGCCTTTTCTAGTCTATATCCTCCTTGAAAATCCAGCAACCCTCGATGCGGCTCCACTCATAGTCCCTTATGCACATCTTGTCATAGCAGATGACCCGCGTTCCATCTACCTTCCTTTTCACGCTTTCAAAGTCGCCTTTGGTTAATTTGGCCAACTTCTGGTAGAACCCGTTTTCCGATATGGTCGTGGCGAGAACACTATCCTTTCTCCACTTTTCGAACACGGACCAAAGCCTTGAAACCGGCAACAGTGAATCCTTTAGTTGGCGCTCTTCCGTTCCTTCTGGAAGAGTATTGCTTTCAACTGCCAACATCACTTGCTCCTCGTAGAACTTTTCCACGGGGTTGTTCTCTAAGCGGTAGTCTTGGCTGACCTTTAATACACCTTGCGGAGCATCTAGCTTGTATCCGCTTTCCCGGTAGAGTGTGTAGCATCGTAGAAGCTTCAACATGAAGAATGGTGCGTACTCCGGTAACTTTTGCTTTAACCCTTTGTCCATAGCACGCTCGTGCGGCAGCTTCGGGTCTTCGACGAATTTGGGTGGGAAATGGATGCTCTTCTCCCTGTCCCAAATCGCATCCGTGTCGGGAGCGTCCATCTCCGGGCGCCCGTTGCACAACAGGAACAGGCTGAAATCAGGTCGCACGGTCTCCTGCGAGCCGTACAGTCCCCGCTGTCGGGATTTATCATTGCCGGTCAGCTCGCGCAACGTCGCGCTCTTGATTTTCTCTCCGACACACGGCTCGGACAAGAACACCGCCCTTGACCCTTTCAGGTCGACGAACTCCGGGTTCGCTTGGCTTGAGCCGCAGCGCTTCGTGGTGAGAATCGTCGCCTTTGGGAACTTGCACAGATTTTCCCCAAGCGTATGCTGCGTCAAGTCTTTCAAGATTCCCTTGCCGTTACGACCGGTCCCTTGCCATAGTCCAGTATTGTTCATGGCGGTTTATCCCCTCCAAGCATGTGCAAAGCGTCAGCAACACGTATTCTTGGACGTCTCTATCGGGAAAGATACTTTCCAGCAAGGCATCGAGCTTTGCGTCAATATCCGGACACACTGCGTCGGGGAGGTCGTAGGGCACACAAATAGTCAAATAATCTTCCGGCAATCCGGGTCGAATCGCATCCTGCGAAAGGTCGTACACTCCGTTCTCGAAGCAGAGGAGATATGGTTTTGTGTCGAAAACGACGTCTTTGGTATAGGAGTCCATCAAGTCCTCCAAATCCTTCATCACCTTTCCTCTTATGATCGAGTCTTCGATCGCCTCGACACGCAATCGTTTCTCCTTCTCCAATTTCTCGATCTGGGTTACAAAAAATCGCCTCTCGGTTTCGTCCTCCGCCCCGCTGAAGATGCCCTTTATTTCCGCAACCAGCGCCTCATACCACCTCTTAATGGGACAAAGTAAAATGTCCATGGCGTCCATGCTCGGGCATCCCAACAGCTCGATCCATCTATGCTTATCGAACTTATACCACTTTTTGCGACGAATGCAGATGTACTTGTCCTTCATCAAGTACATTGCGAGTAAGGCCAGTCTTCCGCTCGTGCCCCTTCGAGACTCATCGATTAAACTCGACAGCTCCCTGTCACTGTCAATCACGACATTACTCGTGTCTACCGTCAGTTCCTTGTCATAGTCCACGTCGCAAATCATCTGCTTTATCGCCAACCGCAAATCGGCGCCCACTCGCTCCTTTATAAAGCGTTCACATTCCTTCAGCAGCGTCTCGTCTACTCGCGGGTCGGCTTTGACCAGCATCCCGTCGAATATCAAGCTATCTGGGGATATCCCTTTACCCGTGAAAAAGCTGTGCATCGCTGCGAGCACCAGATTCTCCACCGTGGCCACGACGTATGAGAGAAAGGAACCTTTCCTATTGTACTTTTTATCTGAACTTTCTATCCACTGCCACAGAGGCTTGAATTGCCGCGATTCTTGAAGCAGAGGCACGAGCTTGTCGTATAGTTCCTTGTGAATGTTCCTGAGGAACGCGTGCGGCGCATCATTTTTGCTTTTATTCAAATATCTGTTAACGACCTTTTTATCTGTGATTCCATTCTCTGTGAGAACGTCTTGCCGATTCTGCACGTAGCGTTCTAGATCCGCCGGACACGCAAGTCCGAAAAGCCTGAACAGAAACCTGATCAAGGTCGGTTGGCAGTTCACGACGTCAATGTCCGTGTAGTAGCCGTTTGTGATGTACGTTCTAATGCTTTTCGAGAGGGTCTGAAGCCCGATGCCGTCGACGTAAAGACGTCCGTAACCTGAAGGCTGCTTGTAAAGATACCCCACCTCGAAGAGATTCTGCTTTTTCCGCTGCTTTTTATAACCTTCCAGGGAGCATCGCTCTTTCGCGTTCAGCAAGGGCGACTTGAGCAGTTTGTCGACTCGTGCTTCGTCAGCGTACTCTCGCTTCGTCATAGGCTCAAGGCGCTGGATCAAGTCCCATGCTACACCGATCGATCCGCCTCGGCGAGCCTTTGACTTGGACTCCATTTTCGAGCGTCGGCGTAGAACCCGGGTGGATCGAATTGTATCCGCACTCAAAGCCGAAGTCAGCACGGCGGGTGTAGCATTTGACATCTTGTGATGTGTCTCGTTGTTGGTATACTAATATATCTTGAGGAAAAGAACGGCGTCTTAAACGCATTGTGCGTTTCACTGATATATGGCTGTGCCACGACCCACGGGTGCGTTTGGGGTGGGGAAGCGAGAAAAATGTTTTTTGGGACTTAAGGTATATAAACACACCATGACTGGCGGCGTCGATCTGGAGTCACCTAAGCGAAAGGGTAAAAGGGAATACGACTATTACGCCACGTATGAAGCACATGGCTTTTCAAAGAGTTTCCACAGCGATACGATTCGTGGCCTGGCAAAGCAGCTCGGAATAAACCATGTCACGGCGATGCGCTACTGCAAGATGAACGGCGCACATCCTCCGAGCGGACGAATCCCTTTGACGATTAGCAAAGTTAGCAAGAAATTACAGACTTTATAAAGGTCGGGCTGTGATCATTCCACTTGACGATTTCCGGTGGCGCAGCCTACACATGGGCAGCACTGGGGTTCCCTCTTATGCTCGCTCGACCCGTGGACGCGCTCGATACATGGAGACAATCGCGAGATGGTTGCCCAATATATGGACCGACATGAAGCCAAATCTGCCTCCATAAAAGAAAGTCCACGGGACCGCGGGTTGTGACCCTTCTTGAAACTTTTCCATATATATAGCCGTATCCATTGGTAAATTGAATATATATGTCAATTTACCAATTTATTCTGACGTTTCTATACCAAACTTTCTACAACGGTAAAACCCATAGACCCCATGGACTCTCCTTTTTTACTTCCATTCTTTTGGAGAGGAAAAATAATAAAGAAATGGTATGCTTTCGAAGTATGGAGAGGGTCCACAGGTTTTAGTTTGTTTGATCAAACCTGCTACCCCTTGGACGCTCACCCCTGGCGGACGTTAAGGAATCCGCGGCGTTTGGCCCTGTTTTTTTTTTAAATCAATCAACCCCACTCGCATCGGGAAAAGCAAATGTTTCAGAGAACATTAACCGTGCCCTTCAATGCCCGCCGACCCGATTCTTCCCTCGTCTGCCTAGCAACCGGGCTTCTTTATCGTAGAATCAACAGCAATATTCACTATTTGAATTCAGGAACCATTTTATTCTTTTGTTCCTACTCAAATCTTTGTAACTGCTCTTATCTGACAACTACATGGCCCCTTTTATTCTCTATCCCAATGTTTTGTTGCGTGCCCGATCTTTTTAATGGCTGATTGCTCGCAGTTCCTTGTTCAAAGTATATCCACCCATTTTGCACACTTGTCATACTACCTAGTTCGACGATTCCATCTGTCCCAATTACGCTTTCAAGGACGACAAACCGGGCCTCCTCGGATGGTCAAAAAAGTTTGGGAAATTTACCCGCCGGTCTACGCGCATGTGAATGGCTCACAGCGGTCGTGTAATGGAAGTGGTTTATCAAACATGTGGCCAACAACGTAAACTTTACCTGCAAAACTACTTCCGAACCCAAACAGATGGACCGGTTGCCCGATGCAACCGACAGTCTGAGTTGGAATCGACCAACGTGAGTCCTCCGCTCCAGCCGCGAACAACTGACTGCACAGGTTCTGACTGCAATGTCCGACCAGTATAAGAGTACGGAAGCGCGCTTCTTTGTAAGGAAAGCACTCAGTCAGGAAGCAACAGATTGAAATGCACTCTCGACGACGTGAAGAAACTCTTCTCCAATTATATGAAGTTCAATCACCCTCGCGAGACTATTCCACATTCAAACAACTTGGATATGACGTAGTGCGGGAGCATATATGCAAGTCATGCAACCGGAAGGAAAAGGCGGGAAGGAGAGGTGTCGCGCCGACTACAGCACGACCAATCGCACAAAGAGAACATTCGTGTATGGTATGGACTTACGAGAAGAGATAGCACCGCCAATGTATGATTTGAAAAAAGGATGTTTATCAAGATTTCTCTCCATTCTACATGGCCTGGACTTTGCACGCATCGACACAATCTACAACAGTTTGGCGACAACGATTCAACTCCGCTTGAAGTCCATCATCGAATTTCTTCGACGCTTGCTCAACTAGTTCGTTAAGGTCTTTAACAAGAATTTTGCGCACCTCCTTGCAACCACAGAACTCAGTGTCGGGGCGCTTAAACAAATGCACACATTGCTTGCTAAGTTTGTCCAAGCCATCGGCATGATGCTTGAGTTTGGCAAGCAGGTAGTTGATTTTGTTCCTGTCGGGTCCAAAGTAGAACGTTCCATTCTTTTCGTTATAGTTGCGCTTGATGACGTTGTACTCGATACAAGTAAGATGGTAGTACACGAGGTCGACGGGTTTCTTTGACCTGAATTTAGGGCGTTTGGCAGATTTGGCTGTACGTGTAGCAGGCATTGTTGACAAAATGGAAAGTAAAGTTCAATTAGAAAAAATGGGGGCTTATATCAACATTTGAGTTATCGAAATGAGAGCACAGTTTCGGTCGAACATTCTTTGATGGAAAACTTCTACATTGTCTAGGCACATAATGTTACTTGATACCCCAATCGGGTCACGCAAGTTTAATGTGTTTGACATGTGACACGGAGAAAGCCGACGCGTGGCCGAGGTGCCGGAAAGCTTGCTGCGGTTTTCGGAAATCAATGTAAAGCCGGCAGTAATCCCGTTCCAGGACTTAACAACGGTAACCGCATAGCGGGATGCAGTCACATAACGGTATTCGCTTTGTGGCCAGTTAGCTTGTCATCGAAACATGCGCTATTTTCACAGCATATGACCTTTAGATGAGTAGTTGCATAGCACCGGGTAGTCCCCTACGGTGATTTCAGAGCCGAAGCACCGGTAATCGCATAGCAGGTTTAGGCCATAATGCCTGTTCCAGCACCAATTCCTCCCAGTTGCTGCTATCGATCCCGATCCACTTCCTTTGAACGTCAAAGTTTCCCACTCAAGTTTGTTCTGGACTGAAACCCGTTCATATTAGTAGCGCATATTGTGCTACAAAGGTCCGATGCATCACTACTATGGGAGCTGATCCGTTCAAAAATCCGGTTCCATCAGGCCGTAAGAGTTATTACGGTAACGAGGCTGTCCTTTACGATGACCCTTCAATTTGCCAGCGCTTCAATTGCTCAAATGCCGCCGACTTATTATGTGGAGCTCACATGCCAAGTTCACAAACCTCGAGTTCGTTTACACTGCTGGACCCGTGGACCCGCTCCATACATGAAGAGAATCACAATATATTTTGTATATATATGTACTGACATGAAGCCAAATCTGCCTCCATAAAAGAGAGTCCAGTGGACCAAGGGTTGTGACCCTTCTTGAAAGTTTTCTATATATATAGCCGTATCCATTGGTAAATTGGTTGTATATGTCAATTTATCAATTTATTACGACGTTTCTATACGAAAGTCTCTAGAGCGGGAAAACCCTTAAACCCCATGGACTCTTATTTGTACTTTCATTCTTTTGGAAAGGAAAAATAATAAAGAAAGGATACTCACTCGAAGGATGGAGAGGGTCCACGGGTTTTGATTGTTTAATCAGACCTCCTACCCCTTGAACTCACCGCCTGGCGAACTCAAAGGAACCCGCGCGCTTTGGCCATGTTTTCAAATATATTAACCAGACCACTCTCGGGAAAAGCGGATATTTCCCCACTGACCCGATTTAATACCCCCGCCTTGCCGAGCAAAGCTGCCTTTTTGTAGAATCAATAACGAATATTCGAAAATCTGAATCTAAATGTTTTGTTCCCTGCCCAACTTTCTGTGGTTGCTCTTATCTGACAATTTTATTGACCGCCGCGTATTTTGCAATCCGGAAACGTTCTTGAGCTCGATCTAGCTATTCGCCGATTTCTGGCGGTTCTTTGTCAAAGTAAATCCACCAATGTCACATACTTGCTGTAGTTCGATGGTTTCTACTGCTGAGTACGCCCGGGATTAATTGGCGCTCATCTATGGACGGTTTATTGGGCGTGGAATTAAATTCACCTCAAAGCAATATGGTCGACGATCGAGATTACAAAATCGTCCTTTCCACTCATGATGATTCCGTGGGCATTATTTTCTTTTGACAGTAACCCTAACCCGCAAAATGATATTTACGAACCGTAACGGTAATACTCATTCTCATCGAAATATACGTGAATGTAGGTTATGTATGCGCCGTGAATGGATCGCGATGAAAAATCGAAAAATCCATTTTGCAGACGAATTATGCAAAGCGGAGTAGCGGGTGGGGGGTGGCCAGTTAGGTGGATGATAAAACACCGAGGAAGCGAACCATGGTCAGTAGAAGGTGCCTTTTCCGGCATGTTTTCGTCGCCCCTAGTGGCATGTTTGGAACTACGGGCCCAGTTACTGCAGATGCACAGTCAAACCGTTGACATGGCATCGCATGCAAAGTGACCCATGACAATGTTTCAAAGTGATGGTTTTCACATTTTAACTCCACGCACATATTTGAACGCCCATGTTATTCGTACATCGATGGAGATTTGTATACGCTCAGGAAACCGGATAAGCGACACCGGAAAATGGAGCAGTCATATTGTTGGTCGAAACGCGATATGCTACTTTTGAGCTCCAGACACCTCGGTGCCTGTGCTTACTCAGCAACATTAACTATATGCATCCTACGCCTGACCCCGGCTTCATCAAAGAGAAATCCGTCCCCGCTCCAGACGAAAATCTTCCTTATGTCGGTGGGGAGGTTTATATAGCATCCTCCGTAGGGTATATGGGCAAACGGTGACTCGCTCTCTACCACATTTCTCTGCTCGTTATGGAGATAGTTTCTGAAATCCATCTGGATGAAGATCATCGACTTGATGTAGCTGGGAAATCGCTTCAGGAACCGTCCGAACCCGCGTAGGTCATCCGTGGTGCGAACGATGTAGATCGGCTTGGGGATGTTCCCCCCAGTGCCCACTGATCAACTGCTGAGCCATTTGTTTTGCTAAAAGTACATCTAGTAACTACGGGCTTTACCGTTCACTTCTCTTGACAATACGGGAAAAAGTACAAGAGCGTCTCTTGCACGTCATCGTCAATCCTCAAGTCCTTTCCCTTTCCTTGAGCCTCTAATGCAAGAAGATTTGGCATGGATTTGTCACTCGGTAAACTCCCAGGCTACGTTCCTCAAGGCCCCCACATTAGCGACTATCACAATTGGTCCATCCATCTGTTCCTGACATCGTTGGTGGTAAATCCGACCGTGAGCAGGGCGGAGTTTGTGAAACCCTCCCGACCTTGCGATAGCCAAGTTGACCATCGCTGGACTGTCTAACAATGCCCCGGTCCCTTGCATGTCGTCAGGCGGTAAGTCCTTCGAAAGAAATAGATTCATCACTGTTTAATTGAGTTGAAAAGCAAATGACTAACAATAGCAGTTTCTGCACTCACGTCTGTTATTGGTTCCAACGGTACATTGAGCCGCCTTCCAAAAGGCACTAAAATGGGGACATGCACCCGATCGTATTCAGGGTTCGCTGGATAGATTGCGGCAACAGACTCCGGGTCCCTTTCTGTGGGCCCAGCGGCATAAACCAAGCCAATGATGCGCCTTTCTTGGATGCTTAGTAGAAAGATAACGCTCCGTCTGAGGACCTGAACGGACCCTATCCGACCCCCGAGGGTTTGCCCACCGGAAGTCATAAACTGACTGAGCGTTTCTGGGCTGAACCCAGAAATATGATATGACGGAACACAATCATCCGCCAATATTGTGGTCCCTAGCGCTGTTGCGATTCCGAGCACCATAAGTGTCGAGGAAAAATCTCAAAATCAGCATTCGGTTAACAAGTCAAAATAGATAGGAATGTATATCGCACCTCCAGCTTTTGCCACCTCGTCATGTTGCTCCCAGGCAAATGATGCCAGTTGCTCATTCGGAAGCATTATTTCTAATACCTCCTCCAAGTGTCTTGAAAGCCATTCCATTGTCTCAATGGCATCGACATATTTGTACTTAAGGGCCGATTCATCATGCTCTTTATCACGGTGTAGGACGGGCAGAATATGAGATTGAACCGTGCGGAGGACGCTCATGACATAAAGTCTGACGTCCGCCGCGTTGGCCACAAAGTAACCAAAAGGAAATGCAGTCTTTAAATTTAGACTCGAAAGCGTCTGATGTGCGAACATGATGCGTTCGGTAGTGGTATCGGATCTTTGGCCGCCCGTCAAGGTTGCATTATTCCCATTGTCTGTGGGACCAAATATCTGCTTTAAGTCTGTCCCGTCGACATCCATCCATGACCTAAGACGACTGACTGATGGCCGCTCATTCAACCAAGCGTTGTATTTCCGGTGAATATCTTCGAACCCATTTACGTTTCCAGCAGGCGCATCCGGGAAATCAAGTTTGTCGGTTCTTGCATAATGGAATCGGTTCATCTGTTCGACTGTCCACCGGAAAGTGGACCCCGCTGATAGACTCAGCGATGTGTCGGGATTCGCCGTAGCAATGATGTGCACGTTGGGACCGAGGGCTAAATCACGGCCGTCAGCCATGCGTATAGGTTGTTCTCTATGCGAAATCAAGGTCATGAGCTCCGTATTGATGACTACACAAAGATTAGGGTTAGGGTTAGGGTTGGGATATGTTTTCATCTAAGGTATTAGGCAGCCTTCACGATATTTACCAGCTCCGGGTTCGCACCGGTTGATCTCATCGATCTGTAGAACGAAGTGATTTGGCGATGTTGAGGGTCTGGCAGCTTCCGCCATAAGTTCATGTAAAACACCTTCTTGAAAGCGATCATGAAGTTGAACGCCGAATAGGTGCCAATGCTCACTAGCTGTGCCTAAGCAAATGAGCCTGGAATAGCGTGAAACCTCATTGCCGGATGGACTTGATATAATGAACTTCGTGACTTCCTTCATTATCGTCGTTTTCCATGTCTTTGTTGGCCCTGCGCAGGAAATAAAATGGGGTGTCAATGTCTTGCAATCAAGGAAAGCCTGCGCTTGATAAGACAACAACCAAAAAGGATGACGGGAGTGCCTGCGTATAGGGGTAGCAGAACTTCGCGTAACAGCCATGTCTCATCCAGGTGTAGTCGTGCAGCTAGTGTATGGAGGGCGGCAATGTACTCCTCCCTGTCATAGGGCTCGGCGGGAGGTGAATCGTCCATGCTGAAAGGCTCTCGCGAAAGTGGCTGAGTAGGTCGGGTTAAGCGACCTCAACGGTAATTTGCAGTGGACGGTATCAATCAGTAAATAGCGTATTAGGTTTGTAAACCTTGATTTCCATCGGAGATGCTGTATATGCCGTGTCCGCGTGTCTCGTAGCAAGGGTTGCGCTGAATCGTAAATCTAGAACATTTGCACAAGAAAGTGAGCGATGCTATGCAACTCCAATCAATCTCATAATTGCCGCTATGCGCCAGCCTGCTGTTTTAGCGTAAGCTTTGGAAAACACTTACAGTTCTGTTCCCGACGTGGAGTTTTGCAACATTCCCGCGATTAAATTTTTTGCTTGTCAGTATATTGGAAGGTTCAAAGATCGTAGCTAGCAGCGAATCCTCCGGGTCCTATCTAGTCAGATGCTCCAATCTGAATATCTCCAAGACTGCCCGTTGGATCCAACTGAGCATGAAGGGGAGAGACTTTGTTACGTCTATGACTAGAGTCCAATATTTGCGATTTGCATGGTTGTCGCATGCTATCGAACATTCCCCCTCCCCAGCATATATCAGCACCCCGACGCTGCACTTCGCGACTGTGACCTGCGCCAGCATCTGATTCCAATCCGCCTTTTTCGCCCGATATGACCTTCGAAGATGCTTATACTTCACGTCAACAACGCCTTTACAACACCCACCGGGTTTTTGCTCCCATATGACTACGTCAGGCTGCACTACTCTACTGTCCATGACCGCACCCCCAACCACCCGTTCATCGCATCGCATCGAATAAGCCTTCCCATCGCAAAGTTTACAACTCACGGCGTGCACGGTCTTCCTGAAAACGTCTGAAATGACCTTGGCGACAAAGTTTTCGAAGAGGTCGTTCATGTTCAGAAGATAAGACGGGGCGGTGTAAGGTCCGTTGCGATTGATGACGTCGCCACAAAGGATGGTTTCGACGAGACCCAGGCATCGACGGTAGTGCGGAATCTCCGCAGCGAGTTGTCGTAGATCTGTGGCCGCATTGGTCGACTGAAACACATGAGGAATCTGCATGTGACTCATTTGACTCGCCAACGACCGAAGCTCTGGCACGATGCTGGCCATATCTGGCGACACACCCAGTAGGACATGCAGTCCCGCAAGAAGCAGCGTGTTTGCTCGCGTTGCATAGTGTCTCGAGGTTTTTATGCAATGGTATCCCCGCACCGGTCCGGTAAACCGCGCGGCAAGGAGCGACTGCCGTGGAAGGTTGATACGGCCAACGGGGATTTGAGTGAAGAGTTTCACGCACTTGTGGCGACACTGTAACCCTTGATCTAGAAGTGAACCTAAGCTCGCTGCATAGGTTCTCCCAAGATTTTCAATGAACTCTCTATCAGACCGGTCGTTGTTCATGTCGCGGTCAACTTCCACATCAGATTCTCTAATGCCTTCCAAAACGATATCCGAACGGACGTATGCGATGATAGAAGCAATCGCATCGAATGCAATTTTCGGCTTGAAGCGGAATCTGTACCGCCCCACCGCCAGAGCACCAATCCACGGCCCAGGGGTTATGACACATTGGACCAACGATCCGTCTCGTCCGTTGACGGCTTCGCAAAGTTCCGTATCCACATCCGCATCCGATTCGTCAATAGCACCCGTGTTGGAAGAGAAGCGGACCTGCCTCGACTTATTGCAAGCTTGCTCCAGAACCGCCATCTCGAAAGGAGTCAAGAGCACCGTTCTCTTTTCTCCGTATTCGTGGAACTCTATCTCTTCCATACCAGCAGTTGAGCAAAGTGAGAAAGCGAGCAGAGAGTATTGTATGAAGCAAACAGATGGGGCGAACTACTTTTCGTCAATATCTGTGTGCGCGGGTTTCACCGGGGCAGGCAGATACTTGATTTTCCAAAATAGGGTGACCGGCCCAAACATCGTCACACCGGTGGTACTGTCGAAACCGACTACCAAACGCGGTTTCGTAATTTTGGAATGGATGCTCAGCCCTTCCACCGAGCGAGGGAAACACAAAAAAAGAGGTTCGGAGCGCAAGGCCAGAGGACTACCGGAATTGGAATTGAACAAAGTACTATGGATCCCCTAGTAGGTTGGCAAAAGTCACTGTTCTCTTTGCCTCCAGTGAAAGGGACACAATACTTGCTCCGTTATGTCACAGATAGGATGGACCAGAATCAAGCGAAAAGTGCATGCGTCCGTGAGCCCTTCGGCATCTGTCATAATTCACCACAACGCCGTATGCTCTCATAAAAGCTGGAACTGCCATCATATTATGCACGGGTACGCTACACCTCCGTCTATGTTCAGTCATCAAAGCAACTGATCTTTCCTTTTCTGCATACCTATTTGGAAATCGGCATACCTAGTTAAAAGTACTATAACCCCTCAGAAGGACGGAGCGGACCATTCTAACACCCTTGCGTTCGAACCTACGAGCAATCCTTGTGTATCTCGAAGCACAAGATCTCCGTTGAATCCCGGAACCGGCACCTCGACAGCGTCATCGAGCAAGAAGCCCTTTCCGACATCTGCATTCGAGATTGAGGAGAGTCGAGCATATATTCTATCCTCTTCTGGACGTTAAATGTACCGCCCCGCTCTAGAAGTTTTTTGGGCGTATAGTAAACGCTATAGGGACAGGTGAACTAGTCGGTGAGGGAGCTGCGATGAGATGATAGAAGCCGACAACCTGATAGGGCCTAGCGAGCAAGGGATGATCCTCCAAAGACAGTGGAATGGAACAGCTAGTAATCTTCTCAGGGACCCATCATATCGATGCGGCGAAACTATCGATAGTAAGGCAAAGGTCCTATCGATAATGGGACTCGCTAACATATAACGAAAAAAAATACGACCGATGTGCAAGCAGAGATACCATTCCGACAAAATGAAAGCCCAACGTATTAGAACCCAGCTCTACCAACCAGTCGTCAAGTGGGTCGGTGGAAAGAGGAATCTTTGCAAAGAGCTACACCGCAAAGCCCCGCCGAAGTTCGGGAACTATTACGAGCCATTTTTCGGTGGTGGCGCCTTTGCGCTGCATTTGCACGGAGACGGGTCATTGTCCACCTCGAACGTCTTTCTCGGAGACATGTCGAAGCCGCTAATGACAATGTATTATATCATCCGAGACAATCCGCAGGAATTCATTGCGAAGCTAGACTCTGAGGAATACTCTTGGAAGATGGATATTTCAGAGAGAGAGGTGGCGTTCATCCGCTGCAGAATCAGGTTCAACGAGCTAAATAACAAACCGTCACTAGAAAACTCGGAGGAAATCGAGATGTCCTGCTTGTTCCTGTATCTCAACAAAACCGGCTTCAACGGGTTGTACCGTGTGAACAAACAGGGTCATTACAATGTGTCGGTCGACAAGCTTACCAAAGGAGCAAGGACTATTTGCGATGCGAATGCAGTCGAGAATTTGTCTGCCTTTTTGAACAGAGAAGGTGTGTCCCTCGGCAACTGCTCGTACGAAACCTTGCTTCAGACTGCAAAGGCTGGAGATTTCGTCTATCTTGACCCACCTTACGACGATACCTTTGTCGCGTACCAGAAAACGGGGTTCTCCTGGGATGACCAGGTGAGATTGAAGACTGTTGTCGATGAGCTTCACGACCGAGGCTGCTACATCATGGTTAGTAACTCGGCTACCGCCGCGATTAAAGAACTGTACAAGGAATATAGCCAAGACTTTACGAGTGTCACATCTTCGGTCAACTCGAAAGCGTCAGACCGGAAGAACAAACGTCAGGAAATCATCATTCGCAACTACCTATACTAGGTCTCTGCTTTTTGTTTCGAAGTGTAGGCGTAATTACATTTCAGGTACTTGGTGGTGCTAGATTTCAACTTGTAATGCCTGTAAGTCAATGAAAATCTGTTTCAATTTTCGAAGTCCTCGAAAGCGCGTGTGGTTAATGAAAACCGACACCACGTTCTGACGGGATGACTGCCGACACGGAAACGACAGATGATCGAGCATCCCCTTCAGCCTTGATGTAATGTTTGAAGACCCATCTAGAGGACCGGGCCGGAAGACTACACGATGTGACATATCGGGACGACTTGATTGCCCGTTCTTCGACCATCTGAATCGGCAACAGGGTGGTCTCAAATATCGCCAACCCTGAAAAACAGCTGTACTGCCAGTAGACAGTACATCAGGTTCCTCGGTTCTCAACTGGACCTATCTCAAACTCGAAACTCGATCGACCTCAGCTCCATACACAGCTAACAGGGTACTTCAGCAAGTAGTAGAACATTTGATTGCAGAGCCATCTGTCTTCGCTTGAGTGTGGTCATAAGGGAAACAGACACGTCGGCGTAACCTCCCGTCGCCAACAACGAGACCTCTCGCGAGCCCTTGACTCGGACCGGATGTTTCGCCGGTGCCGAGAAGAAGTGAACACCTCCTTGCACTCTATACTGACTTTACATTCCTTTACCTTCCTATGCCACTCGGACTCCATGGCGGCACTCCACCGGTAACATATTCCCAGAGAACGGAGGAACCTCTCGGAATTTTCCGATTTCACCATCGACTGGCACCCTCCGATGCCGGTGGTAGCCACATCCCGCAGGAACGGGACCCCTGTCGTATAGTGCACTGTAGCTCCGTGTCCGCGCTCACCGCTGGAACAAGAGCTGCGAAAGCCTCAGATACATCCTTCGGATCAAGGAACGGTTGCACTGATATCGACAGGGATACAGGGAATTGTCCAATGTTGTCGGCGACTTGGAGGGTTACGCAAAGCTCTTCCACCACCCGTGTCGAACCGGATGGTTGTTTGGAAATCGCGACGATGCAAAAACAGCGATACTCCGTGCCTAGAGTCATCGGCTTGCAAAGGATATAGAAGTTGTCCAACTTACGGCAAGTAGAATGCTCGGTATTCAAAGTGATTTTGAATTCCCAGCGGCTAATGGTCATGGAACTGAGTCCAGCGAATGTTCCACCTCCGTCGGGACTCTCATCCAAGTAGATGCAGGAGCAATCAGTGCTGTAATGTTGCGCCATGCTCGAAGTGGACACTGGCTTTTTGCATAGGAAGCACGGAAAAGGGATATGTTCACATCGGAGTGCATGGCTTTCTCTTGCCCAGGGCAGACATTTCTGTGTGCATCCGGCGATGGTGCATGTTTCCGCGTACGGCATCAGCTGCTGTTCCAGAAACCGGTTTCGCAGGAAGTGACCAGCATTGCACACTGGGCATTTGGAGACTTCCTTCACGCATAGATGACAAATGAAGTGGGGACCGTTGCTGCATTGGATCAATGGAACGTCCAAACAATCCAGGCAGATGATACAGGTCATCAGCTCCTTGTCCACGAGTTGCTGTATGGTGATGGTCGGATTGATTATGGCGGCGGTGGGTCCGTCCTTTGTCATTATTTGTCTTCCTTTGTTATACGTTCCTTGTTATACGTTCGCATTACATTTTCCCTAATCAAAACGCTCAATAGCGCACTTGATTGTTTGTTAATGTCACCACTGTTGTCTACCAATACTGTGCGGTTGAAACGGCATATTTATTTGTTGAGCTCAGATATAAGCTAGATAACTATCACCAAACAACCCCACATGTCAGATAGTCAGGAGAGCATAGAGAGGGTGGACAGTGAGTCGCCGGGACAGCAGGATTGTCAGGAACTCCATGCGGAGATAGCGAAACTAAAGGAGGAGCTACGGGGATTGCAGGAGAATACAGTTATCGAGTCTATGAACGATTTGAAAACCGGCTATGAGACGCTTTGCGGTAGCGCTCTTTGCACTTGCGTAGCCAGGAGGCTTTTGAATAAGAACTACGAGTATCAACGAATCATCACGGCCGTTGGAGTTAGTTCCTGGTGTCTATACACGGGGTTCGAAGAAGTGCTGAACACGGTGAGACGCCCGAAAGCCGAGGTTGCATACGACGAATGGATAAAACTACGGAACAAGCTGGAACATCTGGATCACGGATTAAGACATGTACATGACATCTGCGAGGAGAGCGATGTCATATCCGATGTGGAGGAGGATGTGGAAGCTTGCGTTTGTGACACTTTGAAGCTATCAAAGAAGACGGACCTGGATGATCGACTCCTCATGATTCACGAGGCCTATTCGTAAAGACATGCAGGACTATAGCGGGAACGGAAAAAGTATCGAAGGTTTGCATGCGCGGCCCGTTCGCCTTACAGCTGATTTTGGCCATTTGGTTGAAAATGGCGCCTGGTTTGATGTTCACCCATATCGAACATGTACAACGGTATCAGACACGGAATTATCTTTTAAGCGAATCAAGGAGAGTCGAATGGTAAGGAAACTCGAGCCCACAACAACCTCCCGGCGTGAAGCTTGTGCCAGAAAGATCGCCCTCGTCCTCCGAAATTCTTAGAGAGGAAAAGGCGGCGTCCATGTGCGCACGCCCGACTTCTATATCATTTCCAGAGAGCGTGATGCCTACCGCTGCTTTCGCCATGAGTTGTCTGATAAGGACCCTGCTGCTGAGGAGCCTCAGATTCTCTTGCATGATGTGGATGGCGGCAGTCAGTTGTTGTTTATGTAGTTTGGCCACCGTTTCCAGCCGAAGTTGGCTTTCATCCCTGTCAATAGAAATTGATCCGTCATTTTGCAACATGTGGACAAATCGATAGAGGCGCTTAACCTCAATAGCTGGACGCCGTAGACTCCAGAGATTACTGAAACTACGCCCACGGACACGGCTATTACGAGCGCTATGAAGATTCCCAGTTTAATAGCGAAACGGTAACGGTTGATGAACTTCGACCTCGAGGGAAGCGTGGGCATTGAGCCCTCCTCCAGAAAGCCAGTCGAGCAAATGTCATGCCCTAAACTTGACCCGCTGTCGGGTTTGGTAGCTTCTGACTTGAAGTGCTTGAACATTGTGGGTACAGTCTCGCATAGGACTAGCCCTGGGGTGGTGTTTTCGACCGTTTAGGCGGGTCGCCCACCGAGTGGGGCTCCCGAAGGGGTTCCGAAATGCTTCCGCCCGCTTACGTAACCCTGCGCGTTGTCCATGACGTCTTTTGGCCGGTGCCGTTATGAGGAATGCAGGAGCTATCGTAGCTTCGAGCTTTACATGAGAGTGCGTTCGAGCATCACCTGTGAGACTCCGCCCTTGGATCGAGATTCATGGAGCATCGCGGTGCTTCAGCTGAGTAAGCAAATTTAGCCGGAAACGCGTCACACCTCTAAGAGTCTTTTCGCACCGAGTCTTGACCAATGTAAGTTGCAATTTAAGAGTAAGTGGATGTCTATTTGAAACGCGCATTTGCATTCAATAAACCGATTGGTATTCATACGTATTGCATTCAGTGACAGAATGTGAAAGAACTACCCAAAGAACTACCAACTAGAAACGGCTCCCAACCCTAAAGACTACATAATAGGGGAAAGGAGGCTCAATTGTCTTCACCCTGTGATGCGCTCATAACGTCATTAGCCGGTCTCATCGCAAGTATCCTAGTGGTCCTCCGAATCCGATGGGTCGGACGGAATGTACGGCAAATCATCATCGAATTCTACATCCGAATCGTCTATGAACTCCTCGTCCTCCGACTCCCAGACTTCTTCATCCGACCAGGTGTCAGTGGAGCCGATGCTTTCCGAGTCCGATGCGTCTTCATCGCATTGTTCAGGGATTTCCGGCTTTTCACGGGCTTGCACGGAAGGGCGAGGGCAAAGGTGGTAGGGCGCGTATCGAATGTAGACTGGCATGATGGTGAGCTGAATGGTGTTTGTTGTTTCGCATGGTGCTACTAGAAAATTTGGGTCTTTTTAAGTTAATCCACCTACCTTATCGATAGAATTAGGGTGGCTCTCTTTATCGATTTTCCAAATTGATAGAGTAAGCCACCTGGGCGGAGCGATGATTACGTATATAATGCACGGAAAGTGACAGCGCGCTCGTCACCGGCAGAACGTTTCAAATCGAGTGGCATTATATTACAGCCAGCTGGTCAAAGCCTCCTATAACACGTGACTAAGACTGCAGGAGTAGTGTCATGGTCGGAAACTCGACCGGACTTCGACAGCATGTTTATCCCGTCGGAAAGCCATTCTCGCCGAACTTATCTTTCTGTCCAACCCGGTCGTTGTATCCAACACAAAAATGCCAGCAGTCGCATTTGAAAGAACACCGCTGGAACTCTTGAACTATCTACATCGGCTGCTTTATGGTGGAGGGGAACTAACTGCTGAAGACCTTCGGGAGTTTCGTAATTCTATCATCGAGCACTCGACAATTCCGTTCGTGGATCAATTCAATGTTCATGACGAGAATGGACCTTGGAGCGATGCTAACGACATGGACATCAAAATTGAACTACTGCGCTTTCTATGCGTGCTGGAGCTTGTAAAACACACGGAATCGCCCTCGGAAGACGAATTCAAGAAGCTGGTGTCGTCCTTCGATGACCTTCTTGCCCACATCAGGGATAGCCGATGGCCTGAAACGCCGCTGGAATCCGTGGTCAGGGTTATTTCGGGCTGCTATACAAAGGAAAGCGTTGATGTCAGACGTCCAAGAGAAAGCCCAATGGATCTAAATTTGGAACTTTTCACATTGGAAGAGACGATGCGCGGATGGAAGAGAAGCGACAAGACGACACAGGATTTGTCTGGGATGGTCACCAGAAGTAGAGCTGGCCTTGTGGAAGCCCTGAGGGCTGGAAACGTCGCCTTCTACTATGAGGCCGCGAGATTGTCAGTCACAGAGTTACTACCCTAACCCTAACCCTAACCCTAACCCTAAGTGTAACCCTAACCCTAACCCTATCCGTCGACGCTAAACAAATTCCTGGACCAAACTTCCAGCCTGGTGACCACGTCTGGCTCCTCCGAAAAAACCTCCAGACGACCTGGCCCTCTCCGAAGCTCGACCGTCGCAAGATTGGGCCATTTCCCATCGTTGAAAAGATCAATCCAGTCGCCTACCGGCTCAAGCTCCCGCCTACGTACAAAATCCATGATGTCTTCCATGTCTCGCTCCTCGAACCCCGCTTCACCATCCCCGAACGACACGAACCCGAACCCGCGCCCCCAGAGACCGTTGAGGGTCAAGAAGAGTGGGTTGTCAAAGCCATCCTTGACTCTCGCATCCATCGTCGTCGCCTTCAGTACTTGGTCAAATGGCAGGGCTGGCCTGACTCTGAGAACACCTGGGAGCCCGTGGAACACCTCACCCATACCGACGCACTCCTCTAGGACTTCCACAGCGCGTACGCCAACAAGCCTTCCTCTGTCCCCGGTGCCCCTCCTCTGCGACCACACCAAACTCGACGCCGCCGCCGCGGCCGCCGCTAAAGAGAGGGGTGATGTTATGGACGACGCGCCCATACCATAAGCTTACCTACTGACGGCCGCCAATGTCAACCGCCAATGTCAAACGCCAATGTCAATGTCAATGTCAGTGTCAATGTCAGTGTCAATGTCAATGTCAATGCCACTCCCCCTCTCTCCTCTCATTTCCCCAATCCTCCCGCAATATCACCACTCCTCCTCTCTCCTCTCATTTCGCTAATCCCCCTCGGCTTCTCCACACCTCCCACTACTTGCCCATAGCCAGCAGCTGTAGCAATGCTCTCTACGCTCGCCACACACGCTCTAGGAGCATAGCTGGCGCCCCCCCAGTGCCCTCTTGTTGTTGTTGTTCTCTGATTGGGTTGCCTATCTATAAATAGCCGGCCTCTCTTTGTCCATTCCCTTCCTCCCCAGCAGATCAACACCAGTTCTTCTCATCTCTTGTTCTAGTCCTTGTCTCTTGTCTCGCCAATACAATCTCTTGTCGCCCATTGCTCTCGCCTTGTCTTCTCTACTTCGCTTCCGCCTCAGTTGTCGAGATCATAACATGTACAACTCGAGAGCAGTACCCTGGAGGTAGGTAGCAAGCGTAGGGGCGTACTCTGCCATAGTAAAGGCTATGGCGTTGGCAGCTCCAGTACCGTGTGATCCAGCTTGGACAGCCGGGACAGTGAGAGACTCGAGAAAGTTGTGGTGAGACGTAACGAACTCTTCTCTCTTTTTTTTGAAGCTTTGGCACCATCGTATTCGACGAGCTTGTTCTTGCGAGCTTCCATAAGAAGTTTGAAACGTTCGGCTCGTTGGGTGTCTTGCGTAGTAGCACGCTGCTGAGTAGCGAAAGCAGCTGCAACAGCCGCAACGGTAGCTTGAGTCTTTGCATTCATTCTTGCTTGTGCACGAGTGTAAGGGCGACGTCCGGTAGAGGGGCAACGTTGACGAGGAATGTCTTGGTGATGCTAGCGGTAGGTGATGGTACCGGGTAACGTCAGAGGAAACGTAGACGATATTGGGCCCTTCTGAGAGGGCTGAGAGCAGTGTATTGTGGTGAAGAAAAAAGTAAGAAGCTCTTCGCAGCGGCCGCTCGACTGACAGCTTTATATATGGGCTGCCAGTGGGGCTTGCGTGGCTTCAGTGAGGCTTGGCGCCTTATGTAATGTATCACCGAGAACTCGGGTGGCCAGCCCGGGTCTTGGATCAAGTAGAAGTAAAGAGATATCATATGAAATACAAGTGAAGATGAGATATCCCCAACACGGAGGGCAGCTACAGCAGCCTTAGCGCGGCGCTTGACCTTGGGCTTTGTGGCGGGCGCGCGCGTAGGTTTGGGGAGCGAAGGCTGTGCTTCCTGGTTGTCATTGTCGGTCGTGCCGCTGTCGTTGTCGGCATCGTTGTCGAGACCACAAAAGATTCTGTTGATACTGTTGCGGGGTTCGTCTTCGGGGTCGCTGGTAATGATGCGCTTGGGCTTCTCATGCTTGACGATCTGGTGATGTGCGGCACCCGCGGGGGGAACGGGAAAACGTGGAGACTTCCCGGAAGTCTTGGGATGATTAGGCGTGGGCTTGTGTGCCAGCACTGTTTTCGCCATCGCTGGAATCGTCGTCGGTGTACGGGTCTGGGTCGAACAAGTCAATGAAGTCTTTTGGGATAAGGGTGTAGCATTGACGAGTGCCACTAGTGCGAATCTGAACACCAACGTGGATGTCAAGTTAGCCACCGCGAAGGGCTGTTGTCAATGGCTTAGGGAGGCTGGAAAACGCGTAATATTGCTTGCCGTTATATGTCTGGGCTTGTCTTGTGTGGGGCAAGAGGGCGAGGAGGTCGTTAATTTCTCGTTGGAAGATCCACTAAAAGGCTCTGTCAATCAGTTCCTCAGCCATGGAGGTTTGTGTGTATGTGGCTCACTTCCAGGTGTGCAAAGTACTGGGGGGAGTGAGCGGCGACGGTTGGAGGGCTCGGAAGTGAGCCCCTGGCCTTATATGCTCTCGGGACGCGTGCGGCAGTGAGAAGAAAAATGATCTGCAGATCATTTTTGTGGAGGGTAGCGTGGATAGCAAACACGGGTAGCGTCGTTAGCAATTCCCTATATATATGCGAATATTTCTAATGGATCTGGAACGGGGTTCTTCATTGCCCAAATCATCAGATGACCGCTTCTAGTCTCAACCCTGTTGATGTTTATACTCCTTTTTCCGGCAGGTAACTCTATCTTTGTGTCCAGGTAACTATCTTTGTTTCCAAAGAAAAGGGTTCCCCGGTTGCGTCGCGTTGGAACTTGGGATTTCGAAATTTAGTGACGCGGTGAGACGGGTGAGACGACGGACGCGAGACTCACGCGTATTCCCGCTCTTCGCAAGCATCCCAACATTCCAACAGCATGCGAACAGACCGCCCCCACTCTCGCAAACACACCCCACGTCCAAACTCACTAAACGACCCCCCCCCCCCCCACTCAAAATGGAAGGAATAGGAACTACATCCCTCTGGAGTCTCTGTCGCGCTATCGATTTCCAGGATCTTCGTAAGTTCACTCCCCCATCAGACATCACGCGCAGCGACAGTGACAGGCAACCCTACTAAGAACCTCCTGATATCCGCCATGTAGAAACAGCAATAAAGGAACGAGACAGTTCAGAAATCCTGCCGCCTATAAAAGATGCCAGTGATGTTAATGGTATGTTTGCATGCGCGAAATCGTCTCGGATGACCGACCAATCCGCCTGATCTGTTGTGTTAGCCGCGCCGCTAAAGATCCTATTGCTCGGCGCATCGGATCCGTGCCATATCATCAAGACCGTCGCGAGGGCGGGACGGCATGGGCGGAGGAATCTTGAGGTGTGTTTCAAAGTGATCATGTGCGTGGGGGTATGGTAGGAAGGGCGACTGACGGAGGATGGAAATTGCCAGTTTGTGGTGGTAGAATCCCAACCGACGACTTTCGCACGGATGATAGTTCTGCTCGATGCGCTTTTTTCCGAGAGCGAGACCGGTTTACAAGGTATATATCAGGACCCCGCCCAACATCTACCCCATCATATATGCCCTTTCTTGACACCTTGATCCCCAACCCAGACCGCATAAACCTCTTCCTCGACCTCTACGGCAACCTCCTCCTCCGCCCCGTCACCTTCACGCACCTCCAACACCGCTCAACCCACTTCATCTCCACCCTTCCCACCTCCCCGACGCTCGCCCTGGCGCCACACGTCCGCATCACCACAACTCTACTCAAGTTCCGCGAAAAAGACGATTTGGACACCACTTTCCAGTTCTACCGTTCGGATAAGAAGCCGTTTGATTTAGCAGCGATGTGGGACGCACGGTTGCGGAGATACCACGGCGCGCGGTACGACACGCGGGCCGCGATGGTGGATTGGGATTACAACCTCAAGCTCGTCCCGATCTTCCCTACCCTCGATGTGGACACGTACAATCGTTTCCGCGCTTCGGGTCAGTGCTTCCCGATCCGCGAAAGTGGTGGGAGTGAGGCAAACAGGACGTGGGCGACCGTGGAGAGGTTGGTTGATCCGAGGGAGAAGGTTGGGGTGGTGAAGTGGGGGTATTTTAGTGATGTGGTAGTTGGGCCTTGGGGGGCTTTTGGCGGGGATTGTGAGGACAAGAGCGTACTGAAGACGAGGAATGGGGTAAAGGTTTGCGATGTTGGCGAGGTGGTCGAGAAGGTTGTGGGGGGGTTGGTGAGGGAGTGGAAGGGGCGGCGGGGGATAACGCGGGAGGAGGTGGATTCGGGGATTCGGGAGATACCTGATGGAGCCGACGAGGACAACGCCCACCCACCCTCTGAACGTAAACCGACAACAACAACCATCCACCTCGCCACCCCGCCAACCCTCCCCAAACTCCCGCGCACGTTCCCAACAGGCTTCGATCACATCTACATCTCCGCGGCAATGGCGCACCGGCTGCCTGAGGTCTCGCCGTTCCTCGCATCTCCCACTTCCAACAACTCCGTTAATGCTAGCAAATTGGACTCGCGGCCGACGGTTATAGTCCAAAACGTCAGGTAAGTGGCCCCGTAACGGCAGTACTCTTGATCTTATCACCCCCACCTCCCCTTACATATTCACACCACCCTGTCCCCAACCTTCGACCAGATACGTAATAGACCTCACAAAAGAACAACGCGCCGAATACACGAAGACAGTGCTCGCGATGGCTGGGAAGATGGGGTTAGAGCCTGCTAAGCATCCGGCGATGGAGGGGGAGGGTGGGGAGTATTTCATTTTTGTGCGGGGGGAGGAGCGGGTGGTTGAGGAGTAGGTTGACGAAGAAAACGATGGTGGAAGTTGGGGGATCTCAAATCTGCGGGGTTAGCGGAGGTTTTTGGAAGGACAGGATAAGAAGTGGGGCGAGTGAAATTGCGCGTAGAGAATACAGGGTATGCAAGCAAGTATGTGCTGAGATGGTGGAAGGGGGGGGGGGGGGGGGGGGGGGGGGGGGGGGGGGGGGGGATCTATATACGAGGATGGGATGCCGCTCCCGGAGATTCGTGCCTTTTCGAAACCCGCTCCGCGCGGGACGCCGTCAAACTTCGAGCGCCAGGAGAGTTTTGGTATTTATGTATGTATCTACAGTACGGAGTGTAAATCCACCAATGGGCAACTGCGTAAGAAACGTCCTGATTGCAAAGGTGCAAAGCGTTCTATGTGCCACGTCACAAAAAAGGTACCCCATGTCTATGATGTACAAAATATCCACAAAAAGCTCTCCCAACGCACCCATCACCCTCACAAGAAGAAGGTCTCAAACCCCAGTCAGACTCCCCCCACCCTCAAACAACCCTCCTCCCCTTCACCCACACCCGGGCCACATTCCGATCATCCCCCAAAAACACCCACTTCTCAAACATCGTCGCGACGGTATCATGCCCAAACACGGTCACGGGGCGGCGGGCCTCGTCCATCACACTCGTTGCCGTTTCCGATGCCGCGGGCGCCGGCGCGTCGAGGTCGACCACCACAGCGTCAAACTCCTTCCCCGGTACAAAGTTCCCCACCGTCTCCGAGATGTTCAGCACACGCGCCCCGCCAAGCGTCGCCAGATGAAACACCTCCGGCACCGTCAACGGCCGATGCGGCTGCGGTGGGTCATGGTACCGCACCGAGGGGGCTTCGTCGTCCTCCACCACGCTTTTCGGAATGTTCAAAGAAGCGAGGACCGCATCGTCCCGTTGGGTGAACCCCACGACTTTACTCGCGACCAACGCGCTGCGCATCGCTTCCACGATGCTCATACTCCAGCCCCCGGCGACGTCGGTGCCGAGGCCGACTTTGATGTTGGCGTCGAGGAGACGGCGCACGTCGCAGACCCCGGAGGAGAGGGCAAAGTTGCTGACGGGGCAGTGGGATATCCCCGCCTGCGTTTCGCTGAGGAGGGTGGTCTCGGCATCCGAGAGGTGAACGCAGTGCGCGAGGACGGTCCGGTCGGTCAGCAAGCCATGGTCGTTGTAGACAGAGACGTAGTCGCGCGAGGCGGGGAAGAGGTCGCGGATGAATGAGCATTCGGCGGGGTTTTCGGAGCAGTGGGTTTGGATTCTTAGGGCGTGCTGTGACGCGAGGTGTGCAAGGCCTTTCATGAGCTCGGAGGAGCAGGAGACGGCGAAACGGGGGGTGAGGATGGGTTGGACTGTGTCTATGTTCAGCGATTGCACGGCGGTGATGAATTCTGTTGTTGTTTTGAGACTGTCCGAGGCAGAGGGTTCGACGTAGCCTTCACCACCGTTCCGGTCCATGCAGACTTTTCCGACAAAGGCGCGTTGGCCTAGTGACTTGCAGGTTTCCGCAAGGACCTTTGTGGCGGGGAGGTGGAGGGTGCCGTACCAGGCGGTGGTAGTTGTGCCGCAGCGGAGGGAGCGCGCGACGGCTTTGGGGTAGATGGTCTGGGCGTGCGTGAGGGAGGAGAACTTGCGTTCGGAGGGGAAGGTGTAGGTGGTGAGCCAGTCGAGCAGGGGAAGCGTGTAGCCGGTGCCGGTGTAGGCGTATTGTGGAGCGTGGACGTGCGTGTCGATGAGGCCGGGGATGAGGAAGGAGTGTGGTGGCAGCCGGCAGATCTGTGGTGGAATGAATGGGGATTGACGAGATGAGGGATGAGATGATGGTCTGAAGGATGAAACGACATCCTGCTCGGTCTCGCTCGCGACAAGGATATTGGGCAATGTGTGATATGATATAAACGAGAATCCGCTGCCGCTGACAGCTGAAAATGGGGGGTCGCTTCGCTCGCCTCGCCTGACAACCACCGACTGTTCGCTGTCGCTCACAAGTATTGGGCCTACGGTGCGGAACTCGCTCCGCTAGTGAGTGGCACGTTCGCTCTGGCCGACCTCCCTATCGCTCGAGCTCCGAGAAGCGAACCAAACCCTGCACGTCACCGTCGCTCGCCGCAGTTCGCACTCTGTTCTCTCGCGTAAACATACCTCAACCCCTTCCGCCCCCACCCTCTTCAACAACTCCCTCAGCAGCCTCTCATCATCCACACCATCGTCTCCCTCCCTCTCCCCACACTGTCTTAGTTTCTCAACAAACGAAATCCTCCCGTTCGCGTCGACTCCGAGAACACCTGGTGCGATGATGTCTAGGGTGGCGAGACCTGTCGAGTGGATAAGAGTGCCGACAAAGACCGTCGTTGTCGGCGCTGGCGGTTGCTGCTGCTGGTGCTGCTGCTGTGGGAAAGACATCAAGTGTGATATAGGGGGGTTGTTGGTAGCGGGGAGACTGCTGAAGTGGGCTGGAGTGTGCGGAGTTGTTCTGACGATTGTCCCAAGTTGAAGTTTGGAGAAGGTCGTCGCCCTCCTTGGATTTTTTGAGAATTCACACCCAGAGCTCCCCCCCCCCCCCCACAGCACAACCCACATAACACAACATGACCGACCCACACACACGCACCACTACAGCCCCGGCCTCAGCAGCACCCCAGGCAGGCAGCGCCGACACCCGCGTTCGCCTCGTGGAAGAGACTGGCAAGTACGTCTATCTAGGCGAAGATGGCGTCAGTTACGAGTGGGACGAGGAGAAGCATGCTTGGTTCCCCATGTGGTGAGTGAGGCGGGGAGGGGAGAGAGAGAGAGAGAAGGGGATCTATGTAGGCCTTGTGTTTTGGGGACCCAAGACCTGGCTGCGATGACCCATGCTCCAACGTTCTGTGTTATGCCGCGTGTCCTCAGGGACGAAGCCCTCATGCAACGCCAACAAGCGGCATACGGGACCGCCGAAGAAGATGTCGCATCAGAAGCAGCAACAGGAGACGATACCACCACGACCACCACCAAACGAAAGGGGAAGCGGAAGCAGGTGTTCACATCGGACGAGCCCGACCGCAAAAAACCGAAAGCGGAACCAAAGAAACGGCCAAACACGTCGGTGTATGTGACGGGTCTGCCGGGGGATACGACGGAGGAGGAGCTGAAGGAGGCGTTTGAGAGGTTTGGGATTTTGATGGAGGATATCAAGACTGGTGGGTTTGCGCGTGCGGGATGCGAGTTGATGGGGGGGTCCGATTGGCGGAGGGGAGGCCGAGCGGGGTGTTGGGCGAAGGGCGCAAAGATGCTTGAGGCTGGCGGGCGATAGACGCCCAAGCCGCTGCCCATACCGGAGCTCCGCCGAGCACTACCCCCCAACAGACGCAACGCTTGCGGACGACACCGAGGACCCGTGGTGGGGCGACGCGAGCGATAGTGAGCATTCACGGGGTCGTTGCGACACCTTGACCAACATCGGTTGGCGAGACGAGCTCGCAGACCGTGTGTTTCAATCATGAACCAACATTTCCGTCCCTTTACGCTTCATCCATTCGTCTTTCCATGATCTGAACAAACCAGCACATCTCATTTTGTCCCCCTCGGTTTCATCCAGGAAAGCCGAAAATAAAGCTGTACAAAGACGCAAACGGGACCCCGAAAGGCGACGCGCTCATCAGCTACTTCAAAGAAGAGTCGGTCGATCTATGCTGCAATCTCATGGACGATGCCGATTTTCGGTTAGGGACCGATTCCAAGATCCGGGTTTCGAAGGTATGAGAAGAGCGTCTTACCTCTCCTTGGGGCATGGGTGGGGAATGAGGTGCTTACGATTGCGTGTATCACTTGCACTGCTCAGGCGGTTTTCCAAGAAAAAGAAAAGCCACCGCCATCTGGAGACGGCGGCACGGGCACAGGCGCTGCCGCAACAACCTCGACGACGACGAATAACGGAACCAAGAAGGTCGTGCAGAAGAAACTGCAGAGCCTCTCAAAGTGAGTTCGGGGGGCTCTCTCGCATGAACCCTCAGTTTTGGTTTGATTTTCGTTCCCATGTTTTTTTTTTATCGTTCTCACCCCCCCCCCCCCCCCCCCGCCGCCTCACATTACAAGACGGCTAGACTGGTTCGAAGTCCAACCCGGCAAAAAATCCGACAAGTTCTCCAAAGTCGTTGTCCTCAAATACATGTTTACGCTCAAGGAGCTAGAGGTGAGTTCCAGTCTTTCGTCGCGCCCCCCCAATTCACGCCATCGTCGTGGCTACCCTGGTTGGCTGCTGATAAACGGCGAAAAATCAAATTCGAATCCCACTCACGTATATATATATATACTCTCTCGGCGCCGCTGATAGGACGATCCAGCATTGCTGTTGGATTTGAAAGAGGACGTACGGGCCGAATGCGAGAAATTGGGGGAGGTGACGAATGTCGTCCTGTACGACGTAAGTAGAGCACAGGGAGGCGCCCGCCCAGCCGCCCATCCCCACCTAAACATCGACACCAAGAAAACTCACATCAACTCGAACCTTGACGACCCAGCTGGAAGAAGATGGAATCATGACCATCCGCTTCAAAGACCCTGAAGCGGCTGAGCTGTGCATCAAGGTGCGTGTGTGTGTGTGTGTGTCGTCGCACTCCATCCCCCGCACTCACTCATCCCACACACACACCTCCAACATGGCCCATTTTACAACAACAGCGCATGAACGGGCGGTTCTTTGCGCAACGCCGCATCGAAGCGACCCATTTCGACGGGCACGCCAAGTACCGAGAGTCCAAATCGTCTGCGGCGGCGGGGGAGACGGCGGAGGAGGCTGAGGAGAAGGAAAAGATGAGGCTGGCGGCGTATGAGGAGTGGTTGGAGAGTCAGCATTGAGCGACGGGGAGGGGGGGAGGGGGGGAAGAAGCGAACGTGGGGCTGTGGGGGGAGTTGGGAATGAGAGTTTACACACCATTCCCGTCGTGCGAAATACTGTACAGCACACGCCGAACGCGTTGCAAGAAGAAGAGAGAGATGCGTGAAGTTGGGGGGCAATAATAAGAACGCGTTTTCGTCTCTCGAGAATGGGAGATAAACTCATAAACTAACCTCTAGCGATCACGTGGGTTCACAAGGTCTCGCGACAAGGTCTCGCGACAAGGTCTCGCAACCCTAACCCCTAACCCTAACCCTCCCGTAACCCACATCCCGTACGTCCGGATGACACAGGCCGCTTGGATTTAGAATCATGACAAGGGTAAGGATGTATTATAAGTAAGTGACTAATTACGTACTCGACGCCAACGGCAAGCGGCAAGCGGGGGGGGGGGGGGGGGGGGGGCGGTTGTGCGACCTGTTATGATTGTGATGGATGCGGCCGACAGACAGAGCGAGAGAATGAATTGAAGAGCGAGTCACAATCCTCTTATCATGTCCTACGCCTCGCTCTCCCCTTGCGCCCGACCGGATGTTCTTTCCTTTCCCTTCCCTTCCTTCCTTCCCTTAGTCAATACACTCCTCCTGATATCTACACTACTTCCTCTCTCGGAAAGCAAGTACTCCCTCCCTCACTCTTTCCTTAAAAAAACACACACACAACCATACCACACTAGAACGAAAGACGGAGAGAGAAAGACATGGCGAGGTCGTCAATATCCCGCTTCCAGCAGGTGCTCAACAAACGTCTGTTTAGAGCTCTGCTGGGCTTCACCCTATTAGGTCTGCTGCTCACAGGGACAACCCTCATGGCCGATAGCACAGACCGCGGACGCGCCTTAACGAGGCCTATCTTGAAAACGGTCAATGAAGGGATTGGTAGGTGTTGGCAGAGCTACAGCGAGGAGAGCGGCGAGAAACCAGCGGAGCGGCAGATCTTCTGCTAGCGAAGCGAGCTGCGGCCGAAGGGCAGCTGCGACGGAAGGGGAGCGAGCTGGTTCTGTTCAAGGGAACCTCGCTGCGCCAGTTTTTAAAGCATCTCGTTGACGGTGGATGGGTGTTGACGGTGGAAGGGTGTTGACGGTGGATGGGTGATACCGTAGGGGATGGATGTTGATGGACGATGGTTCCGCTGTCGCTCACTTGCTAACGTATTTCTCTCAATTTTCTAGTAAAGTTAAAGGACCTGACTCCGTTGGCGCCACAGTACACGTTCAACCCACAACCACTACCCGAGGAACTAAAGATCGTGCCGCCATTAAAAGGCAATGGGCCACGGAAAATCTCGCGCGAGCAGGCCATCGACAAACTGTACCGCATGGGCCACTACAACTGGCTCGACTACATAGACTCCCTAGACGATGACAACCTCGCCCCACTCACAAAAGAGGCCCAGCGGTGGATATACGAGTGGCAGAACCCAGACCCGAGTGAATGCCACACCAAAAAATTCCTCATCAGCAACGGCACCGAAAAGGGATTCGGTCTCGGCGCCCACCTCCACAAGCAGGGGCATCTGATGACACTCGCGAGGGAGACGGGCCGCATCTACATCCTTGCACCCACAGGCCACTACGACGACCAATACGCGTTCTCCGACCCATGCCCGGACCCCCACGACCCAACTCGAACCATCACCAGCACCGACTGCATCACCCAACCCGTCTCCTCCTGCGGGATCCAGCACGCGACACCCGAGAACAGCATCGCGACCATGATTCACTGGGAAACCGACCTCGACGGCAAACATTTCGACCCGCAGACCATCTCCCCGTACTGGGAAAAACGCCTCGACGAGCACTTTAAAGGCCAAAAGTTGAGCCGCGCGTTCTACAAAATCTGGTGGCGCGGCCAATCCGCAGCCTACCTCTCCCGCCTCAACGCAAAAGCATCCGACGCCATCCTCTCCCTCCGCATGGAACCACGTCTACACACCAAAACCATGGTTTACCACGACCCCGTCACCAACACCGACACCCCCTTCAACCTCACCACCAACACCACCGCCACCCCGGAAGCCCGCGTCCCGTACCCTCTCCCCCCAAACACAATCAACCTCCACGTCCGCCACGGCGACAAAGGCGGCGAAATGTCCCTCATCCCACTTCAGAGCTACCTCGATGTCGTCGACACCTACTCCCGCCACAACCCCTACCGCCAATTCAAACGCATCTTTGTCTCCTCCGAAGACCCCCAAGTCATCTCGGACGCACGCACCCACGCCCTCACCCAATCCCACCCCCCGACCTCCCCCATCACCGAACCCACCCGCAACTGGGAGGTGTACACCTCCCACATCCAGCGCATCGACTCGGGGCCCTTCCAGCAGATGGAAAAGTACGGACGCACCAACATGACCATGCAGTGGTATCTCCAATTGTGGATGGGCCTGGAATGCGATGGCTGGGTCGGCACCCGCGGGAGCAATTGGAACCGCATCATTGATGAGTTTAGGTGTATCTATGTCGACAAGTGCCAGCTGCCGTATTGGGAGGTCGGCCCGGAGAAGGATTGGGTGGGATACTTTTGGTAGATATTCTGTTACTGGACTCGCCATCTCGAGTTTTCTCGTGACGCGCTGGCGTTGTGGGAGTGGGGGGGGGGGGGGGGGGGGGGGGGGGGGGGACAATGGGGCGTAGTGTGAAGCGGCGTTTTGGTAGACCTGTTTTTATTTCCCCCCCGCCCTCCCTCGCTATCGCTGACAATCTTCGTATTTTATTTTTCATACATCGTATTTATTTCCTGCTTCCTTCCCCCTTGTTCTTCATCGAGTGCATAAAGATTAGATACAAAGAAGGTCTCGCAGTTCTACACAAAGATGGGGCGCGACGCCCATGTCAGCTTGGACGATCAAATCTTTCTAGTTGGGATGAGTGTTGGCGGCAGGATGTCGGGAAGCTCGGCAGCCCATTGCTTCTTGAGTACGTTGCAGAGGTGCATGGCGACGATGAATTCATCTAGATCGAGATATCCATCTGAAAAAATACCCAGAGCGCAAAGGGATCAGCCAGGCACTCTTGTTTTGGCCCTCCCTCCCCCTTGCGAAAATGTCACGGACACCTCTCACCTTTCGTCCAATCCGCCAACCTCCAAATCTTTGCCAAAGCCGCCTTGTCCACGCCCGTCCCTTCCAACATCGGCTTACACGTCGCGCCCGATGCCTTCCCGTCGATCCCCACAATCCCCTTGAACTGCTCCACATACGGCCGGCGATCAATCATATCGTACCGCCAGATCTCGTCCACCTGGCCGGACGTACTCTCGCCGGGGTTTTCGAACGGGTTGCGTTCCAGCGCGGCGATGGTGGGTTGCGCCGAGGGGTACTCGGCCATCAATTTGGGGAAATCGTTCGCGAGGGCGTCTTCCACGGTCTGCATCATCTTCCGATCCAACTTGGGGAACTTTTCCAGCTTGAACATCTGCAGCGTCTCGCGGAACCGGTCCGGGTCCGGGAAATCGCCCGGCGTGAGCCCGTGCATGCGCTCGAGCTTTGTGAATTCGCCGGGGAGGTTGGACAGCAGCTCGTCCTGCTTGTCTTTGCGGCCGAACACCGAGGGCATCTCTTTGCGCAGGTGGGCGATGATGAGGGCGTGCACGCGGGCCATGCGGGTGCGTTTGACAATCTCGTTGATCTTGCGCACGATCGCGTTCTTGGGCAGCAGGCGGAGATCTTTGAGCAGATCCTGTTGCTCGGCGGTCAACAGGGCCGCGCTGTCGGAATGCTGCAGCGGCTGGTCCCAGAAACTCCCAATGTACACCCGCATCACCTCCGGCGTCTGCAGCACCTTCCCCAAGCTCCACATCAGCGCGCCATACACCCGCATCAGCTGCTGCCCCGTCACCATATCCGCCTTGTTCAGCACAACCCGGATCTTTTCATCGTTCCCCTTCAGCGCCATGATCGCATTCTTGAACTCGTCCGAGATGTCCAGCTTGTGCGCGTCAAAGAGGAGGAGGATGAGGTCCGCCCGCCCGGCGAACCACTCCACGACGCCGGTGAAGTCGTACGAGCGCCCGATGCGCTGCTTCTCGCCGGAGAGAATCCCGGGGGTGTCGACGACGATGAGGTTCTCGAGCACGGGCGAGTTGACGAACGAGACCTGGAACTTCTGCAGGAATTGCGACCCAAACCGTTGTATTGACTGGGGGTGGTGGGGAGATGTGCAGGGGATGTTTCAGTCTGTGGTCCCGCCATGCCCCCCTTCGATCCCCACACATCCCCCCCCCCCCCCCCCCCGAGAGAGTCCACTTCACTTCACTCACCGTCCACGGCATCTCCGCGCTCACAGCCGCCGCATTCCCCGGGATAATCCGCTCCTCGGCACCGCCCATCACAGCTACAAAGCGATCCGTCTGCGTAATGTGTGGGCGGGATCAGCGCGACACCACCCCTGTAAAAGATCCCCCCGAAACCCCGCGTGCATAAAGGCGCCCATCCCCCCCAAAAACCAACCGTCGGCTCCGGCCCAATATGCAGGCCCGGATACTCCTTATCCAGTATATGCTTCACAAACGTCGATTTGCCTACAAAAAACGCCACCACCGTAAATCAGCGTGCTTGTACGGGGCGGGGGCATTGATTCGGGATGGGGGAGGGGGGGGGGGGGGGGCATCTCCTTCACAACCTGTACTGTATCCGCCGATGAGAAGAACGATCGGCTTGGCTTCGATGTCTGCATCGGTGAGGTACGGCGAATGGAACTGCTCAAAGCTGTATGCCTGGGGACCCCCATTGTTAGGACGCTCGGTTCCCCAAATCCTCCGCTCTATGCCCCTGCCTGCCCCGAAAGGGCTGAAGGGCTATTCACCTGCTCCAGCGGTCTGATCTTGTTCTGATGGAAGACGGGGTCATCAGATATCGCATCCCCATAGGCGCCCCCCCCCCAGAATACATCAAAAAGAGGATGATAACTCCCCCCGCACCTTGTAGATACTCTTCAACCCATCAACGATGTCCGTAAACTCCTTGCCGGTCGAGTCTTTGTCGTGTTTGGACGGGCTTTTCGCGCTGGAGGGTTTGGCCTTGGTGGGTGAGAACGAGCGGGTGGGGAGCGGGGGCGGGGCGCCTGCTGGTGCTTTGGACATGGCTGGGACTATCCTCGCTCCCAATCGGCGCTGTTAAGAGGTGCAGTGAGCGGCGGGGAGGGGGGCGTTGAGGTCGGAAGGATGAGGTGTGAAAAATCCACCCGTCTTTGACGCGTCCCCCATCCGACGCGTCTTCCTAGGAAGAACACCTTTCGGCACTCGCATTTTTGCGCATGACAGACGGGCGATGGACATGGGAGCGCCCCAACTCACTACAGAGAAACTATTCACAGTGTGGGTATCCATTGCCCCCATGTGTGGCATGTATGCGAGCCATAACCTGTGTCAAGATTCCTCTACTTTGGCCGCGTTGTATAGTAGGACCTGGCGGTCGCATTGTCAAGGATCCCAAATGGAGGCATCATCGGGTGAGGATACAGACGCAATCAAAGGACGAGGAATATTGAGGTGCAGGGTTACCCCCCGGCACGCGTGAATAACGCGTTTTTTCCCCCCGAGGGATTGTTGTTCCCGGTGTCTGGCCATGGAATATAAAGCGACGCGCACGGAAACTCAGATGGCGTGTAGCCTGTCATATTCGTAGGAAAAGTAGCATAGGCATATGGATATAGATCTATGGGTGGGACAGGGTTGTCATATCCGCCGATCCTGCCGTATCGCCTTCGTCGTTCTTCCGAGGGGGGCAATGCTCATCATGGACACTCTCATCTATTACTTCGATTTCGGCTGAACTTTGAGCGAAAAGTCAATATGATGCACGCTTTGCGATAGGGACCCAAAGCTGAGGACATCGACACCTGTCAAGGATCCGGGCGTAGTCAGTCCACTGCACGAGTCTGGCGAAATGAACAAGCAGTCTACCTTCTCCAAAGTACCCCGCGACGTTGTCCTCCGTCAAGCCCCCCGATCCCTCAATCAAGAAGTGTTTCTTCCCTTCGTACTTCTTCTTCAGCGTCAATGCCGACGCGGTGAGCTGTGAAGGTGCAAAGTTGTCCAGCATGACAATGTCGGCCCCTGCCTCGATCGCTTCGATGGCTTCTTCTTCGCTGCGGCATTCGACTTCGATCTTTAGCGCGAAACCGCCTGTTGAGCGGGCTGCGCGGACGGCGGCGGTGATGGAGCCTGCGCGTGGTTTGAGGGGAGTGAGGATCGGCTTCCTGAGTTCATTTGCTGGCAGCCCTGCCCCTCATCGTTCGTACCTGTTGCCCATACATGGTTATCCTTCAGCATAATCATCGACGAGAGGTCGTGGCGGTGGGTGTCGACGCCACCCACAATCATGGCGTACTTTTCAACAATCCGGAAGCCTTCAAAAACCATCATCAGCCATGCATTCCAAACATCCTACCTATCGACATCTGAGCTCCCCTTACCAGGCGTAGTCTTCCTCGTCCCCGCAATGACCCCCTTCCATCCGTGTTGATCCTTCAATGCTCTCAGTCGTCTCGCCCTCGTCGCAATTCCAGAAGCGCGGGCCAGCATATTCAGCGCCGGTCGTTCGCCCAGCAGCAGCGCACGAGCGGGACCGTGCACGCGTGCCACCTCCTTCTTGCCCGCTGGGCCTGGTTCAAAGAACTCTCCTTCTTTGATTAGCCATTCTACTTTGCAGCCCACTTGGGCAAAGACTTCGTCGAAGAACGGGACGCCTGCGAGTACACCCTGGGAGAAAACGGGGGTCAACACAGTAATCTGTACGGCGTTGAAGTGGAGCAATTCTTACCGGAGCCTTCCCAAAAAGAATAGCGACCTGTTCAGACTCCCCAACAACAAAACCTCCATAGTCGAACGACGGAGTATCCTCGTCCAACCACGAGGATACGACCTTCTTCCAGTTCGTTGGGAGAAGATGGCGGGGGTTGCCCAGCTGGAGTGCCGTTGTTTGTGAGGTCATTTCGAGCGTCCCTTCGAGGTGTCTAGGTGATCTACGATGCTAGTCTGCAAGGGCTCTCAGACTACTATCGGTTGCAGGGTTTCTTAACTTTCTTTAACTCGGCGGCGGCGTTGCTGGCCAATGGGAAGGGTGGCCAATGGGAAGGGTGACCAATGGGAAGCGTGGCCAATGGGAAGGAACGGTAGGCCGCCCGTCCAGACCCGTCACACAGCTCTGTGCCCGCGCGAAATAACTTACTGCTATTAGGGTTACGTGGCGAGTAACAGCCTTCCGACTGTATTTACAAACAGTGTTTTCAAATCCCCCCCCCCCCCCCCCCAAAAAAAATATATCTAGAGCTCTACCTACAGTTTCCTTATACCCTACATTCCTCCTCCCTACTCAAAGTCAAACAAATACATCCCCACCGCAAACCCCACCGATTTAGCGACCGTGGCAACCGTCTCATAGCTCATATTGCATTTACACTTGACTCCATCCAACTTATCCGGCGGGCTGATGCGTATCAGGAGGCGGAGGTTAACGAGGGTCGTGAGCTGCATGTACACATCGACGGTGGCATCAATATTGTTGGGGATGATGGAGTAGAAGATGGCGAGAAGGCGTTCGAGGGGGAAGGCTTTGGGGCCAAGGAGTTGTTGGCGGAGCTGAGTGATTACGGGGATAGTCAGTGAGATGAATGAGCATTTGGAGGTGTTGATCATGAAATTCTTGGAGATGCGTTACCTTCCCGCCCTCCTTATTAACCCGCCCCTTAACACTCCCGCCACCCCTCTTCTTCCTCCCCTCCTCGCCCCCCTTCGAAAAGAACCGCATATCCAGCCGTGGCGGGTTATACGACGCCAAAAATGACGCAATGGCCAAAAATTTTGTATAATGCGGCAGATCGACCGCTCTCGATGTGGCAGTCAAGACGACGGAATGGGTATAGTCGGAAACGGAAGTTTTCATCTGGTTGAGGCTGGAGACTTGACGGAGGTAGACGGGCTCGAGGGCTTCTTTGAAGTAGGGGACGAAGCGGCCGTAGAGTTTGGAGGTTTCCTCTCGTGTTACTGTGTGCAAATCGTCAATACAAAGCACTCCCAAAACGCGCCGATATGACAGCTAATGACACTTACAAGTCCCATTCCGCACCGGCTCCAAATACTTCGGAAAGAAAACCTTGACAAGGTACCTTAGCTCGCCCAGATCCCTGCACGGGTACCGAAACATATCATAAAGCAGCTCGACGAAATTCGAAAAGAACGCCAGTTCTTCGTCGGGCGGGCAGTCGCGCTCGAGAATGCGTAGGGTGTCGTATTTGCTGTAGGCGGGGAACGCGAGGGTGTAGGGCTCGAAGGAGCCAGCGGTGGAGCGGAAGTCATCCCAGGTTGAGTGGCTTATTAGGAGGATTGTTATGTTGGAGGCAACCTGTGTGTGGCGGCATTGAAGCGGTTGTTTGAAAGGTGGTTGAGGGGACGCAGGAGACTTACGCAATCTTCCAGACGGAGGAGGGCAGATAGTAGCAGAGGATTGATAGTCTTCAACCTCTCGCAGTCATCAAACACCTATTGGGGTTAAAAATCAGTCATAAGCGAAACCACAACCGCATGAACAGCTCCCACATCCAACCCACCACAACCGTCTTTATCCCCTCCCCAGCGTCGCCCCACCCTCTCTGCACCTCCCCCAACCTCGCCCTAAAATCTGCCACATTATCACACCTTGCCCACGTCCCCGAGGGACCTGCACAATCGTTCCCCAGCGGTTCCAGTTGGAAACCCGCCAATTGGGCTAGAGCGCTCTCGAACAGCAGCCGGGGCGTGAATCGCTCGACGCAGTTTAGCCATGCGTAGCGGATGGAGGGGTTGGCATGCAGGAGGGATTTTAGGAGAGAGGTTTTGCCGGAGCATCGGGGGCCGGTGATGAAGAGGGCTGGCGGGGTTGGGATGTCCTATCAAACCATTTGAGCGAGATTCCAGTGGACGAGGAGAGGGTTGGTGGTGGGGTTGGCGGTAAGGCTTTGGGGGCCACTGACCTTGTCGAATAGCAAGGAAAGGGCCTCGATTTGCTCTTCTCGTCCCGGAAAGCGGCTGTAAATGGAGGTGCTGGTGTGGTGATCGCCGAGGTCGAGCTCTTCACTTTCAGCGCTGCCTGTCCCCAACATGCCTACTTGCGTTTCTGAAGTTGAAACGAAAGGTCGCCGTCAAGTTGCAGAAACGAGGACCGAAGTCTCGTCGGGAGGCCGATGTTTTGTCCGGAAGGGGGCGCGCACTGACTGCGGTCTCAGCGCCGACAGACTCCGCTGACCTGAGACTTTGTGGGATAAGTAAACCAGGTATGAGGAGCAACGTTAGCTTGTAGTCCTGATGCACATGTTGTAATGCACATACGTGTTCCCTTGCGAACGCCGAACCTCGTCATGGACAAGCGCACTCTAGACGATTCTCTACAACCACACGAACCTCTCATTGCGTACGACGAAACATGCCGCGGGCGCAGATCCCGCATAAGTGACAGCGACCGCATGCCCGAGGGACCTGCGTATCGCGAATAAGGTCACAACGACTACAACGGCTATGGGAGACGAGTGCGCCATAGACTTCGGGCCACGGTTGTCATCGGTCAGTGGACGAGCGGCGTATTTGTTTGCGAACACCGAGGACTTGTAGAGGGTCTGTGCCGCAAACTGCTTTCCAACAACGACAAGTGCATTCGAGCGAGAAGACGACATAGGGGTGTGATACTTTTTCACAAACGCTGCAGGACACGACGGGGCACAATCGTCGTAACTGGAGCGCATTCACCAACTTGCCATCCGTGCCCCTGCTCTTTGTCACCCGCATCGCGATGCCCCAGGAAGGGATGGGTCGGATGGGCACACGGGTGGAGGAAGCCGACTGTTGTGGTATTTTAGGTATCCTGAGTACGTCTCGCGCCGGCGAACACCCAGTCCGTCTACAATACCTTACAGCAGTAGTTATTGTATACGAATATCAGTTAAACAACCCGTGTGGAAGGTAGTCCACATCACATCCAACGTGTGGCTCTGCGTCCAAGACTCAGCAGCCTCATTATCATTCGCCGGATGTCAGCGGGACCCAAGCAGTTATGGGATTCCTCGACAGGATTCGACAGCGCGACTATCTTAAGGTTTCTGGTTCCAGTGCTTGCCCGTTCCCCTCACATTGTCCCGCTGCAATCTTATTATTGTGCAAACTTCGCAGAGAGATTATGCTCTGGACGAGGAACATAGTTCATGAGTTCAATGGATGAGGAGAAGGTTGTGCTTACTAAAGCTTCTTAGATTCCCAAACTCTCCGGCAAGCCTCACGAACGTAACCATAACTTGGAAGAGCGTAGACTCTTCGATTTGGAAGCAGCCATACACTAACACCCACTGCGCCCTGGAGCTCCTCACAAACCTCTTCCCGTAAGAATCTCCGATAGAGCCCATCCGATTCCCGCAGGACATTCGCCCGTCTAAACAGCGCATTGGATCGAATTCACTGTCGCAACCCCCTTCACCCCGCTGACGTACTCAACATGGCAGTCCGCAACCTCCTCTTTCTCGTCCCTCTCATCTCCGCTCTCCTGCTTCCATCCACATCCATTGTCCAAGGGGCTATGGGATCTAACCCCGGGGCAGCCGTCCCAGAGGCTGTGAGCAACACCGAAAACATCGCCAATACCGAAACGGTCGTAATTGCCGAGCCGGGCTCCACGGTGAACATCGCGGACGTAGGAACTGTTCCAATCATAATTCCCGCAGAGCCGCTCGTTCCCAACACTACAGATGCAAATCGAGAAGTCGACCCTCCGTACAAGCGCGACAGTCGATTCCATACCCGTGGAGCGCAGTCCTGGACGTCTGGCGCTATGGCAAATGGGTGGGAGTCAGATTGGAACCTGGCAAAGGACTCGTACGGGAGTCAGAACCGGGCAGTGGTGCCGGATCCGGCCGGTGCTAAAGGGAAGGTGTTGCAAATCACATACCCAGCTGGTAAGTTTTCCTCTGTATGCAAGCGTGAGTATATCTGCCTAGGTTGTCAGGAATAACGCCGGGCATCCGATTGAATATAGGCACCAGGAATCCAGCAGGCAGCAAAGTGGGAGGCACAGGGTTTTATGCCCAGCCCATTGATGTCACAAAGGCGTCCACTATCACTTTCTCGTACAAGATCATGTTTCCGGCGGGTTTTAATTTTGTAAAGGGCGGGAAGCTCCCCGGACTATATGGTAAATATCTTTGCCCTGCACCGCAATATTGTGCCCCGCTGCTCACGATTGTTTTTTTTTAAAACCAGGTGGCCACTATGGTTGCAGTGGTGGGAACAGCGCCCTCGACTGCTTCTCTACGCGTTTCATGTTCCGCACCAATGGACTTGGGGAAATCTATCTCTACGTGGATCGCAGCCTACAGGACCCTGGATTCTGCAAAGTCAAGCCGGTCACTCTTTGCAACCCCGTGTGTAAGTTCACCAAGTCCAAGGGTTTTATCCTGTGTTTCCCAGCTTAAACGCTTTACATGACCCAATTCAGATGGCGCTTCCATGGGGCGCGGCGCATATTCCTTCACACCTGGCCAATGGGTAGCCATGAGCCAAACGATAACGCTCAACACCTTCAGCGGGAAGAAGCCCAACAAAGATGGCCGTGTCCAGGTCTACTCCAACGGAAAGAAGGTGATCGACTTTGCGAAGGTGGTCTTCACTCCGGCGCCGAGCATCGGGTTCCAGGGTATCGATTTCGAGACGTTCTTCGGGGGTAATGACGACGCCTGGATCACGCCGACTACACAAAAGGTCTACTTTAAGGAGTTTGCATTGAGTGCATTCTAATTGGGGAGGCTAGATCTAGAGGAAGCTTAGCGCCCACGCTCCAGCGAAGGCTCAGAGAGGAACGCGGGAGGATCGTTAACCCTCTGCTGACTTCCGTGGACGGTTACCTCATTAATATTTAGTTACGTTACGTTCTGATGACTTCAGTGTTAGAAAAAAGAAATGTGTAGATACAGTAACTTTGGAAACTGGTTGCGGCTTTTTCGTTGGGTTTTGGGTTAGGGTTAGGGTTAGGGTTACTAACCCTACCAGCATTCTAACACTGGTGCTTTGGCGTAGGTTAGCCGGTAACGAGTTCGATTTCCCAGAATATCCTTGATGTGCGGCCTCGAATGCCATGGATGTATCACTCGTCCAAATGTGCTACGTACGCCTTTGTGTCCGCCATATACTCACTTCCCAAAAAAGAACCCCACCGTTCATCCAGCCCGCTTCCAAAAAAACACACGGCCCGAACCTAACCCTAACCCTAACCCCATCACTTCCACTTAACAACCTCCCCCTTAAACTGAAACGTCCTCACAGTCCCCACCTTCCGCCGTCTCGCAACCCTCGCCCTCTCCCCCTTCTCCATCCCAACCTCACCAACCCCGACCCACCCCACGCCCGAGTTAACCCCCACAGTCCCCTCAACCGTCGCCAACTGCCCCAGCAGCAACCCAGGTTTGCTCTCCCCACTGGTGTTGTCACTACTCCGCGCCTGTTGATTTCGTAGGAGTTCGAGGATGGCTTTGACGTTGGTGGGGAGGATGTGGCCCGTGAGTTCTAGTTTGTGAAGGGTTTCTACTGTTTGGCGTGTTGTGGTCGTGTTGGATGTACTGCCGGTGGAGGCGGGGGCGGGGACGGCGTAGCCTACTTTGTCGTTTTTGACAATCTGAATCGAAAAAATGGTGTCAGAAAACCAGAAATGGCGCGAATCACAAGTGTGAGAGGTGAGATAGACGATACACGTACACGAGCAGTCTTCAAACAAGCATGCAAGAAAGGCGTCAGCGCCAAGAGGGATGGAAACCCCGCCGCGCGGCGTTCGATGCGCGGTTCTTTCCACTTTAGGAGGTATTGGAAGAGTTGTTGGACCGAGGTAGGGGTGGAGAAGCGGAGGACTGCTGGTTGTGTTTTCGCGTCGGGGACGTCTCTGTGATTGATGTACCATGCGATGATGAGGCTTTCCTGATGGCCTGTATGGTGTTTGTTGGTACGCTACCTTCGGTCCTTGATCGGCGAGTCTCCCGGATTCTGCGGCTTGACCTCTGTTCCGTCCCCAGCGCCCGGCGCCTCTTGCGAAGCCGTCTTCTCTAGCTGCGGGCCACTCTTCTTCCCCGTCGTCGCAACCATTTCATACGCGATTCCTACCAAAAGAAAAAGCGTAAGGTCAACGCTCAAGTGCCATCCCTCCCCAAACAGGCTTGACTTCCAAAGTCGGCGATCACCCACCCTCATCATCCAAAACCCTCCGCAACCCAAAACTCGCACATGCCAGCACCGCCACCTTCCCCGCAAACGACTTCGGGTCGTCCAGGAACAGCACCGAGAACTGCGAGTTGATGTAATAGAAATACGAAACGTGGGAGGTGTCAAAGAGGGTGTAGAGGGATGTGAAGGATTCCGTCCTGCTCAAAAGTCCGTCAGAGATGTGAAAGGACACCGGTATATGGATAGTCCCAACAACGTACCACGCCGCTTCGGCCGCTTTGAAATGCTTAAACTCCTCATGCTCCGCATCATTGAACCCCGCCCCATCTGCATTCTTCGACAACACCCTCACCATCGCCACCACATGCGCCGGCGGCGGTTTCTCCGACGGGTGTGCCCAATGATACAACAACGGCTGCAGTGCCGCCATCGCCCCATTCGCGGCGGTATCACTTTGTCGTGCAAATCTCAACAGACACGTTGAGCCTGCTTCGGGACCGAGCGGTGCGGCTGAGGTGAACGGGAGGCGGGATAGAAGGGACATGCCTTCCTTGAGGGTCCAGTCGATGGGGAGTTCACCGGCCTGTGGGGCGACAGTGCCGTCGGTTGCGGACTGCGATTTGGACTCGGTGGTTTCGTCGCCCATGTTGGAAAGGGTGCGCGAGGCTTTGGGGATGATTTTGCGCGGTTTGGCCAGGCCGGAGATTGCTGAAAATTCTTCTGTTGTCATTTCGCCTCGTTGCTGTCTCTTGCCCTCGAACAGGCCCATTAGGTTGGTTCTGGGGTCTGCCTCCACGTCCAGCTCTGCCGCTGCGTCTAGCGATGGGAGCGGCGGCGGTTCCAGCGGTGGTGGCTTTGCAGTTTTCTTCTTTGGCTTCTTTGCCTCCAGTTTCGGTTGCACGGTGGGCGGCCGACGCTCCGTGTCGCTGAGGTCTTGGTCGGACATGTACCCCTGCCGATCGGATGCATCGCCATCGTCCTCCTCGTCTCCGCTCTCGCTGAAATCGCTGTCTGCTTTGTAATGTCGGGCAGCTCCCGCGAACGCCGCTATTGACCTCCCACTTTTTTTGGCGACGGAGACGTGTGGTGATAGAAGCCCGCCGGGACATGAGTATGACCTTACAAAGGACTAATAGAGAGGATCAGATTGGAGGGGAGGTGTCACTCACAGGCCATCGCGATTTGACACACATACCGGAGCCAACGGTCCCAACACCTCGCGTCGCTGATGAGATCTCAGCGCCTGCGACACATGACTCCCAATAGCCGTAAACTCAACCGACCGCACCTCATCCACCATATCCACCTCCTCCCTCTCCTCCATCAAATCCTCCAGAGGAATGCTTCCAAACAAACTAAACGGGTTCTTCCCCTTCAGCTCCTCCTGCCCACCTCCCGCAGCCGGAAACGGGTTTTGGCTCTGATTCCGCTGCAATATTGGTGGCGGCTGGTGATCATCGCTTCCTGTCAGGCCCGCTGGAACAGCAGCAGCGGGCGTCTTCCCAAACAGCTTGAACTCCAAATCACCCCCTGGCTGCGTCATTCCAACAGGCACATCTCCCCCTGCAGGCACACCGGCGGCGATGGCGGGTATGCTAGAGTTGAAGACCGGTTTCACGAGAAAGCTTTTCGGCACGAGTTTCGTTTTCGCCGTTTGTGATGGTATTTTGAATAGTGCGGGTGGTGCCAGTGGTTCGGCGGTGCCTTTATCTAGCTTCCGCTTTTGCAGTTGCCGTTTCTGCAGGGATATGTACGCCAAATGGCGGGTGTGAGTTTGCAACGCGCATTTCGAGGCATGTTCTGAGACGGGGCGCACATACTTACGCGCAGGGCGGCTAGGTCGGCGGGACGTTTCTTGGATTCCATTGTGATGGTGGGAGGGAGAAAGTCTAGTCTGACCGGGTTCGATAGTGTCTTCCCCAACCGTCCGTGGTGCGTCGTAGAGTAAACAATAGTGCTCACTCTCGACTCTATTTTTGCGAAAAGACAGGTGGTGCAGATGAGAAGCAACCCTTGACCCCGGATGAGTTCCTCACAGGGAAGGTCGCTGAGGGCGTCCGGACAGTCGGACACGCGTGGGCAGGGTTAGGGTTAGGGTTAGGGTTGTAAGCAGGGTTGTATAATGTACCGTAGTCTGGACTCTGGAGCGAAGGACATTGCGTCCGATGATCCTTTAAGCACTACCGTCCTCCATTCTCGCCCCCGAGGCACTGCATTGGGGCAGCCTCGCGGTTGGCTATCTATCAACTCGCATAACCGTCACCAACCGCCTTTCAGGTCTTCTTTCTCCTTTCTCGCAGCGGTTTTCGGCAACATGCCTCTTGGTTGGGACGGACTGCGTGTGTGCCCGCTTTGCGGCATCTGCATAGCGAACATTTACGCCGACGGCCCTCGGGGGTCCTGGAAGGACAGGGAGGAAGATACAAAAGTCGTCCGTGCCGGCGACGGAATTTGCTTTCAGTGGGCTGTCGGCCTGTTCGCTGACTTTGAGACGCCCATAGGCAGGATCGTCTCGGATATTCTGCCAGGGAAGTTCAATGCACAAAGCGTTGTTAATCACATTTCCGTGCTGGACGGTTCGGCGCCGCCTGAATTCTGGGAACACTCTGATAGTCCGCCAATGGAGACCCTTCCTAACTTTCCCGAAGCTGCCGAAGACTCTGACGAGGACGCCCCTTTGCTTCCGTTCCGCAACGCCGAAGGGTTTTACGACTCGTATGACCCCAGAGCTGGTGGTCTTGTACCTGTTCATCCAGGATGCATCTCCCTCGCTTGTGCATGGACTGGTGTTCCAGTTGACAACCCACGAGAATTCTTCACACATCCTACCGGAGGCAGCCTTTTGACATGCAGTTGCTTGACCTACAATAGCTCGGGTTTTGGCATTGAAAATGTTGTAGGCTCTGAGATGGTCGAGCAAGAACGGGAGCTGGCGGGCTTGCGTAGGTCCCAGGCTTGCCAATTCGGAAGGCACCATTTGCACACGCATTCCCCCGCGGACGGACGGTACTTTGACGAACGCGTGCTTTTTCATGACATCGACTATGGGTTGACGTTTGACCCATCGAGATGGGAACCTTATGACGGCGAAATCGATCCGCCCATGGAGGCATCAGATGAATGGGTTCTCGTCAGGCCTGACCGCTTCCCAACGTTGACGATTATCGCCGTCGGCGCCCTTGACAACGAAGTCGTGCCTTCCTCCCGGCAAGATGCACCATTCTCTGACTCAAGCGACAAACTCTCAAATCTCCCGATAGATGTAATCCTTCGCATTCTGGAATTTACGCTACAGCCTGATAATGATCGCGACGCCGACGCATCTCTGATGGAGCTTCAATGCACAAGCCGTCGCTGGAATGAGTTCTTTACCAGTCACGGCGCCGCCGCACAACTACACTTTCGGATGCGATGCCAGTCCATGGGCTTGGTTCCAACAGTCAGCGACAAGAAGCGGCGCGCAATGGCGTTCAACGACGTAATGGCACAGGCACACGCCAACAATGCGGCGGTCGACTGGGTGGCTTACCACAAAGCTTGTAAACGCTCGGCGAGCATGCGCAATCGACATCGGATCCATCGGATCGTGAGAAAAGCTTTCCGCGTCATGCATGTGGAAGAATTTCGAACTGAGGAACTATATCCGGATAGCATGTTCCCGAACGCCTTTGCCTGATCGCCCCCTTTGCGGCTCACACCTGAACCCGAGCGGTCCGGTGAAATCGAGCGCGTAACGCGGCATATTTTTTTGCTCTCGCCTGGGTCCATCGCTGGATCAGCAGAGTTTAAAAGTGTAGATCTGGCTCCGCTCGGGACAGCCTTCGGCCGGTTAGGAGGACATGAGGAGGACATGAAGACGGATGAAGATGGAGGAGATGATGGAGATGGAGTATCATTAGGATCGCGTCATATTGTATGTAGGCAGTCACCAATGAATCGTCGGCTTTTGAAAAAATGTGGGACATAATATTATGGGTCGGTGCCGATTGTCAAACCAAAGGTCGATGTTCCCTGACTATCCTATATATAAGTCTGGACTCGAACGAGTTTCAGACCATCTCAGCGTCAGTTATTTCCACCTTCTTCTGGTTCGATTTATTGCCTTTCCGTATTGACGTATCCTCCGACATCTCCGCTGTTTCTCGGATATCTTCACCTGCTGACGAAGGCTGTCGGCCGGCGGCCTTGCTTTCATTCAGCCATTCTTGCACAATTCCAGCTTTGCCCAGAACACCAGGGGGAATCATGAACAGCATGACGTGAGTGCGGGTTATGTCCTCGGCTAGCCCTTTGACGAGCGGTCTGAAGAAAATGCCGTATACCCAAGGCATCCCGCAAACGAAGGCAATCGTGAAAGCCAAGTGGTATGTTGCGAACCACTGGGATTTGTGATCTAGCGGTGTTCTCCAAAGCGTCATGGCCGTGTTATACGACGGCGGGAGGTAGTTTTGCGAGAGGGACCGTATCAGTTTCGAAACTGAGAGCAGGTCGGACAACGCCGCAGGAGAGCTGGACGCTTGCGACGCAAGCGGGGCCACTTTCTTTACGGTCCGCCCATACCACTCCAAAGCGTTTTGCAATCCGTGTGCCAGTATTCCATCGGCGAAAGTCTCACAACTTTCGGGACTACCAGCTGTACAAGCATCTACGAGAAGCATATTGTTGAACGCGGCGTCTCCGGAGGCTATTATTGACGGGATACCCATTTGACTTGAGCCGTAGATGAGTCCACGATTTATGCGCTCGAAGACAGCAGATGACTCCGGTAGTCCGGGGAGCTCAAATGTGACATTCGGAACTGCGCTCCCAACAGCACCAACGTACTGTTCGCGGGCAAGGATGTCAATTTGTCGGAGGAGAGCTTTTGCTTGCGAAGCCCAAAAGATTTGCCGACCGACTGTGTTGCCTTCGTCGAGGTAAGCCTGCGTCAGCCCAGCCCCGCTGTAGAACAAGGCAAATGCCACCACCAAGACCGCCAGTGCTTTGGGAATCAAATAATGGGAGTCTCGAACATCCATCCACGAGAAGCGGCCGGGATGCGTCTCGGCGTCTTGTCGCCCATCCAAGGGCTTTCGAGAGATTTCGGGTTTCCTTTGTGATGCTCCGCTACCCTCCCCTCCGTTGATGAGCTTCTCCCGCATGAGCCGCCGTCCTATATCAGCATCATCGGCGGAATCCGCACTATCCTCATCTTCATCGGCCGTAAACCGTTGCAGATACGACTCATGAATTCCCTTCGTCACCTCCTTCGGGATGCTGAGGAAGATGCGCAAAAATTGTTTCCGATTGTCTTCGATGAGACAAAACAGAGGCCAAATGAAGCACGCAAAGATCGCCACGTAGAGAGCCACGCCTATGGAGGCTATTCCAAAGTTTTGTCCGACGGACGGCTTTTCGCTCTGCATTGGCCGGGCCGCGGAGATGTTCATCCCTTTCAACATTGTAGGCCCAATATCTTGTAACAGACTCTCCATCCGTTCTCTACTAGTTGTGTCGTTGGCAGCGGCCACAAGGATGAAGGCGATGGCTGCCACCGCAGAATTGGTGACCTCTAACAAGTTCCTGCTTTCTGAAGTGCCCGCAATTAAAGCCGACGGGTCATCCATAAAATCCATCACCACGGACTGAAAAAATCCAAGATCCTCATGCATCTGCAGCACCGCGCCATCTACCTCATACAACCCCACCTCATCATGTCCAAATTCCCGCGCCAGCTGAAGTGTCCTAACCGCATCTAGGACGCCAACAGCCCGATAGCAGGCTTCAGATTGCAATTCAACGTGAGCAAAATTCCGATTCATAGTGGCATACATTTGGCGGTATAGAATGTTTTCCACCACAGCCATAGTGCTCAGTATTGCCAGCGAAATGATGATGAGCAGCGTCAAGTACCGCAGGCGCTGATTCGCCACATTGTTCTTGACGGCTATCAGATTTTTCAAACCTCGCGAACCTCCACGGCTTGACGAGGTGCTTTGTCGGTCGTCATCTATCCCGGCTTTGGGACGATTGATGAGTTCACGGGGGCTCCCGTGCCGTCTCCTCATTCCGTTAATCGCATGATGAGGAGGGTCTACCGCCAATTGACCAGCACTTCCGTCGCCATTGTTTGCTAGACTATGCTCCGAAAATGCAAGTGGGATTGCACCGCCTCCCAGGTCAGTGCGACTTGCAGCGAAAGGACATCCCATCCTTTCTCCTTGCTCCGGAACGGTCAAGTGCCCGTTGACCCCAAGCGCCGGTAACGACTCCATGACTGAATGGTTGATTTTGAAGATGTAGCATGTAATGTTTTGAACTCGAACCTCGCTTCCTGACAATCGCACATCCAATGTTACATCATTGATCTTCAACTCGGTTTTCAGTCGTGCTCGACCGGTGAGCTCAGCAGCCTTCTCCAGAGTCGCGTCCGGTATCCAATCCGAAAGAGCAGGACCCTGAGCGACAGCCAGAGCGACAGCCGCCTCCCTCAACTCCCGAGATTCAGGCATCCTCTGAAAAAGTGCAGTACAGCCCCGGGAAAAGTGATATATGTTCAATTTCTCGTCCGTGATGATGAAATCCTCGTCGCTCCGTTGCGGGACCTGATTCAGCACGCCTAAGAAGGTCTGAGACCCTCCTTCGCCAATCACTTGCTTCACGAGCAACGATACAGGCATGATATAGCCGGAGCTGTGGAGTCCGAGAACCTGTCTCGGCCGGTCGATGACCTTTGCGTAGCCCGTGTCGAGGTAGCGCTGCAGTAGTTGATCGTGAATCTCGGCGAAGGGCGATGGGATGATTGTGATGATGTTTTTGTGTAGAACGTCGGGTTTACGGAGGCCGAAGAGTTTTAAGGCATGATTGTTGACGTTCAGGACCTACATACAAAGGCATGGGTTTCACTAAGGCGTGAGAAGCAAACAACATGCATCGCGGAATCGTGCCCACCCACCTGTCCCAATGTCCGTGGGTCGCCAGAGATGGTAATCAAGGCATTATCCGGCGCGAAAGGATCCGTAGCGCTTGGCTCACGGCCACCGTTCTCATATTGTTCATCGCCTCCATACCCGGTCGCATCTTCTCGTCCTCCTTGTGCATTCTCCTCTTCAAGCTTGTCGGCGTGTCCCAACATTTCTTGAGCTTGTTTGTTGTCATTCAGGATGTTGAGGAGGAAGTGGCCGAACAGGCGGAATACGGAGGAGGAGTTGGGTGACAGCCGGATTAGGGCAATGTAGTGGCTCTGCGGGAGTGCCAAATGTCAGGATGGGGCGACATACGTCTTCTTCTCGCTTTCCCATACCTGCGCCAAAGACACAGCCGCGCTGATAGTGGCGCCATGCGCTTGTAAAGACTCAAAGGACGGCTTTTTGCGAGCGAGTTCCTCCCAGAATTGCAGCACCGCGGCCATCGCTCGACGCTCATATCTGCATCGACCAGTCAGTATCACTCATTTCCCTCCACTGCGACGTCTCCCCACTCCAAACTTACTTCTTCGCCTGCTGCATATTCTGCTCAAAGGCAATGAAATCAATCACATCCCCGCCCGCAAACCGCTCATGCAGCATCCGTTTCCGCCTAAATATCAGAAACGCTTCATCGAGCGTCGGGCCTAGAGTCGATGCCTTCTCATACGCAGCCAGGCACTGTGCCTTATTGCCCATCTGCAATAGGTGGAACTGGCCCGCAAACAGACGCACGAAGCAGGACCCGGCCATCCGACGAAGACCGTGAACAAACATCCCGTTGGTCTCTTCAATCGCCAGACGCTCTTTTTCGCGGATCGCTTGTTCGGCGGTGTTTGCTTGGACATCGGGACCTGTGTAGCCTAAATCGCCTGGACTGGTTGTTTCCAACGTCATGTTGTGAGTGGGAGTTGCGCGGAAGAGGAGGTTGGACCGCATCAACCGGAATCGGACTTTCAGCTCCAGGGTGATGGGGTTGACGTGCTTCAGGTCCATGCCTTCGATGTGTTCTCGGCGGAAGCGGATACAGACGAGGCACACGGCCATCATCAACGGGATTTGAAGGAGGTATATGATGCCTATATCGCTGTGCGGTCGGATCAAGGTATACACGCAGCAGAGGGATGCCCAGAGGAAGTTGCATTGCAGCGCCGCCCGGAACATTGCGTATCGCCAATGATAATATGACATGTACTTCAAAAAGATGAGCGTCAGTTTTGGTGAAAACAAGGTGGCCGAAGTCGAGTCAACCCACCCATATCGATCCGAAAGCAAGCGAGCCAGAGGCTGCCAAAGATGCCAGCGCCATGATCCATTTCGGAGTTACGCTATCCACCTTGAATGCGATGGGAAGCACGGAGTGCAGCAAGATCAGGATCGTACGTGCCATCACATACCACAGATCGAGCCTGGAGTGTGGACGACATGTGATATCATGATCTTTGGGATCTGGCTCAAAGAAGGTGGCCGTCACAGTGAAAGCCAGGCTGTAAAGAGCAGATCAGTATGGTGTTTTTTGTGACGGGGCTAGAATCGTTCGAACATGCAGGCTTTACCAGATGAAGATTAGAGCGACCGCAGCGGTTGCGAGACTGGCAAACAGTCTGCCACCGGTCCAGCATTTTGTGGCCGCATCCAGTACCAACGCCTCCGATGTTTGGGTTGAATGTTCTTCACAATTGGTGACGGCGATCAACAGCACGGTTACACTCGGGACATACAGCACGTTGGCGAACAGAGTGAGCAAGACCCGCAGCGTCTTCAAGGGCCAGATGAACTGGAAGTTATTCGTCGAGAACGAGTAGCCAACCCACAAGGTGTTCAGGAGCGTCACGCCCAGGCTGCAGATAAGGACTTCAAAAATCCCGCCCGTTTGACTAGCCTGTGATGCAGCAACGAGAATGAAACCCTGAAATGTGGAGCTGAAATGTCTACTGTCTTACATAGTGTTCCGGGGCGGAGACCAGTTCCAATGCACGCACGAACCACCCAATCTCATCCTGCCACGGAAAGAAGGTACTGATCGGAAAGGCCAAATCTTGCAGATGATCGATAATCACTTCCACAATCGGCCAGAACCGCTCGGCATGATCATTCTTGTGGATGACGAACAGGATGCCGAAGAGGGCTTCCTTCACCCGTTGGACGAACTCGGGAGTTCCATTGGACGATTTTATCGCACCGTCCCCGCGGTTGAACGGGCTTTGAGGGTTGGAACGCATCTCGAAAGAGTCCGGCTACGGATCAGACGGCTTGCACTAGCCGGCATTGAGACTATTAGTGCGGGATCGCGGTCTGCATGCAGAACTCTTGCGCTGCTCTTATAGCAAGCCAGCTCGGTTTCATTTCTTTCACTGTCGGACTTAAGAGCGGCTGAGCATGTTTGACAAACTTTGTCCCGAGCCCCGACGTCCGTGTTTTTGTCTCCCGGATCTATGGGCTTTGCAGTTCCTGGAAGCCTGGACCGACTGGTTAGATGAGCGGAGTTGGCGCGAGCGCTCCGCCAGAACCTTATTCCTTTGTCTGTCCTCTCTGTCCTCCGTGTTTTTGGACGTTTACGCGCGGCATTTCCTTCTTTTCCTTGCTCATCTGTGAGGCGACTCGGGCTGGTAGGCTAGTACATATACCACATTTTTCATGGTCACCATAAATTAACTTTGATGATATGACAAACGTTGGGCAGCTGCGGGCTCGTGCCCTCCCTCTCGAACAGCAGGATGTAGGATAGCAGCGGGATGCTTCCTTCGCATCGTCAAGCCTGTGTTCGATCGAAAAGCTACATGGGACGGCGACTCGGCACGCGCGGATCGAAATGTTCTCCGGGAGCCCTTTGTACACAGTCCATAGAGGATCTGTGGCTGCTGAGCTGCTTCTGAGGGTCTGCAGGGGCACAATGAGTTTTGGAACGTTATTGATGTACACTGTACAGTACATTCCGCAGGGAACGACGGAAATTGGGACATGACGGCCCCCACGTCCCCCGGCGGCAATTCACCCCCGGTCCTCCAAGCCCAGAACCCAAGCCATGGGCCTCGGGGGGGTCCCACAGGCCTACACCCAACCGGAAATAGCGTCCAGCCATGTATCGTGGACTTGGGTCTGGGTTTCTGAGCGTCTTTTGCAGTTCGATGTGGTCACGTTGAAGAAGTTGGAAATGCTAGACTGGACTGTAGAGGGTGGATGGCCTGAGAGTGGGAGAGTGGGATTCCCAAATGCCCCAGACATGGCATGCTCAAAAATGCCGTACATGCAGGACCGTTTTCTTTCCCCTTCTAATACCAATGGAATGGGGGGTTTCTCGAGGATGAAGCAGGTTACGCCGTGTTGTCTGATGTCAGGCCCCGCGATTATTGTTGTCTTAGCCCGCTTTCTGGACGTTTCGGGCATCGTGTTATTGTCAACGGAAGGGTTGCAATGAGTACATCATGGGAGTATCTAACATACACACGGAGGACGGGATTGCTACGGAGAAAGTACCTTTATGCCATTAGATACAGACGAATCCCTTCTCCAGCGCTCCCACCCTTCGGGTCCGTCTACGCAGCGGGGAAAAACGCCCCATTACGTCCTATCATCCTAAATTCTACGATCCACTACGTCCCTGTGCTCATCCCTCACTGCCGCTTAACCCCCCTCATTGCCGCGGCCCTTTTCTTCCCACCTCCAATCCCGCTCCCCCCATAAATCTCCTTTCCCTTGGGCAACCCCGGCGCCATCCCCGGAAACCACTTTGGCCACACCATGACATACATGACCACCCAATACGCCATCCCCGCAACTGTGCCCGTCACCTTTTCCTGCCACGAGTGGAAATACAGCGACGTGGCGATCAACATGCAGTACCAGAGCATCAGCAGAAAGATGAGGATCGAGGAGAGGATGGCGGTTGATGTGGGGTGGGGGAGGCGCGATCGGAGGGTTGTGAGGGGGGTGGTGGAGGGGGTGACGGGGATGGAGGGGAGGGTGGCGCCGTCGGTGGAGGAGACGGAGGTGTCGGTTGAGTAATCTACGGCGTCGGGGGTGGGCTTTTGTTGGGATGATGTCGTGGATGTCGATGCCGATGGAGCGATGAGGATTTGGAGTTCTTCAAAGATGAAGAGTGACATGTGGATCAGGAGGCTATAGGGAGAGAGCGAGAATGTGAGTAGGGGGTTCGTGGATGCACGCATCCTCCAAGCGAAAAAAATCCCAACTCACAAGCAGTGCCCGGAAACATCGAACCCAAGCCACTCGCCACCATTCTTCCTACAAATAGCGGGATGTCCATGTTCCTCGATCGAGCAAGTTCCACTCATGGTCAAAACACGATCAAACACCGAGTGTCCAAACGCCCATTGCGCGAAAATGACCCAGTACAGTGTAGCGAGTGCCCAGCGGATGATGGGTGCCCTTTTTCGATCCGTGGATGAAAGTAGCAGGAACAAAAATAACGTTGTGCCTGTCCAGAACTGCACGATGGGGAAGAAAGTGAATGTGAGTCAGAAATGTATTCTTCCAGCCCTCTCTAGGAAATTTGAAACCCGCCGCTCGTCATGGTCACGTACCCATCCCCTCTTTGCAAAGACAGTGTTTAGGGGGTTCCTTCTGTTGGCAAAGATGGTATACGGGACTTGGATGGTGGTATGAACAGCGGAGCCTATGGCGACGGTGAGGGGGTATACGAGGGCGAGGTTCCGTTGATACTTTTGCATGTCGCTTTGGTGGGTGCTGAGAGAGAGTGTAGTGTAGTTGGGAGGGGGGGGGGGGGGGGGGGGGGGGGGGTGGTGTGGTTCTCTTCGTCGTGAGCGGAAGTAGGAGTAGGAGTACCCGTGCCAAAGATCTTGTATCATACTCGACCCACTTCCGCGTGAAGCCGGGCACTCACAAGACGGCCGCCTCCATCTTCGCCGTCCGAAGCGAGAACGCAACTCCTCTTTGCACATCACGAAGCAACTTCTGTCCAGTCCAAAAACAACCCGCACGATGAAAGTGGAACAGAAAGCGCATCAGGAACAGATTATGGTCGATAAGAATATGGATACCTGCACACAGGAAGCAACCCCGGATGAGTTTGACCCTGAGTTTACCCCAGAGCTAGATTACGGCGACCAGTACGATATCTGTGCAGAAAATGATGACAGCATGAGCGACGAGGGGAAAATGTTCCAACGACAACAACGCAGCGACAACGACGACAGGTTTTTTGAGGAAGAACAGGAAGCCTACAGCTTTGAGGAAGAACAGGAATCATACGAGGGCGATGAGGGTGACGAAGGTCATAGGAAAGAAGGCAACCGGGAGAAGACGGCATAAGGGAGGAATAATGATTGCATGCGAAACGTCGGAGTCCACCGAGTCTAGTCGGGGTTCACTTAGGTTGGGGGTTAGTATAGACCGCTCGAAGTGGTGGCACAATATCAGGGTTAAACCTCATGTGTTCGTGTTTTTGGGTGAATGTTCGTATATTGAAATATGAATCCACAAATACATGCCGTGAGAGCATGTATTGTACATACAATGTGACTATCTACGGATCCTGCTCTACGGTTCGCATTCGCACACGCTTCTCGGCATACAAGCGGAGTTTGCCATCATTTCCTTGCTCTGATAAACTTCCGGAACTTTGCTCCCCCCGTTTGCTTCTCTGTTGCTTTTCTTTTGATGGACAAGGCTTCTATGAGCCTGTCAGCCGGTTGATCCAAGACTAGGTGCACGGAAGCTACGCTGACTGGTCGCACCTCCCACGGAAGTGATTGAGGTGTGATGTTGAGTCAATCATCATTTGAGCCGGCTCGTTGTCCAGATCCATATCCATATTCCCCACCACATCCTCTAGCAAATTGGCGTAGAATCCTACTCTACGATTGTGAGGCCGTTGATGTGATCTGCATCGGTTGGATGTGCCACCAGCCTGGCGTATCATATGTGGAAGCTATGGGTTGAGCGTGCAGGCAACGGACTCTACGGTTGTGCACGCGAGTGCCTGAGAAGTTTGCGAGAGGTGATTGAATTGAGAAAGTTGCGACGATTGCGAGAGAAAGGCCACCGAAAGCGGGAACATGTCGTGTGCGGCGCACCAATCGACGTGCATGCGGTAGACGTTTCGCTTCGCCTTTGAAAAGATAGGTATGATTGATGTAGATGTGAATCGGATGCTCCGTTTAGTCGGCAGTGCTGCGAGCTGCTCACACATCGGCGTCCGGGTTGTATTCTCATTATCGTCGTTGTCAAAACAGAGGACACCAAACTTGCGGCGGCGTAGGGAGAGTGCGTAGATATGAGGACGCTTGGCGGAGAGAAGGTGTTGGATGGTGTTTGATGTTTCTCCATGCGTTGGCTGCAGAGTTCCCGGGACCTGGTTTCGCTTCCAAAATGCCCCTATCAGAACTCTGTTGCTGACCATGTCGCAGAACCCAAGTGCATGGTTCTCCATGATCTTCCTCAAGACAGGTGTCTCCCCGTCTGAATTTTGCGCTGACGGTTGAGTCTGCAGCAGCAGGACTAGAGGTTCCCAACCCGCCCGGTCACAATCAATGTCGCTTGAAGAAGTCTGTGCCGCATTCGACTCGTGAAGTAGGGAGGCTATCTGCGGGGTTACGGATCCACATTTTCCTGACGTGAGAAGGGGATAGTTGGTTAACCGTTCCCGGATGTATGTCAACGCAACAAAGCGGGAATTGGCTCGAGCAATCATCTCTGAGCTGACGGTGGCCGTCACAGAAAACTCGTCTGCCGTAAGTTGCACGTAGTTATTCATCGAACAGGTCTGGTTGGGCATGGTGGTGTCACTGGTGTGGGTATGCTGAAGTTCGAGCGCCATGCTGTGAACAATGGCATGAGGAGCTTCTCGTTTGCGTCGTTGCGGGCGGGCTTCCATGTCTGGCTCGATTTCTACCGTGCTAACGGTTGAGTTTCCCTTGTAGTCTGGGTTCACGAAGGAATGTGTTCTACCGTACGATATGTTGGGTAAGCCAGCAACCTACTGGACAAGATATACCACACCACAACGCACAGCCTACTCTCAATGAGCGGCCGCCTGCTTCGTTCACTGACAGCCGAATGCTATACGAGATGCGGATACGTGCATACGGCTCGCGGCTTCCCGAGCGTCCTTGGTGGTACGCTGCTCAGGTGACATTGCATCCTCGCCCTGCGTGCGCCCGACAGCCGCCATGTAGGCCTCGAGTTGGGTCCCGAACGACCTCGAGTCTAGCCGAAGAGATCCGTGTAAGCCCGGCTGCGGGTACCGTGTCTTGTGAGGCGCATACGGACAAACGAGTCACCAGATCGAGCATCAGCTGTAGCCGCGTGCTTCGGTCTTCATGAGCATGTAGTCTGCATTGCGCGAGTGGTTGGGCATCTGCACCACACTGTTGCACGCTATCGATAGCGTAGCGGTTTCGAGTGTTGCATTGGCTGTGTACGGCGATGGGTCGTGCACCAGGCCTAGCGCGATTGCCGCACGCCTTGCATTTGTTCGCATAGACTGCGGGCTGCCTTCTGCGCACAAGCGGTGCAGCTCGTCCAGATCGCTCGAAGACAGTGGCGATCCAGTGGACGTCTGGACAGATCAGGTCGTATGAAGACAGTGGCTCGAAGTGCCGGTTCACTCTCTGAAAGAAACAGAGCGGCGAAAACCTTCACTTTGAATGATTACGTAATAAGTACGCGGAACCGACCCGTCGGTAAGGCTACGCGACCGCCGAAAATTGATCTCCGCTTTGCAAGAAAAGAGATGGGAGGGAATGTCAAAATCGACATCGGCGGGCAGACGGACGGGCAGCGATACCCATCCAGCTGGAATAACAGAAAACAGAGAACATTACACCTTCCTCTTCATCTGCCAGCATAATCGTTCCTACGTCTCGTCAACTTCACCTTTCCGACAAACTCAACATTCACGGAGCAAACTCCGACCGCATCCCATCCACCTCACCAGCAGCGCTTTCCTCCACACATCAATATGTTTGCAACAAGGCCACCAAGGCATGCGTCGAATTTCGAAAGATCCATGGATCCTTTCAAAAACGCTCATACATGATCTCGTTTCATATCTAGGCCACCATTCGGCGTAGGAGCTTCATCTACTGCTACATTAGCACCTTCATCATCCGTCGAGGATGATGACCTTTATTCCTTCGAAAAGACAGTACGTGGTAGCAATGAACCGGACAGCCTTGTGCGCCCCTCATTCTGACCGCGAGCTCTTTATAGTCAAACACAGGCGGCTACGGCGGATCCAACAGCACATGGACCTCGGCAGGACGAGTCGGAGTAACATCAAGTTTCGGCTTCCAAAACCGGGGGCCACCAGGAACGTCCGCACGACTAGGCACAAGCATGAGGATAGGCGGAGACGCATCAGACGCAGCACGGCCCATGACGTCCGTGCGCGCCGCGGGTTACTCCAGTCGCGGGCGAATGGGGATGACGGCGGGGCAAGCGTTCGACCCTTTCAATCAAGCTGCGCGGGACGCAGCAGGTGGATCGAGCAGTGGTGGTGGGGGCTATCACAAGTTGGAAGAAACGCCGGAGGAGCAGATTCGGAACCTGGAACGGAAAGTAAACCAGCTGGTGGAGGAATCGGCTGTCGTCGCCGCGAGTGGGAATCTGCGGTCGGCATTAGAAAAGGCGAAGGAGGCGGGCAAGAAGGAACGGCAGCTGTGCCGGCAACGAGAACAGTTGGAACTGGCGGACCAGATGAACCTGGACTTGACGTATTGCGTGCTGTTCAACCTCGCCACTCAGTACCAGATGAACCAGTTGTACCAAGAGGCTTTGAACACGTACGGCGTGATTGTGAAAAACAAACTATTCAACCAGTCCGGGCGGTTACGAGTCAATATGGGGAACATTTACTTTGAGCAAGGGAAATACTCCCAGGCGGTGAAGATGTATCGCATGGCGTTGGACCAAATATCGAATGCAAACAAGGAGATACGGTTAGTGGCGGAAAGTGCACACTGGGTGGCACGCACCGATATGGCAAATGCGAGGACTGAAACTCGAGCAACTTGATGGTTTCAGGCTGAAAATCATGCGCAACATTGGAAACGCCTTTGTGAAGATGGGCCAGTTTCAGGACGCCATCACGTCGTTCGAGGCAATCATGGAAGGAAGCCCAGATCACCACGCAGGTATGAGCGTCACCGCCCGTTGAGGACATCACACATCGGCGCCCCACAAAAACGTCGTCGTACTGAAACCGTGTACATAACAGGCTTCAACCTAATCCTCTGCTACTTTGCCCTCGGGGATCGAGACCGAATGAAACGCTGGCTACAACGGCTAGTCTCAATACGGCCCGTAGCAGTGGAACAAAACGAGGATTTCGGTGCGGGCTCCACCGAAGGACCCATTGAGGACCATGAGGTCTTCAATGAAGACGAGCTGAGAGCCATAGCGCGGGAACGGTATGAGCTGCGTTTATCATTCACGTTGGTCAAAGACGGCAGATGTTGAATTTTGGGTTATCCGGGCGAATAGGCAGCAAGCAGGCGAACGATGCATTGTACTGGCAGCGAAACTAGTCGCGCCGAGCATCGAGGCCGATTTTGCGGCCGGGTACGACTGGATTGTGGAGACGGTAAAATTATCGCCAAACGCCGCTATTGCGAGCGATATCGAGATTGCCAAAGCTATCCAGTATTTGAAGGCGAAGGATTTTGGAAAGGTGCGTTCTTTGTGACGGGTTTCCGGTCGTTCTGCTGTGAATTCGAGCCTCTATTTTCATCATTCTCGGACTGACGCACATTTCAAATTATGAACCACGCAGGCGGTAGATACATTAAAAGCCTTCGAAAAAACCGACCAAAAAATGCTTGGCACAGCCGCCACAAACCTCTCCTTCCTCTACTTCCTCGACGGCGACTACAAGCAGGCAGAACGGTATTCAGATCTCGCGATCGGGAATGACCGCTACAACGCGAAGGCGCAGACGAATCGCGGGAATTGCTATTTCGTTAAGGGTATGATCGTGTCGTGGAGTACGGAGTTTGTGGGGGAGTGCGTTGTGATGACATATGTGTTTGGCAGGCAATTACGAGAAGGCCAAGGAACATTACCAACAAGCGATCAATGTGGATGCTGTCTGTACGGAGGCAATGTACAACCTTGGTGCGTATGAGGCTTACTTTGTTGACAGTTCCAGCACCACTGATTGGTACGAAATCCAACAGGCCTCGTGAACAAGCAGCTGGGACTGCATCTCGAGGCTCTGCAATGGTTTGAAAAGCTATATGCCATCCTGCGGAATAGCGCTGAGGTCATTTTCCAAATCGCGGACATGTATGTGGGCTAGCCTGCCGCGCAGAAAATCTTCCTGATGACAGCAGCAACTACTCAACGAATGACTGATCCTTAGACACGACAAGCAAGGCAACCTCCAACAAGCCATGGAATGGTTCAACATCCTCATCTCAGTCGTCCCCACCGACCCGGGCGTCCTCGCCAGGCTGGGCGACATGTTCGTACGAGACGGGGACAAATCGCAGGCATTCCAATACTACTCCGAGGTACGTTCCCCCTACCGCACCCCATCCCCTCACAACCACCCACTCACCCCCACACATTAGTCCTACCGCTACTTCCCCTCGAATATGGATGTCCTCGCCTGGCTAGGCGCCTACTACGTCGAATGCGAAGTGTACGAGCAAGCGGTGCAGTTCTTTGAACGCGCCGCGACGATTCAACCGCAGCAGGTGCGGTGGCAGCTGATGATTGCGAGCTGTTATCGAAGAGTGGGGAGTTATCAGCAGAGCTTTGAGACGTATAAGCGGATACATGAGAAATTTCCGGACAATGTTGAGTGTGAGTATACCCGCGAAGGGGGGACGTGATGGTTTTTCAATGGGTTTGTTTCTTATACTCAAATCACACACCCCCCCACACAGGCCTCCGCTTCCTCGTCCGCATCTGCACCGACCTCGGTATGAAAGAAGTGGCCGAATACGCCGACAAGCTCGCGCGCACCGAGCGCGCCAAGGAACGCTCCTCCGTCTCTTCCGAAACAACCGCGCCCTCAACCCCGCGAGCGAAAGAGAGCAGTTTACGAGGGCTGGGTACGCCGGAGGGCCGCGTCAGTGGATTAAGAGATGAGGATGGCGAGCGGAGCGCGGGGAAGAAGCGGGTGTCAATTGTTATGCCGCCTGTGGAGAAAGTTGGTGAGCAGCAGATTTGTGTATGAGTGCGGTTGGATGGTGGGAAGATCTTGGGTTGTTTATGACTTCCTGTTGGGTGTGCGATAGATCCGAATGTGAAGGTCCGACGACCACAAACTGCCGTAAGTACTATTGCCCGCATGCCCCCATCCCTGGTAAAACATCACTCACGCTCACTCTGATACACCCCTTCCCTGGCACACCCACAGAACAGAAACCGCTTCGACGACGACGATTTCCAAGAAGACGTCAGTTCCCTCCTCCCCGAATAGAACCCAACACCCCCGTCACGTCTCACGCTCTGTCTTTTGTCTGTCTCGCATAAATCACCCCGCATTTCATCGATTGGACACACACGCCTGTATTCCCATGTTCATACCCATTTTTTGGCACACCCATCACAGTTTTGTTCATGTGGTGGCTCCGGAAAGATAGTACAATCATATATCATCGTCACGCGCAATCCATGGATGTGTGGCATGAGCGCCCTCTAAGAGCGGGTCCATTTTTGTTGCACGATGTTGCGATAATATTTATGTGGTAACCAATGAAGGTATAATGATATCATCTGCGGAGACTGAAAGTCTCGCCCCAAAGAATGCGGGGATGCCATTCAGAGCGCTCATCACATCATCTCACCCGCCCTCCCATCCCCAATCACCCCACCAGACCCACACCCCCCTTCCCCGTCTTCCCTCCCACCCCGGTCCCACGACCGACATCACCCTCCTTGCCCCTCTTGCGCGCCCCACCCCCCGGCACAACCGAGGCAGCGCGTACAGGCAAACTGATAGCCTTCCCAACACACATGCCACCCACACCCAAGCCCGGTGTTGTGCGTGATGGTGCCGAAACCGGCCGATGAGAGGCAGTGGGTGTGGTGAACCTTTTCAGTGTCGCTGGGACATGACCGCGGTGTGAAGCGTTGTAGCGCGCAAGCGGGTGGGTGTGCTTTGTCGGTGGGGCTGTTGCCGGTCGGTGCGAGGTGGTGTGTGGGTTTGCGTTCGCGGGGGTGGGGGGTGTGTCGTCTTGCACATCGTCTGTGGATTCTCCGGGACGCCGCGCGATCGGAGCGCTTTGCGGTCGTATTGGTGATGTTGCTGTTGCTGATGTTGGTGGTGGTACGTACGCAGCGTCGACACGGTCGTCGGAAACAGCTTCACCCCCCGCTTTCCGCCGCTCCAACCACGCCGCGATATCTTCCCCGCCAAACCGCGCCGCTTGCAACCCGCCGTGCGATGGCGGGGGTATTCCCCGCTGCTGCTGCTGCTGCTGTTTCTCGCTGGGTGTTCGCGGCGTCTCATGCGCCGGATCCCCACCCCCGACGATCCCATGCCCGTCCTCCTCCCCGATTAACTCCCTCACCCCAACAGCCTCCACAAACACATCATCAACCCCCCTCCCCTTCTTCCTCACCACCGCAGCAGGAAGCACCACCTCCGCAGCCTCCGCCGCCTTATCAACCACCCCCGCCTCGCGCGCCGCCCTTGCCGCATCGGTCTGGTATCGCGCCGTGGCGATGCGCGGGCGCGCGAACGCGGTGGGGGAGAGGAGCGCTTCAGTGGTGGGGATCCCGGCGCCGAAGCCGGTGAGGGGGGCGCTGGAGGGGCGGTGGCGGGGGCGGGCGGAGACTGGCCGTGTGCGGGGGGGTGGTACATGGGTTGGAGGGGATGTGGGGAGTCGGATGTGGGAGTCGGAGTCATTAGATTCGGAGTCATAGGCGGAGGTGTCGTCTGAGAACGATGATGCGGTGCCGGTGAGCTGGACGTGGAGGGATGCGCTGTGGGATCGGAGTTCGTCGATGAGGGATTGTAAGGTTGTTAGGTCTAGGGTGTGCACGGGCTTGGGTGGTGTGTTGAGGTCCCCTTCTAGATGAGACTCCGCATCGTTGCCCACATCGTCGTGCGACGAAGCGCGGCTAATAGCCTCGTTGGTGCTAGGAGCAATCCCCGCACGCTGCTGTATCGTGTCTGCGATCCGGGTCAGGACGGCGTCGTGGGCGGCCCAATCTGTCAGGATCCGTCTGATAGATAACAAGGAGGAGTCATGAGGACTCAACACCCAAACGCATGCAATCTTCGAACGAACTTGGACATTACCTCCTCCGCGCCTCCTCCCTCGCAACCCTCCTCCTCAACTTCCCCTGCGCAGCCCGACACGCAGCATGCACATGTTTTAGGAACGCCTTTCTTGATCCATCCTCCTCCGGCACCACCCGTAACACGCCTGCAGAGTGCGGCCGCGAACACCTCGCTTCCCCCGCATCCACATCATCATTCGTGTCCCCGCAATGTATCACGCTTGGTGGCGGAGGGGTAGCGAGCAACCCGGGCGCGGTGGAGATGTTCCACCTGCTGGGGTTGAACTGTTTGGCGCGGCTATTCGGGGTTCGATGTTCAGTATCAGCGGAATCAATGATGTGGGTGGAAAGTGGCGAGTTTATGCAAGACATACCACCACTCCTCCCACTCCACCTCTAACGCATCGTCCACTTTGCTCGTTGCCTCGCCTATGGGCTCTCCCACGGACACTGCTTGGGTCACCTCCCCCTCATCGCTTTTCTCCCTAGCCTCCAACACACTCAATCTCCCATTAACCTCCCTCAATTTCTCCCGCATAGCCCGGGTCTGCAACCTCCTCCTCGCCAGTTCCTCAACCATCATCCGCTGCTCTGACTCCGCCGAGGATTTAAAAATCCGGAGGGCTTCAACTTCGCTTTGTAGTTGCTTGTTCAGGGCCATGGTTCGGGTCGTTTCGTCGACCATAATATTGTTCTCACGGGTGAGCACGGAGATGCGGGCGTTACATTCGTCGTGTTTTATCCGGTCCTCGTACTCGGCTTTGAGTGCGCTGCGTACTTCCGTCTCGGCTTTGAGGAGGGCGGATTTGAAGGATTGGTGCATTGATTTCTCGCGGTCGACGGCCTGGGTGTGTGTCATGGCGTCGTACTCCTCTACAGTCATGCACACCTTCTTGTGCAGCACACGTAGATGCGCCATCGACGTGCCCTTGCCGTCCATCGCGGAATCGATCAGCGAGTCGTCGGCGTGCGCGGCGACGGAGGGTTTGATCATGCGGTCGAAGAGACCGCGGAGTTTCAGCTTGCCTTTCGTGGTGGCGGGTAGGTCGGTGGAGGCGAGGGAGTCGGTGGAGGCGTGGGGTGGGGTGCTCTCAGTGAGGGGTTTTGCGAGAGGGGTGGTGGGTGTTGGGGTTGATGGTGGTTGGTTTGACGGTGTTGGGGGTGGTGCATTGGCGATATCAGCGCTTCCCTGCGACGCAGCATTCGGCTCGCCCACCATCACAGCCTCCTTCCTCTTCTTCCTCTCCTCATCCGCCATCTTCGCCGCCTTAACCCCATTCGACAGGGCCAAGTTCTCGTCATTCCCGCTCTGCAGGCTCGCCAGCATGTTATCGTAGAACGCGGCCTTGGATACCGCGGACCCTTCCGTCGTCGCCATGTTCATCACGCGCGCGGACTGCACGACTGTGAGGAAGGCGTCGGGTTTGGATTCGAGTTTGAGGTGCGGGCGGAGGAGACGGCTGGCCAGGCCGGTGCGGTCGGCGGATTTGGGACGGGGTGTGGATGTCGGCGTTGGGGTGGGGTCTGTGTCGGATTCTACGGGTTCTTGTGATGTTTCGCCTCTACTAGTTCCAGCAGCACCACCCTCTGTCTTTCCCGCCCCACTCCTCGAGGTCGCAGGTGCGATCGACGGCGCATATGAGACTATTGGTCCTATAATGTCCGGTGATGTCGTATCCGACGCAACATTCGAGTTTGATCTTGTTGGGAGACCATCGATGGCAGCAGCGGCTTCGGCGGCGGTGGTAGCAACTTCCCCAAAGACGCCGCCCAGTGACGGACCGTCTTCGGACTGGTCTTTTGTTGTCGTACTGTCCATCTTCTGGTGGGTGTGATCTATAGGAGGAGGGTTGCTTCGATCTACCGTCTCCTGCGGTGCATGGGCGCTCTTACGCGGCGGCAGCAAGTCTACCGAGAGTCCCGGGAATCAGAATGGAAAAGCAAAGGAATTCCAACCTGATTGGAGAAGGCCTTACATGTATCTCGTACTGCTTTCTTCGGAGCGTCCTATGCAACCCTCGCAATCCCCTTTCTGCGAACAGGGGAAAAGCAACACGCGTGCTTCACGCGTTGGGCGCTTTCCGTGAGCTCACACTTGCAGAAACATGCAGATACAATACAAGACATAGGCAGGGACAACGACCAGACGGCACGGTGCTCCCAGAATAGGAAACGACTGTACTTGCAATCTACTGTACTTCCTCGTCATGAGATGTTACCTCTTTCTACGCACAGAGAAGGGGCCGGGATGTCATCATCAGACAGGGCAGATGGTAATGCAATAATGAACTATTCTTTTGTTGCCTTGGGAGGTTGCACCGAACTCTCAGACGTTTCGGGATCCATCTCCGAGTGAAGTTGATCAATCATCAGAGTCAGACGGCTCAGACGGCTCAGGCGGTGAGGACGACCCAAGCGCTCTATCCGATGCTTCTATTGATAGCCTTATCGCGCAGTTCACCGACCTACGCATCGACGAGCCACTTGATGATTGGACAAGCTGGCTAGAAGGGCGCATACAAGCCACGGGAGACCTCATTAACGTGGCACAAGGTTACATGAACGATTTCTACCAAATTCTGCCTAACCGTCTGGTAGCGTACCGCATATTCTGGGCGTACCTGGTAGGGAGATTGATCTACAATACCGTTGCTTTGTTTCGTTATGTTGGAACGGACGAAGTTTTCTACGATACTAGGCCGGGTCGCGGACACCGATTCGTATCTGCGCAAGGGAGAACTCTTTGGAGCTATCTGTTTCCTAGCAATGCACGAGACCTGCCTATCAACGCAGGCGCGTACCTCGCGCTTCTGAACTACCACTCGCCCTTGCCCTTCGGTATCTTTTCTGAGGATCTTTTCTCGAGGTCGTACATAGTGTCCGTTGTCCCCAAACCACTTCTTTTCCACCCGTTCCACGTCCGTGGTGCTAGCCACGCTTCTCGCCAATGCTATCGCCTTGTGAAGGGCCAGATTGGTGACTTCGTGCTCTTTCCAAGAGCCTCTGCGCGGGCCATAACCGTATTTGAGATGCGCAACAGCGTCGTCCGGGCATACAGTAGGCTGCCAGATATCAGGTTACGACGCCCCAAGGACACATCATTCCGAGCATAGCCACCGGCTCATGTTGCCGACCCCCATGCCAATCCTTTCAGCACGACCGCTAGCCCAGGGCCGGACTGACAGCTGGCCGGTGACCTCTGGGGTTGCACAGGGAGGCTCAACAACCCGTCGTAACCTGATATCTGGCAGCCTACTGCAGGGAGAGGTAGTCGGCTTGACCTCCCACTCTATGTTGATGGCAATCTGTCGTCGGAGAGCGGCTGCTTGCTGTGCCGCGAGGGTGGTTTCGAGCTTAGCCACTGAACCTTTGAGCATTTCGTGGTCTTTGCTGAGCATTTCGTTGTCTTTGCTCAGGGACTCGAAGGTTACACGCAGAGCTGCCAGTTCGGTTTCCAAAGCTTCGCAGGCTCTCGACACGCTGCCAAAGCTTGTTGAGCTTCGCCTTGATCTCTGGCTCTTGAGCTTCAGTAAGGGTCAGTCGCCACGCCGACATAGTTACTTACGTTCAATGGGACAACAGCGAGGGCATGGTACTGCGTTGTGGGTGCAGTAGGTGCCGCGATAAAGTCGTGTCACTTGCGACAGATATCATGGTTAGGCTAGAACGTGCGGACAAGGCTAAAGGATTTTACGACTTCAGTCTCGCTGCGGCGCCTACAACGACTCGCGGCGAAGTCTTTTGACCTCCATTGCAAGTTGGGGGATGTCTCGTCTTCCATCGCAAGCGCCTTCCGTGCTGTCCATATTGATCATTCGATTGAAGCTATAATAGTCTGTGTGTAAGGGAATCATGGACGCACGTGACCCCGATGGTAGTTTATTGTCTCGTGGTAGATGGATATCTCTCTTCACGCATAAGCATTCTAAGCGACATTCTCGGTGTGCAGTAGTCCATCATACTGGCTTTGTCTCGCACGCGTTTTGCAAGTGCGACGGCCCAGAGAGAACAGGGACATACTCATCCCCCCCTTTCTACAGGGACAAGAGCAGTGCAAATGTCGTCCTACTACTCCCTCCTCCTGTGGATCGGCGTCCCCTTCCTCTTCAACAAGGCCCGCGCCTTGTTCTCCGCCTCAAAGGCTCCGCAACGCCCTCCCCGCCGCCCGCGATCTCGCGCAGACCACCTCTCCACAGCCCTCCTCATCTTCCTCGCAGTAACCCACCTCGTCCTCTCCGTCCGGCCGCAACCCAACTTGCTACAGGATATCGGGGTTGGCCCGGATGACAGTGTGTTTAAGATCCGGACGGCTATGCGGGAGTATATGCGGAGGGAGTTTCAGGAGGATTGGGTGGAGGGCATGAATGGGCATGCGAACACCCATGCGGACGGGACAACCGCCGACCCATCAGAGAGCAACGAGGCCCACCCGCGCGCACAAGAAATAGCCGCCCTCACTCACCTCTACGACCGGCTCAAATCCTCCTCCGACCGCCGCCGCATCTACCTCCGCACCGGCCACACCGCCCACACCGAATGCACCTGGTGCCTCGACTCCCCCGACTACACCCGCTACATGCTCCCGCTCGTCGGCTCCTCCTACGCCGGCATGCTCTTCTTCCTCGGCCTGTCCACCCACGTGTGGCGCAAACGCCGCTGGCGCATCTACGGCGCTATCTACCTCGCCACCACCGCGGCCGTCGACGCCTACCTCCTCCTCGTCCTCGACGGGGGGGACACCAATACCACCTTCCCGCTCGTCGACAAGAAGACCGGCGTGGCTATATCACTGTACGACACGGTAGCGACGTGGCGACACTGGGCGTTTGCGATCCTGTGTCTCCTTGCGTGTGTCGCGGAGCAGAGGGAGACGTGGACGGACAAGGACGTGGTCCGCGACGTGCTGGAGAAGCAGACGGTGGTGTACAACCGCGCGCAGGCGTACCGACTCGCCCGCGCCGCCACGCTGGCAGACACGAACCTCCGCCGCGGGTTCTTGGAGTACTACAAGGACCGCACGGCGTTGAATGAGGCCATCTGGAAGGATCTGGAGTATAAGGTATGGCGGAGCTTGCGAAGTCTGCGAGGCCTGCCATTCTGCTCTTTCACCCCCCTCCCCCCCCCCCGCGGTTCGTTACGCACCCCTTTCTGATGTGGTGTATTTTTTGTTTTCCTCCCCGTAGGAATCCCGCCAAAAAGCACTACAGAAATACAACCTCCCCCAACTCATGACCGACGCCGCATACCTCTCCGACAACATCCTCCAGACCGCCGTCAATGAAGGCATCCTACCCCCCGGCTCGTTCACGCCGTCGCTGAGTCTGAATAACGAGGGCGAGGTGCAGTCTTCGTCGAACGAGGGGGAGGACGCGGACGAGGAGGATGGAGCAGAGGAGATTGAGCCGGCCAGCAGCGATCCCGCACCGACAGCGCCGCGCCGGAGTGCAGGAGCAGTCACCCCAAACGCAACCGCACCCTTAACGGCCATCGCGCCCGACGACACCGACACCGCGCTGGACCTGGAGGACGCCGCCGCCGGTGGGAGTCGGAGGAATGCGTCGCCGGTAAAGAAGAGGAAGGCCGCGGCTGCGCGGAAGCGGAAGTGAAGTGGGGGGGGCTGTTGATGCCGCTCCGTGCCCGTCGAGTCTTCCGGGGACGTGGAACTGCGAAATCGCCACCTCCATACCCGCGTCCGCTTCCAATCCCTCCCTTGCACACGATCCCAAAACCCCATATGATTCCACGAGCGCCCCCCCCCCCCCCCCCCAAAAGAGTCTCAGCGGGGAATGCAAGGGGGGAATGCAGAGCGAGGTGGAATGTGGGCGGTGAGAGGAAACGAGTGGCGCATGGCTCCTTAACTGGATCTGTGTGTGTGCATCTTAACGCCCCGCGTCATGCCATGTACCCGTACACACACATCCCCCCACATTCCCAGACCCCAAAACACCCATCCGATCCCACAAACCGTATCGCCTTATCTTACGTGAGTTTATGCAATTTGGGGTGGTAGGGGGGTATATATATATATATCTACATGCCAAACGTACATGGTGGGGTGATGAAATACATAATACATAGTTACTGTGTGTGTGTGTGTACAAAATCCGGGGCGGGGGGCAAACAAACAAAAGAAAAAAAGTATGCGGTATGTGAAACAGTCCCACAAAATAAACAAAAGATACACACATGTCCAAAAGTACCCCATCAAGGGGGTCCATACGGTCCCCTACGGGTCCCCCTACGGGCCCCTTAAACCCTCAACCCACACTCGCCGGCGACCCTGCCCGCCCTCTCGACAAACACCTCCCACCGCGCGATATAGATCACATACTGGTCGAGGTCATGCTCCTCTCTCGCAAACAGGTCTTTATCGCCGGCACAGCGCGGGGCAGGTCTGGAAGAAGACGTCGAAGGGGAGGAACCCGTTTTTCGCCGAAGCGCTGCATGGGGGCGTTGACGCGGCGGGGGGTGAGGAAGTAGATGTACTGGGAGGTGTTGCGGTAGGGGCAGGATGGGGAGGGGTGTGGTGTGCAGGACTGAGATTACACCCTCAACCCACACTCGCTGGCGACCCTGCCCGCCCTCTCGACAAACACCTCCCACCGCGCGATATAAATCACATATTCGTCGAGGTCATACTCCTCCCTTGCAAACAGGCCTTTATCGACGGCACAGCGCGGGTAGGTCTGGAAGAAGACGTCGAAGGGGAGGAACCCGTTTTTTTCGCCGAAGCGCTGCATGGGGGCGTTGACGCGGCGGGTGAGGAAGTAGATGTAGTGGAGGTGTTGCGGTAGGGGCAGGATGGAGAGGGTGTGCAGGATGAGTTTCTGGGCGATGCCGTGGGATTGCGCGGATTGCATCACGGCCACTTCCGCGATGTAGAGCGTGCGCGTGGGTGGGTGGTGCTCTGAGATGCAGACTCCGACGTAGCTGGTTGGGCCGCCGGTGGTGTGCGCGTCCGTGGAGGGGGAGGAGGATGACGACGGGTGCGTTGAGGTTGTTGGTGAGCCGGACTCGGTGGGGGGTGGACCAGACGGTTTCCCACCCCGTTCCTCGTCCCCGCCCTTCCCCGCCGCCAACAACCCCTCCCTCAACCCCTTCTCGCCCTTCTCCATCTGCTGCACACCCGCAGGCGAGTTGTGCCGCCTCCCCCGGCTCTTTGGCTGGATATGCGGGGTGATGGATGCGGTTGTGCAGTACCATTTCGTTGTTGTCGGGTTATGCTGTGATTGTGGGTGGTCGTCCATGATGTGCCGCACGGCGGTGTCCCACGCGTTGTTGAGGAACCGTTTCATGTTGGCGAGTTCGCTGAAGATCGGGACTTCTTGCATCACTTTACGCACAAGATGCGGTTTTAGCCCGCCTGACTGTTGTTATACCCTTTTTTCCAGAATAACACATACCTTTGGGAGTAGCATAAAGCGACAAGAACGCGTCCCTATAAACCTCACCCAGGGCCTGGCTGCGCTCCATGGGGAAATCCTCCTTTGTATGCGTCGCGAAATGCACGGGAGCTAGGCCGAGGCGGAAATGCGGGAGCATGCAGGTTCGTCGGGAGGGCAGGAAGAGGCCAGTTGGGCGGTATTTCCCTGTTCGATACTGTTGAACAGCAAGTGAGGGGAGGTTTAGTCTGTTGCGTTCCACCTAGCGGGTTAGGTTTCCCCAGATAATACAAGAAGATCCTGGGAAACATACCTTCCCACCACCCCCACACTCGGTACAAAACCCCCACAGCACCCGGCACTCCGAGCACACCACCTCAATTGTCGTGTTGCGGTCAATCAACGCATTCGGGCGGTTGGTCACTTTCCCCACCGCCACAAACTTTTTGCAAATCTCGCATTCAAAGCGTCGGCCCTGCGGCGCGATCGGCGATGTGGGTGGTGGGGACGTGAATTCCGTCTTGACCTCCACGGCCGTCGCTGATTTGGGGCTCAGACTACTCGTCGTACCCGTAGCCATCGGCGAACATGAATTGCAAATGATATCAATCGTGACATTTCCCTCGAGCTGGTCTTTGCTTCCACGGATATTGAATTTGGCAAGGGCGTTGTTGCACAGTTTGCACGAACCGACGAGTTCGAGGGTCTTTTTGCGGACTATGGCTGCTGCGTGGTCTTTTGCGAGTTCGTGGGGCGCTTTTTGTCTGAGGTGGTGCCGGCGGGGTGGGTGATGGCTGTCGCGGCCTTTGGGGAGTGCGATGACCTCTGGTGAGTTGTCTGGAGGAGTTTGCGTTAGTGTCAAAGTTTTCCGTTAATCAAACTGAACGCGCAATCTTTGAGGATGCCCGATATCCGTACTGACCCCCATTGGCAGACGATTTCGGAAACTCCGGCCACTGCCTTGACCCAACCGCATCCCCACCCTGCGAAAAAATCCCACCCGGCGTCGGACTTTTCACCGCCGGACTCGCAAGATACGCCGTCGCCGACGTCGCCGTCGTGTCCGGTTCCGCTCCAGCCCCATTCCCCACCGTTGCCGTGGAATGGCGCTCTCCAAAATACGTCGGCGAATTCCCCACCGACAGCGGCGACGAGTTCATCGACTGCGGTGAAAAGTTTTCGTGGAACGTCGAGCTGTAGATGTCGGTGCCGGAGTACTGGGTCGTTAGGTGGGTGGCCATGATGAGGTCGGTGTAGGATGGTGTGGTTAGTGAGTGGTGGTAGTTGGAGGATTGTGAGGGTTCGACGTCGGGTTGGGGGTAGAGTGAGGATTGGGGTCTGTGCATTTGTAGAGGGTAGGGGCCTACGTAAGGGCTGGTATGGGACGTTTGATGCTGTGGGTTATACATCTATGAAGGGTGGAAACGGCGTTAGCTAAGATCCTTTGAATCGTTTTCGAAGCAAGCTAGCAGTGCATTACCATCGACGCTGGCGTAGACACTAACTCCGTTGACGGACTCGTCAGAGGCGCACCAGCCAAGTGAGATACCAGCTCGTCCAAGTTTGACCCGCCGCCGGTGAACATCGGCAGGAAGCCCAGTCTGTGTAGCGGCGCGGGTTGCGATGTAAAGCTGATGGGAGTTGATTCGTGCGGCTGGAGAGGATAAGGACTCGAGTCCATGTTGAACGGAGATGCGGAATGGAGGTTCGGTGGTGCTGCTGGTGATGACTGTTGCTGTTGCTGTTGCTGTTGCTGTTGTGGTGGCGGCGGCGGTGGTGTCGGTTGTGCAGGATATGGGTTGTCAATGATAGTCGATTGCGGTCCGTACATTGGATCAGCGAGGGATATCCGTGCGGTGGCTGGTGGTGTGAACGGCGTGCTGATGCCGCCGATTCCGTAATCTGTAGCGTACGAATACGGCGTATAGCTAGAGTGATCGGAAACCATTGATGACATATGTGATTGGGTTTGAGGATAACTGTATGCCCCCGTCGCAGGACTCAACGCATTATCAAAAGGCCCTGCTCCATTCCCATTTCCATTCCGAGTTCCGATCCCGCTTCCACTCCGAATTCCGACTCCATTCCCCATCCGACTTGCAGTCCCAGCCCCAGCCCCACCCTCCTCCTCCACCACTTCCGTCTGCTGTGGTGGTGGCAAGTCATATTGCGGAAACTGTCGCAGCGGCTGGTGGTAGATCTCAGGCGAGGCATAGTAGTTCTGCTGCTGCGACCTGCCTCCGAATTGAGGCCACTGCTGTTGGTGTGAGGGGTGTTGTTGTTGTTGTTGTTGTTGCAGAGCGGTTCGGTATGATGGGTAAGGGTATTGGGGTTCGAACGAGTGCGGTGCTGGTAAGTACGGTTGTTGCTGCGAGTATGGTTGTTGTTGTTGTTGCTGTGGCGGGTATTGTTGCCTTTGAGGAGGATGGTTCCCACGGGGAAGGTTGTTTGCCATCCTTAGTGGGAGCGCAGAGACTCCGGTCGAGGGGGCGAGGCGAGAGTGCTCACAGGTGAAACCGACGGGGGATATTCCTCTTGCCGTACTAGGTTAGCCGTCCGTCCGTGGGATAGGATGAAGGGCCGCCGTCCCCTCTCTGCTTGCCCTCCTTCTGCTGTACGTACAGTACTGGTAGTGTGGCTGCTCGCTCTGCTCTCTGTTGCGCCCCCTCCTGTTGTTATTTAACATGCCGTGTCCTGTACTCAGTCCTGTGCGCGCGCGATCCACCCAAGGAGCCCTCTGATCTGGATGGGTGATGGGTTTGATGAGAGATCAGGTTATAAGACGCAACCTTCCCGCATGACTCCCTCGTGATGTTTGTTCCTTCATCATCATCACTGTTCTCTATGCATCATATATAAATATAACGTTCACAAGGCGGGTTCCAAGGGGTCGGACTCGGAGCAGCGGAGCCAGCGGTTGTTCCCCTCAGAAGCCCCCTGGGGCACTCCCGACTCCCGCCTGCCAGAGGACGATGCCCGGGTACGCGCACAACCGCTCCCCACGTGCTTGTTGTTTATCATCCCCCACAGCACCACTGTTACGACCCTGTATTATAACATGACAGCGAGCAGTGTGTCACTCACTCACTCCGACAGAGCATCAGATCTTTGCTACTACGTAAAGGGAGCGATCTGGGAAACCTCGCTGCGCGAGAGTTATTATCATCTCTCGTTGATGGTGGGATGGTTGATGGTGGGTGGTTGATGGTAAGTGGTTGATGGTTGATCGTCGATGGTGTCGCTCATGGAATGGGCCGAAAGTGGAGCCTATATCCGTCCGAATGCAATGCAATGAGGGCTAGGTATGAGCGACTTTGTCCAATGTACAGTATCTAGCAGGTATGCGAAGCCACGGATAGGCAGGGATGCATAGTACAGTACTGTGGATTGAGTTATTTGTCCGTGTGCGTACAGTATGTATGGTGGGCCGTTGGTTAATGGCTATCGGGGGTGAGATGTGTGGGAAGGGAGTTAGTTGGGTGGACCGTTCCGGCGGGGATGGCGATGCGTAGATTAGATGGGAAGGCTGGCTGGGGACTAAGATCTGCAATGGAGTGGGGTGGAGAGGCATACGCCCCCCGCAACCCTGAACTCAAGACTCTAGTAGAGTGGCCTCGTGGGGACGTCGTACTAGCCTACTACTAGGTCTTTCGTCGTCGGTCTTTTGATGGATCTTGGCCCCTCATTTTTCGTAGCTTAACTTTTTGCTTCTCTGATACGTTGTTTTCGGGAACTGGAAATAGAGGGAGATTGTTTGGGCAACATCTTGTATAAGCGGTGCCTGGCGCTGATGAATGTGAACCTTTCTCGGGCCGCGCGTCGGTCTGTTCGACATGTTCGTTTTTGAGTTTCGCAGAACGATTGGCGACGGGGATCACAACCTGCAGAGCGCAATCCCACGCACATAGGGGACTGACTGGGGACTCGACACAAGCATACGGGGCGCACAGCGCAGGCGCATATCGAAAGGCACTCAGACACACAGAGGGAAACGACAATCAACGAAAAAACACTGGACCAAACCCCGGACTTCACCACCCCCCATTCCCATCCTCCCCCACCCCCACCCGCCATCATGACCCACACCCCCTTCCAACTCCTCCATGCAACCCATCTAGCCGGCCTCCGTCCCTCCCTAATCTTCAACAACTCCCCCTCCAGGGCCGCCACCGACGCCCTCCACGCCTCCTTCATCCTCTTCCCGGACCCGGCGCACCCGTCCCGCACGCTCAAATTCGCCACCTCCGACCCATCGGGGTTCAAGGACTACAATGTGGGCACCCTGGTGCATGCGTATGATTGCAAGGACCAGAGCTTTGGGGATTACTTGAAGATGACGGGCGGCGACGGGCGGATGGCGTTTGTGGATCGGAAGGAGATGGTTGCGGTTTTGGGCGGGAAAGTGGGCGAGGGGATGGCGGACGGGGAGAGGGGGAATGGTACGTTTGATGTGTGTTGTGGGGGAGTGGAGGGGGATGGCGATTGCAGGTTTGGGGAAAGTGGTTGTTTTTTTTAACTTACGATTTTGGGGGCATTCGTTTTGGGGTCCGATGATTGACGACTCCCTTTTTTTTTTTTAGCTGCGAAACGATCACTGGAGGAAACGGCGGCCGGTTCGTCCACCGCGGGAGGGGCGGGATTGGACACTGCGACGGCGCCTGGACGCAAGAAGCCGCGGATCAGCTTGGCGCCGGAGGAGGTGGAGTTTATACGGCGGGTGAAGGAGCGGGAAAGAGTGATTGGGGATGTGAGCGATCCGATGGTTGTTGGGGCTGGTTCTAAGGTGTGTATTTTGGGCAGAGTGGTTAAGGGGTGTAGGGGGTGTGAGAGTTGGTGAGGGATGGGAGATGGGATAAGACATGGGGATTTCTGATGCGCTTTGTGTGATGATGTAGGATTTCAGCAACATTATTGAACTGAGCAGGAAACGGATCGCGGATCTGCATCGGAAAGTCGACCCGAAGACTAAGGGTGTTGGTATGTTTTCCGCGTGTGGCCCCACCGGAAACGTTCACCTGTTCCCCTCACTGATGTCCCCTCCAGCACCGTCGTCCTCGTCTTCGTCACGACCCGACCCACGCCGTGGCGCAACAACACAAGCACGACCGACACCTCATGCAAAGTCCTCCCGACACAAGACATCAGGTAACACCCCGCATCCCCTCCAATGTCCACGCGTCCAGCCATTCCCACTAACCACCCACCCCCCAGACGCCCCAATCCCAATCATCATCGTCCCCTCCGCGCCAACCGCCCGCCTCACCCTCTGGAACGTAAAACAGTTCCTGGCCGACACGACCTACATCCCCACCCAGAAATTCATCGACGACGGCGTGCCCAAACCCACCCAGCTCACGTTTGAACGCACGCTGAGGAGCGGGCATCCCGGCGCGGGCGTGGCTGGGTTCCCGAGGACGTATTTGGTGGTGGATAATGCGGATGGGGTCCGCATGGAGGATTGGTACGTGTGGGTGTGTGCGGGATTCGTTGCGGTAGCGGGTTGGTGAGGAGGGCTTGCTAACGACTGGCTGGATTGTTTGCATTTCTTTTGGGGGGGCGCGGAATAGGCCACGCGTCGTGGGCGCCTTTGTGACTGGGCAAACATGGCAGTTCAGCAGATGGAAGTACCGTGATCCCATGCTCCTCTTCAACAAAGGTAACATTGCCCCCCCTGGCCCCCTTATTCCCCTGGCGAGTGGCACTTGACATATTTTCCTCCCGATGTTGACAGTCAAGGGCTTCTGCCTCAAATACGTCGACGAAGCACCCCCGGGCGACGTCGACAAATGGCCCGTCACGAAACTCGACGTACGTGCCCTTCCCCGGACATTAAACAGAGGGGCGTGTGGGCTGTCTGTCTGTCAGTCATATTCACTGCGTGGGATTGTTTGTCTCTTTTTTTTTTTCGGCAGGTCAACCGCAACACACGCCATAACGACTACACCGCCGTCAACAAGTTCTGGGAGGGCGTCGATGCCTTGATTTTGGGCGAGAAGAGGGGGGTGTTCTTTGAGTAGGCGGCGTCGTGGGGTGAATAGGTGTATGTGAAGCGAGGGATGGCGAGATGGAAGGGGTGGGACGGACCTGGTTGGTGTAGATTATGGGGCGGCAGGATGGATGTACCGGTGTGTGAACGTATGGTTACACCTTGCTGCTACTCTAATTTGAAAAAGGCAACCCAGCGTACGCACCATTCGGGATTGACTGATACTACCCGCCTGCATCTACACTGCGCCCCCTCTACCTACTTCTTCGCCTCCCTCGCCTCAATCTGCTGTATGATCCTCGCCGTCACCTCCTCACTTGTATCCGTGCGCCCGAAATGCGCGACATACCTTCCCTCGGGATCCATCAGGTAAAAGAAGATGGAGTGGTCGACGAGGTAGTCGGCCTCGTCGTCGTCGACGGCTTTGGGCGGCGCGCTGAAGTAGAGCCGGTAGGTTTTTGCGACGCGCTTGATTTGGGCGTGCGTGCCGATTAAGCCGACGAATTTGGGGTGGAAGTCTGTTGGTGGTAAAAGGGGGGGGGGGGGGGGGGGGTGAGTATGAGTTGCTAGGGAGGGAAGGGAAGGGGAGTGGTGAGATACCTCGGACGTATTCTTTGATGGCTGCTATTGAGTCGCGTTTGGGGTCGCAGGAGATGAAGATGGGGACGATGGTTTCTTGCGAATAGCCGTACTTGTTGGCTAGACGGGGCATCGATGGGTCGTATCAGCCAGCAGACAGTTCCAATGGACGAAAAGGCCCACATGAATTCAAAGCGGGGAATCCCCGCAACTCACTCAACGTATCCGTCACCTCAGCCATCTTCTCCAACTCCTCGGGACACACATCCGGGCAGAACGTGTACCCGAAATACACCAGCATGAATTTGCCCCGGTAGTCCAGATCCGTCACCGGCCGGCCGTCGTGGTCCACCAGCGAAAAGGGCCCGCCCACGAGCGGTTTGCCCGCACCTTCGTTTTTGGCGGCCTCGCGACGTTCGGCGAGTTTGCGCTTCTCGTATTCGAAGTAGGCGTAGAGCGCGCCGCCGCTGAGGAGGAAGAAGCCGATGCTGGCCCATGTCATGCTCTGGGGAGGGGATTGAAGGGTTTGTTTTAGATCACGGGATGATTGTGCACCATCCTTTCGTCCCAACCACCGAAGTTCAGATGTGCCCATGCTGAGCCCCGCCCTCTCTATTTTCATACCGAGAACTTTGCCTTCTCCGCTCCTGACGAAGAATACTGAACATTCCTACGTCCCAGCGGCATCATACGTGGGCACCCCGTCGCCGGTAGAGGTCTCCTCATATTTATCCCCACGGTTGCGAACGACCGCTGCAAAATGGAAACGCATGGGACGTGAGACTTGACTGCGGTCGAGGAGAACATTTGCAGGCCCGCATGAGGATTGACACCTGCCGTTCGCATATTCCGGCATGTTGCCAGGAGTGGCCTAGCTGAGAGCGGGAGAAAAAGCGGTGTCATTATGGGACCTGCAACACCGCCCCAATCGGTTGGGTGTGAGTTTTTCCAAGGCGCAGAGGACCACAGCAACCGACCTCCTATCCTGTTCATGGTGACGGGTTATGCGGCTGATGGCGTGGCTTGCCGTATGTGTGTGTGCGTGCAGTCGTCGTCGTGTCGGGGTTACTGCATGAAGTTGGTTGATGTCGGTGAGACCCGAAGGAGCGACGGGAGAAAAAGCCGCCCTTCCTTCCACTTGCGAGCGCATTCCAACTGGTAATCCCTCGCAATCAAGCCCACCAACTACACTGCACACTCCGCCGAACAGGACTGCAGAGGCTCTAGCAGAAGGAGTCTCATATCCGGCCCGCATTCACCGCTTCGAAAACTCGAATCGACCCACTCCCCTCGAAACAGCAACACCGTCGCCGTCAGGACGAATCCCAATCCTGCGCAACTTCGAACGAACGACGGCAACTCACAGTCTTTGGAAACTCCGGAACCTGCTACTACCGCAGAGAGTCATTACTATAGAACTTTGAAGCGAAAAACCGAACGAAGGCGCGGCGAAGAGTTCGTTTGCTTGTCGAAAAATACAAAACAGAGACGCTTGGAAGCAGGAATAGACAATCATGCTGCAGTTGAAGAGTTTAGCAAAGGTGCGTTGGCCGCACGGAGGAGCGAAGTTGGGCAGAGGCTGCTCGGGATGGAAGAAACACCGTGCAGAGACATCTAGTCCGCCTGCTGGCCATGGTCATTCTTCAAAGTGTGTGAAAGATCGCCTTCTCCTAACGCCTCCGTATTCCCTCATCAACAGGTGATCGACAACTCCGGCGCCCTTCTCGTCGAATGCATCAACGTCATCGGCGGCGGCAGGCACGCCTCCCTGGGCGACGAGATCGTCTGTGTCGTGAAGAAGGCCCGTCCAGCAGTCGTCGAAACCCGCACATCCTCCTCCGCCGCCTCCGCCCTCTCATCTAAACTCAAAAAGGGTGAAGTCGGCCGTGCACTGGTAGTCAGGACGCGGAAGGAGGTCAGGCGGTTGGATGGCAGTTATGTCAAGTTTGATGATAATGCCGTGGTCATGCTCAATAAGCAGGGGCAGCCGGTTGGGAACCGTGTGTTGGGGGCTATTGCGAATGAGTGTAGACAGAAGAGGTGGGCGAAGATCGTCTCCATGGCGCCCAAAGTCGTGTAGAAGGGAGGCTCAGGGAGCTGGCGCTTGAGCTTGAGGCCGTGACAGGTACAGCAGATCGGATGCGAGCGGGGATAGATCCTTTTACACACGAGGCTGCACCGTCCCCCACATCCCAACAATCCACACCTCCATTGTATTTATATATTTGATCCATAGGCCATACATTATCCTTTCTCTTCCACATCAAATATTGAGGTCATTACCGAAGAGGCCATCTTGACTGTCCATTAGTCCCATTTATAAATTACCATGCACAACCTTCCCGTCGGCCCCTTTCCTCTCCTTAGTGTGACTCCTGGAAGAAGTCAAATCACAAAAAACGTACGTAGTTCTTTCTCGTCATTCCTGCGACGCGTTATTGCCTCAAACTTCCTTTTATAATCTCCTCCGCCGCCCCAGTCACCCCCTAACAGCATCCCGAACCCTCCGCACCTTCTCCTTCGCCCCCCACCGTTCCCTCTCATCCACAACCGCGCCATCCAACCACCTCAACGACCGCCTGAGCACATGCACCACGTGCGACCGGTAACACAGCCGCCGGATGTAGTCTGCGTCCGATAGCTGTTTGCGCGTGAAATGCTCGTCGCGTGTGCGCCAGGGTGACGCGGCGCTTATCGTGGGGTCGCGTGCGGGGACGGCTTTTCCGACTTCCGTTGATGAGGCGTTGGGGGTTTTGGGGATAGGCGTCGCGGTGGTGCTGTTTGGTGGGAGTGGGCGCGAGGGCGTGAGGAAATTGTCGATGCGGGATTGGGAATGGTCTCGGCCCGATGCAAGACCGGCTTTGCTCCTTCCCGCTACCGCAGATGAGGATGATGCGCAGGGTGTCGCTGTGGTTGGGCTGGTAGCTCCTGCGGTTGCGGTTGTGGTTGCAGGTGGCGGGTAGAACCTAGCCGTGATCGGGTTGTATCTAAGAAGGACAGGTTGTTCGTCACGTCAGTTTGAGCAAATAATACCCTACCAACATGTAACCGCTTACCTCAAATCCAGAACCTCAACCCCCCTCGCCCTCCTCAACAACCTCGCCACCGCGCGGAAATCCCTTACCGCGTTGCCCGACAAAAGCAGCACCCTCAGCGCCTCACTGCCCACCCCACCGCTGCTCCCCTTATCGACAACAACGCCCAGGTACGCGAGGTCAGAGTCCGTGAGCGCATTGTCGCGCAGATCGAGGTGCGCTATCCGTGGACGGGCATCGTTGGATTGCTGCTGCTGCGGAAAGGCTGATTGTGCGAGTGTATGTGTTGATCGATGAGGATGTGGCGGTTGGTTCCGTCCACCCAGTGACTTTTCCACCCGCCGTCCATCACTCTTCTCCCCCACACCCCTCAACATACCCTCAAGCCCACACCTCCTCGCCTCAACCCTCTCCAACTCCTCACACCCGCACAAAAGCGCCTTGACAGTCGCAGGGCTGACCCTTGTATGCGACAGTCGCACGTCAACCAAGTGCGGCATATCCGCCACCGCAATCTCCAACACCCCTTCATCCGGCCCACGTCGGCCATTATCATCGCCCATATCCGCCCGCTGCCACGCGATCCCCAGACTCCTCAACATCGGCATCCCTTTCGCGCCGTTGAACGCGCACACGGCGTTATGATCGAGCATGAGCCGCCGAAGACCGGGGAAGACGCGGCCGTCGAACCGCGTCAGGTGGTTGTGGGTTAGCCGGAGGTGGGTGAGCGTGCGCGTGAGCGGGCGTGAGATGCCGAGGTGGGTGATGGCGTTGTGGTCTGCCGAGACAACAGATAACAAACGAAAATGTGTTGGTCTCCAGCCTCCGCCCCATGCATCCTGCGCTGGCCGCCGCCCAGAAACACACACCAAACGCAGCATACGAAAATTGCAACTTACCCAACACAACCTCCTTCACCCCCGTCAAAACTTGCAACCCCTCCAAACTCCCAATCTCATTCCACGACGCATCCAGACTCCTCAACTGCCCCATCGCCATTCCCCTCTTCGTCCCCCCACCCCCGCCCATCATCCCGTCATCATCCTCATCATCCTCATCATCAAACACCCCATCAAGCCCCATATCATCATCATCCATGCCGAGTTCGCGATCTGTGTCGTCTGTGTCGTCAGCATGGGAGATGAAATCGAGGCTGCGGAGCCGGTTGCCCCGGACGTTGAGGGAGGCGAGTCGGGGCAGGGCAACAAGCGCGCGGAGGGTGGTGATCTGGTTATGCGCGGCGTGGAGCTCGCGGAGATTGGTTAGGTGTGTGAGGCCTGTGAACGGAACCCATGTTACAGATGAGATCATAGCAGGAAACGTAAAACTAGTCACCGGATTTCGAAGGTTACTAGCCAGATCCTTCAACCCGTTCCCAGACACGTCGAGAAACTGCAGCGTTTGGTAGTTGGCGGTGCGGAAGACGTCGTCGAGACTGGGCATCCAAACCAAAGAGATGTGTCAGCACACACCCCTTACTCTGAAATATCGCCCGCGTTCCTCACCTCCTACTCCCGATCCCCAACATCCCATCCCTCCTCGCCGGCGTCCATCTTCCTTCTACATCCACGTCCACATCCTCATCCACTGTTCCTCGCACCCGCGATCGACGTGCAGGCGTACTTTTCGACGCGGCCTGCGACGCCGTGGTCGTGTCCGCCAACGCGCTTGTTGTGCTGCTCATGTCTACATCAGGTTGGGTCTGGTCTCGCGTCGGGCTTGCTGAAGGTGTGATTGCGGGTTGCATCTCCTCCATTGCTATGAATCAAAGTGCATATGCGTTAGATACGTAGATATCTAACATCTTTGCGAGTAACCTCCCTCGTACGCTTTCCCTCCCTCGATCACGTGAACCCACCTCTCCTCTGACTCTCCCACCCCCTCCAAACCTCTTCAAACATCGCCGTCTCCTCCCCACCACCCCGCGCGGCATCCTTGGCAGCCGCATCCTTCATCCGCCGCACAATCTCCGCCAACGTGCCGACGACGTCCGAGAAGCGGTGCAGGTCGTGCATGAACGCTTGTTGCGTGTCGGAGCTGATGCTGGTGTTCAGCGGGGAAGGTGGGTGAGGGGTGTCTTCCGTGTTGGCGGAGACTGGGGGGATTTTGGTATCGTTTGGCGTGGGATGTGGTGGTGTCCGTCGTCGCCCCGGTTCGGCACCAGCTTTCGCCACCTCGTCGGATCCATCCCCTTCCGCATTCTTCTCCCGTTCACCATTCCCACCATCATCCTCCTCATCACCACCAAACACCTCGTCCCCCTCCCCCTCCTCGCCACCCTCCCAACACCCCCGCGCAGAATTATACGTCATGTGTGCACTCGCGCCCAGCTGAGAAAGCATCACCGACGCGCGTCCGTTCAGGTTGCGGATCGATCGCAGCTTGGACGCCATGGAGGCTGTGGTGGTTGTCGTGGTTGATGTTGCTGTCGTGTGGGCTGCTTTCGGCGTCGCTGGCTTTGGGGTCCCTCCTCCTGGTGTTACGTTGGTCATGCGAGTTTTTGGACGTGGTGTGGCGTCATCCCGCAAACCCACGCTCGGCACACCCCGAAACGATCGCGCGGGAGAAGCAGCAGCAGCCGTGCGGTGCGTATCGTGCAGATGATGCATCTGCAACCGGTCATCGCCGCGATGTTTGGTTGAGTCGAACGCGTCTTCGAGGAAATCGATGTCGGAGGGGTAGCTGCGGGTTGTTTGGAAGGGTTCTTGCAGCTGCTGCTGTTGTTGTTGTGACCGCTGTGGTGAATTCTTCTCATTCGGCCCATCTTCCAGGCGAGCATTGCTTTGGGTGATCCGGTCATGCCGCGAGAGTGAATGGGCGGGCGATTGCCTCTCGCTCCCCCCCAGCCGCGTGCCGCCGTTCCGCCCCCGTTCGTCTCGTAACGGTGTCCCCTGGATATACGACCGCCCAGGCTCCCTATATCCAATCCGCGAGGCACCACGCTCCAAGGTTTGCGGCTCATTGTCACGCGACACCGTGCTTTGCTCCCGCTGTTGCTCTTGTCGCACCCGTTTCAGATCGGCAATGAAGACGTCGCGGGTCGTGTCGGCTTCGTGTGCCGCTTCCTCGTCATCGTCCCGTTGCTCTGCGTCCACATGTTCCGACCGGGGGTCATGTTGCACAGAGGTAGACTCATACCCTGCTCCTCCAAAATCGTCATCAGCGGTGCCTTGTCGATGTAGATCGTGTCCACCACCGAGCTCATCCCCATTCCCGTCCCCATCCCCATCATCAGGGAAGTCAGAGTCTACCTGCGCAGTCGGCAGCTCACCAAACAGCGAATCGAGATATGCGCGCGTCGTGGTCCCGTACTCGATGTCAAACAGGCCCGAGATGGCCGCCTGCGATTGGTGTGCGTTCACAATGTCAGTTTCGTCTATTTGGTCGGTGGGGTGGGCGGTGGTCGTGTTGCCGGCGCTGATGTCTGGTAGAGGGTGGAGCGGCTGTGCGCGCTTTCGTGGCGTTGAGCTAAAAGGGGCGCGGCGGGATGTCGCGATTGCTGCTTTTGCTCCCGTAGCTGTAGCTGAATCTGCTTCAGGCGCAAGACGTGGGGCGGATTGAGGATCGGACTCGTATCCCGACACCCCAAAATCTCGTAACCCGTGCGTGATCTGCTCCACACTCTGCTCATCCCTTTCCAGTTCCAGGTTCAACTCCTCGTCGGCATGGACATCCTCCAAAAAGGTGGGAGACAGCACAGGACTTTCGTCGTTGCGATCGCGATCGTCGTCGTCTGCTGCGACGGTGGATGAGGCGTGGATGTCTCGATGGTTGTTGCGGCCATTGTTGTTGGCCCAGTTGAGGTTCATGCTGGAGAGGTCGAGGTCGCGGGCATGGCGGGCGACGATGTGCATGTCGGAGGTGTCGGGGGTGCTAGTCACAAATCCCGAGTTGTTGCCCTCGGATGTTGTAGGAGCGAGTGAGCGCATGGCTTTCGGACGAGGGTTGAGTGGATTCAATTTGGAACGTGGTGTCCCGCTGCTGGTGGGACTTTTGGGTCGTTGCGGGTATGTACTGGTTTCATGAACCGCTTCCGCCGCCGCCGCCGCACTCCCCGTGCTCACACCACTCCACACGCGCCGCTGCCGCCGCTCCTCCTCGACAATCAGCGTCCCCCCGTGTTGTTGTTGTTGTTGTTGCTGCCCGGCACCAAAATCGAAGTGATTACCACCACTGGCGCCGCCGCGCATGAACAGCCCTTCGAGCTGCAACGGCGAGAACAGATCCTTCATCTGCCCGTTCCCGCGCGCAAGCACCCTTCGCACTGCTGACCCAGGCCCATCTTCATTCGCATCGCCGGTCGCGCCGCGAACACGCATAGTTCCTAACCACGATTCGTCTGGCATCACGACATGGATGCGGTTGTCGTCGTCTTCATCGTTCCCCTCGCCAAACGGGTCGTCGTTTGCATATGGGTCTTGATTGGCATCAACCTCGTCCTTTCGTCCGTAAGACTCGTTACCGCGGTAGAACTGTTGCCGGCCGTCGGCATCACCATCCGTCTGTAACCCCGTGCGATGAGTGTCGCGGTGTGTGCGTTCGTGGCTGTTGAAGTGGGAGTGGTTGTTGTTGGAGTAGCCGTTGTCGTTCCATTCGTCGGACAGTTCGTCCCATTCCCTAATCATCGTCTCGTCTTGCGCGTTAGTCGTACGGGTGATAAGTTCTCTCTCTGCTGGTATCTATGAGGACAGCGGCTGAAACGAGCGAACCGGTCGCAACTTAAGCCAATCGAAGAGGGTCCTGGTCTATTCCAGTTGGTGTGAGATACGAGGAAAAGAAGAGAGGGGTATTATAGGACGTAGGGAAAAGAACACCTCTTTCGAGTGGCCCGTCCGCATCATCCGGACATGTGAGGAGAACGCGTCGCTTGTTCGCTGGGATGCAGTCAGGCGAACTATCGATACATATACAGTACTGTACAGCCGGGACCTAGACCGGTTCGTAAGAAGCTTCCGCCAAGTCGCAACGGCGCTCAGAGTAGCAGGTGAGCCAATCACATTGGAACTTCGAAACGCTGGGTGAATGAGTAGCCTTCGCTGCTGACCACTACGAGCGCTATTAGAACATGCAACACTGACCGAGACTGAAGATTCCAAGGGTGAGTCAGCGGATGAGGACACCGTCGTCGCAGATCCCATAGACGATGAAATGGCGGACAAATTGGAACTCATTGAAGAGCAGATACTACTTGACCATGGCAACCTGCCGATCTCATGCATTGTTTGGGGTGTGAGGTCCGGAAAGCCATTTGTTCTTGTAACAGTGGACCTGCCCCGCGGGATGCCGGTCGAATTGCCCAGAGCAATATCTGGCATCGACATCCTCCTGGATTACGGAACAATGGACCTCTTCCATCCGCAGCAAACATACAGAGCTCAAGCCGGGCATAAGCATCGGAAAAGCAGGGCTGCCAGACACACAACCATCCGCGGGCTCGTCGGGCCCACTATTTACTCACAACGGAGTACTACTGTATATGGTTGCAGGGCACAGTGTGGGGTTAGAGGGGGACCAGCCTTCTGCAACCTGGGTGCTTTGATGAAGTAAGGGAAGTTTCGGAGATAGTGCAGCAGGATCGAGATCTAATAGGAATGATTGATGTCCAGCCTGCCGCAGATTCTTGCGGGTGTCGTTGAACAGTTCTGCTTTGTCGGAACGGCGGAGAATGGAGATTTGCTGGACTATGCCTTCTGCAGAGTCACCCGGAACCCTGCAAACGCAAGCAATACCCCTTATCTCAGACACATCAGGCTTACAAGTTGGAAGACCAGCGTCGGGCGGGAGGACTGGTGGCTATTATCCGAAAAGGTCGGCAGGACCACCTTTCACACTCGAGGGAAACATCAAAGACAGATGGTACGACGCAGCAGGCTCAAGGGGTGCTAAAAGTGCGCGGCTGTGGCAAACCATTTGGTAAGCTGCGCAGGCAGCCCAGTCTGCTACCTCAAGAAGCTGACTGATTCACATTAGCGGCAAGGGGCGACTCTGGAGCGGCGACAGCGGTATGCTGTGGGGGAATCATCAAAGGGCGAGACAGACCATCCTGACGTTGTGACGGCCTTCTGTGATCTACATCGGTTCGATACTGGATCACGCCGAGAAACATTGGAAAATGGCGGTTTGAACTTCTGAATTGACGATTCGCAACCGAAAGTCTTGCGCGCAATGCCCAAAGTTGGACGACCACTGGAGCTGGAAGAGAAAGGACGGGCAAGGCCTACTCTTTAGCCCATTCGGACGCTTGAGGCGGACCGGATGAAAAGCAGCAATCATCACAGTCATCCTAGCCATTGAAGTCGCCTATCTCTTGTCACGGCCGCAGATGTAACCCAGCTCGACCGCCTTAGAAGTTCTTGCGCCATCGAGAGCATACAACGACTTGCATCGGGTTGGCGAGGAGGATCCGGGAGACGTGTTCGTTTCTGGGATGCATGGGAGGAGGGGTTAGTAAATGGCTTGATGAGAGGGAATGACGGTTGTGGACGGGTCAACCGACCGAGGAGATCCCAGCCTTGGCCGTTCGGGACTTGCTTACGCAGAGCGCGGCAAAGCGAGACATTTATGTTGAGTCACGTGGCTCATGCTCTAATTTAATCTTCCGGAAGCAGTTACTGTCAATTGACATTGCAAACTGACAGCATGCGGCCTGTGGATAGTTGAAACACGTTTGGGACTTGTTCCTTGCTTTCTCGCTCCCGCTGCGGGCGTGCAAGGATGCCCAACCAAGCAATACCCCTCACCCCGAACGAACATCCATGTTACGGATTGGTGATGAACCCTCACACGCTTCACACGGCCAAGCATGGGCGTTAGGAGTTTCTACATTGTGCACATAACTGGTCTGGCCACCCAGTGTCATGCTGCGGTGTCCCTCACTCGGAGTCGGAGTCTCCGCCCTTCCGACTATCTTCTCTGCCGCTCGACGTCGGCGAGACGGCGGAAATCTCTCCCCGCAGTCCCTTGCCATTTAAACCATGTTCCACACCCCACTTCCCTCCCTTCAAATTCATTTCAAAACAATACAGAACGATCCAATCTTCCCTGATCCACACAGATAGAATAGAATAACGCGTCAACCATGAAGCTGTCTCTTTCTGTCGCCGGTGCTGCTGCGGTGCTGGCCGTAGCGGCGTCGGCCGCCCCCGCTTCTCTTACCAGGCGTGAAGTTCCTCAGGAGCATTCCCATGATTTGATCGTCAATGCGGTATGCATCTAAGATAACCGAGAATGAAGCGATCCATTTGATCTAATACGTTCTCGTGCCCGCAGGTCCGTCAAATCTTCATCAAAGACACCCAAGGTTTCCCCGACCCAATCTTCGCCCTCCTCGGCAACGCCGCCGCCCTCTCCGCCCTCACCCCCACAACCGTCACCGACAAAGACCCCAACAACCTCCAACTCCACATCGCGGATATCACAATCACCAATTGCAAGAAAACCACCCCGGTTGATCCACTCTGCATCGCCCGCGCAGTCCAGTTCCGCGCCCTTGAACGAAACACCCCCGGTGTGGGCACCAAATCGGGGGCAGCGACGGCTAAACCGGTTAACAAGGAACTGGATGAGATATCCCAGCATCAGGACCCTGCGTCTGATGGAGCGGGGCAGGTGAATAAGGAGGTGGAGATTGCGGTTGCGAGAACGTTGGCGGGGTTGGGCATTGAGAAGGGGATCGCTGTGGGGTTGGCGTTGGAGACTGCGACTTTTGCGGCTGGGAACAGGGCGGATAGTACGGGGAAGGGGAATGTGTGTGATACGAATGGGAGTCTTGATGGGCAGATAAACGTTAAGTTGGGGAAGGATACTGTTGATCCTGTTACTGGAAGGTGAGTTGTTTCACCAGCGAGTGAGTGGTGAGATGTTCTCAAGCGTTGTACTCATCACCTCATTTATCTCTCTCATTCAGTCTGGTGAAGGCGGGGACCATTGATTGTATTACCGCTGCTGATCTGGGACAGGACCCGAACAACCGTTCCAAGCGTGTGCCGGCGACTACCCGTCAACAGCTTCTAGATGCCATCGGTGGCGGAACCAATGGGAATCAGAACCAGAACCAGAACTCGAACACGGGCAACGACACCAAACAGAACCCAAAGCCGAACGAGAACGAAAACAAGAACCAAGGCCAGAACGGACAAGCCCAAACAGTAACCGTCACTGCAACCGTCACCGCAACCGCAACCGTCTGTCCCGCCGCGACCCCCGCCCCATCCGGCCCACAACCCGCCCCAACCCCAGCAGCCCCCGCCCCCGCCAAGATCGATCTCGGCACCTGCACCGACGCCCCCACCATCGCCTTTGGCCCGTCCTTCGACGGCCGCCGCGAAAACTCCTTCCAACCCGTCAACCTTCGCACCTTCACCCACGGCTCCGCCCTCAACATCGATGTCATCGCCAGTTTCATCTGTGACCGCCTCGGTGACAAATGCCAGGCGAAGGAGGCGCAGAGTGTTTGTAAGAGGGTGGCGGCGGAGCTGCAGAAGAGTGGGGATAGAAGTGGGAAGGCTGCGGATGTTTTCAATAGGGCGTTTGGGGTGGTCACGGAGTTTGAGAAGGTCAAGTAGGGCGGTGCAAAATGGGTTCGGGTTAAGGACTTGATGGCGTGTACGTACTGTACATAGTGTATGTCTTATGGAGATATGGATGTTTTGCAGATAGAGCCGAGACAATCTTGTATATATATGGACGTGAATAACGGGGATGTTGAATAGCGGTCGGGTCGGGTTAAGAAACACGGGAAAGGAGTGAACTGTCAAAGTGCCGTCAGTGGGTGGCGCAGCCCTGCTCTCCTCCTCCTCGCTCAGAGCTCCTGTTCCTGTTCCGAAACAAATCCATCGACATACTCCCCACACGCCAAAGAAGTTTGCACAACAGGCGCCACTTACTCACGGCCAGACAGCCGCCAGTGCGTTGCAGATGCATACTTTTCCTCTGACTCGATCGCAGGAAAGGCACGTTTGACAGGTATGCATCAAACTTTGTGCTGTGTGACATCTTGGTACAAGACACTGAAGCCTTTCTTGCCGGAAATCATAGCTAGAGTCAACTCAACTACGCAACCACCAACGATGTACCAACTACTAATGCAATGACCTCACAGGTACAGGAGGTCACGCACGGGTCAGAGGAGACAGGAACAGGTCCTTCAAACCTGGATCTGGAGTACCCGACGCTTCCCGTTTCCTCCTGCGAAACGGACGATATGCTCGGAACACCGTCAACCTGTGGGACACTTTCAGAGACGAGTTCGACAGCGATCTCGGCATGGTGACCCAACGAGCCATGAGGATATCGTTTTTCCATATCTTGACATCAGATGAACGTTTTGGGGGGGCTCTGGAGGAAGGGTCTGGCTTTTCTGGAATCCCTCTCCATCGATCTCGTCCATTAGGCAGCTCCATTGCAATTGTGAGGGGTTGACAGGCGCGGTGGAGCAGTACAGTTACGTGTGCCCTCCGCGAGAAGGCGACATTTCGACCAGTGCCGCCTAGCAACAATCATTCAAGCATGCGTTCGCCTGTCAACCCCTCACAATTGCAATGGAGCTGCCCCGGGAGGGAGGTATTCAAAAACCCGTTAATCTTCAGCTTGGCTTGTGTTTGGTGAGATTCCACGTCCACACCTGATTGATACTCATTTTGGCAACTAGTTTCGGATGGTCCGCTACTTTCGAAAGCTGCTGAGTGATACAGAGCGGACTAAATATCGTGCACGCCAACATCTCATGGAACTGAGGAGGACGCAACAGGCGTTGTCGAAATACTGGAGACCACGAAGCAGTCAAAGGGCGCGGCGTCGACGTCGAATCTCACACTTATAGACCTTGACCGCGCGGAGGAGGAGGCCCTGAAGGAACATGAGCCCGACGTCATCTGCCAGCATCCCGCTCTCAAGTACGTTTCACCGACCTTGGCCCGCGGACGAAATGCCCCAGGTTCAGCGACAGACCGCCCCGGCATCCTGGACTCCTGTCCATCCTGTTCCGTTGCCAACGCGGTAATCACGTGTAGACAATACAAGGACTGGGACTCATTCCGTTGGGCCGCAATCGATGGCAGGCGTTATCTCGCGGGGGCCGGTCAGCACCTGGTAGAAGGATACCAACGACACAAAACAACAGTGGCGTGCTCGGTATTCAGGTCGGGGACAGCATCTCACCGCTTCCCGAGACGGACAGTGGCGTGCTCGTTATTCAGGTTGGGGACAGCATCTCATCGCTTCCCGAGACGGAATCGATATCAGCCAAGGGTTTCCAGGATGGGAGGCACAAACCCCTGACGAGCTGGAATCTGCGGAACCTGCACAAGGCAAAGTGCTTCCCTACCGGCATATGCGCGAAGCAGAATGCACAGACGCCTTCCAATCAGCCGTACACTGCTCTGACTGGGAACGTCACCATCTTCGCCTCGAGGCTCAACACGCGGCCGAACCCGGGCCATTTCCTGGGAGGAGTGGGGGATGGACCAAGTGAGTGAAGACCTTCAGCCATCAAGATGGAGAGGAAGTGCTGCCATCCTTGACTGAGGAGCAAGTAACGCCAAGAACCAGAAACTCTTCTCTCCGGAATATCGGCGAATTCAGGACGATTTCATCCTTTAACCACGTCGGCGCTCCGGCGCTCCGACCGATGACAAGGACGAGGAGAAGGACGACTACGATGAGGCCGTAATGGCCGAGGAGGATGTTGCAGCGCTGTGTGAGGAACCCCAGGAGTGGAAGGCCCTGGCGGGGTACATCCGGGGGCGGCGGGTGACGAGGGGGGGGATTAGGGACCTGGTGAAGCCGCTGTACGATCGCCACCGGGCCTGGCTTGCGCTCGCCGAATCTCGCATGGAGACGCACGGGCGTTACGTGACCGAGGAAGAGGAAGAGGATGAGGAAGAGTTCATCGACGATCCCACCACAACGGCCACAACGTATGAGGGCAGCACCGAGGGTGGGGACACGACGACGGGGAGCGAATTGTTGAGGGAGATTGGGAGCGACGACGAGTGAAGCCTTGAATATTCAGGGAAAAATAGGTGTAAAATAGGTGTAAAATCACTACGACCGGCGTACCGTTCTCAAAACGTACCTACTTTATATATGTAGAGTTTATGGTATTCGATACAAATCAGAATGGGTCAGCGCAATCGTTCTAAAGTCTCAGCAAGCCCAAGGATGCGCCAGGCAGCATCGATACCCTCCTCCGGTAGCTGCAACAACCGTTCGACTCGTTTTGCCAGCTTCTCGTTGATTTGATAATAACCCTAATCCCCAACCCTAATCCCATGACATGTATCCTCGTGAACGGTTAGGGATCGATCTCGCACTCTCGCACTTCAGCGCTCCAGTCATCGGCAGTTCGCACTCTCACACACACACACACACATCACTTTCTTGCAAGCTTCACAATGAGCCCCCAGCAGCAGCAGCAGCAGCAGCAGGGCTCCAAGCCCCGCGTCATCCTGGGGTCGGTTTCCACTTTGTCGTTCTCGCCCCGCTTGCCGTGCTTATCAAAAACTTACCTCCCCCCCCCCCCCCCCCCAACGCTCAATTCACTAGGACGATGACGTTCGGCACGGGGGTTGGAGGCCGTATCAGCGACCAGAAGGAGATACAGCGCATCCTCGATCTCTATGCGTCGCATGGGCACAAGGAGCTTGATACCGCGCGCATGTATTGGTATGAAAGCTCTGGAAAGGCACAGAAGATGTAGCAGCATAAACTCGTGGACTGCGTGAGCTGACCGTTTCCTTACTGATTCTGGCAGCGGTGGAAACACGGAGGAAGTTCTTGGCGAAATGAACGTGCAAAACTCCGCTCACAGCTTCAGCGTGGCTACAAAAGCGTACCCGACGAACGCTGGGGACCACGAGCCTTCCAAGCTCAAAGGTGAGGAGATTTATTCATGATGTATGGGTGAATGTCAACGGACTAAGAAAAGCTACATTTCTCCATCCTGCATATCCTTCCAGCCCAATTCCGCGCATCTCTCAAAGCGCTCAAGACGAAGAAAGTCGACATCTTCTATTTGCACGCGCCCGATCACGCAACCCCGTTTGCCGACACACTCAAAGCCGTGCAGGAGCTTTATGAGGAAGGCACGTTCGGCGAATTGGCTTTGAGCAACTATGCGGCGTGGGAGGTGATGCAGATTTGGTGGATTTGCAAATCGAATGGATACGTTCTGCCCACGCTTTACCAGGGCATGTACAATGCGCTTGTGAGGGATTGCGAGGTGCGTTGAGCTACTTGATACGCGTCAAGGACTATACGCTCGTCGCCCTCGAATCTATACTGACAACTTCATGTGTCTTTCAGAGGGAGCTCTTCCCGTGTTTGCGGGAGCTGGGTATCCGATTCTACGCGTACAACCCGCTCTGTGGAGGCCTGATGTCCGGAAAGTACAAGTTTGAGACCAATCCGGACGAAGGTCGATTTGACCCCAACCACTCTCAGGGTGAGCGATACAGGCAGCGGTACTGGAACAAGGTAGGCACGCTGGGTACGAGAGCGCTATAAGGATCTGCCCCAACTGACATACACACTTGATTAGCTGTACTTTGAAGCCATTGAATCCCTCAAGGCCGTCTGCGAGCAAAACGGACTGACGACCGTCGAGGTTGCGCACAGATGGCTGGCTCGTCACTCCAAGCTCGACTTCAACCTCGGGGACGGTATGCAACCCTTCCTTTCGAACCCTCCTCAGCCGACGAACTTCCTCACCTCACCAACCAATCTTTCCCCTCTACAGGAATCATCATCGGCGCCTCGTCGTATGACCACGCTAAACAGAACCTCGAGGATTGCGCAAAGGGGCCGTTGCCGGAAGCGGTTGTGAAGGCTTTTGACAAGGCGTGGGAGGATACAAAGGTTATCGCTCCCACCTACTTCCGTTGATAGTGTAGCGATTAGCATGTATATACGGCGTAGTGCGTAGTGATAGGATGGGAGTCGACTGGTCTGTCTCGGTTGATCTTAGGAACTTTGTAATCTTTCATGCTAGCGCTCTATATGTAGTCAGAAACGCTTTGACATCTTCGACGTCTGGAGCGAGGTGTCCAAAATGGGCAGGCCGCGCGGGCAGTCTTGACCCCTCCTACCTACCCCGACCTCCACGACGGCGCGCGCGGAGCCGGTTAAGGAGGGAGAGGATAGCGAGGGCGGGGTGCGGGGTGGGGACAGAAACGGCGGAGATATTGGCGACGGCGGCGGGAGCGGCGGAGACAGTGGGGACGGCGAGGACGACGGGCGGGCGAGACGGGAGGCGGATGAGGAGGTGGGGATGGGGGGGAGCAGCCGAGACAGCGGAGGGACCAGCGTGGGTTTATTCTCGTTCACCCACGAGAGGCGCTTCAAACTTTTCGCTCGGACGTCTTCAGAAAATCGGCGTGGTGTCACCGCCGTATGCGGCGCATGTCAAACTCATGGCACTGAGTCGCGCGCTTTGAAGGTAGGAAATACGACTGGGTGCTTATTCGGTATCCCACGGTGATCCCGTCGGAGCGCTTTTTGCCGAATCACAGGAACTAGGTGGAGGTCGAGACCCGGCTGGGACAGTGGTCGGCCACGATCCAAATGCGGCCGAGAGGAATCAATGCACTGCATTGGACACCTACTTGACGGCGTCCTCCGTCACGGTCCCAGCGTCCAACGAAAGGAAGTTCCCTTTCGACGATCCGTGACCAACCCTGGGTCGTCGGAGCCGGGTACGCGAGACGCAACGACTTGTCGCTCCGAATCCAAAAAAGCCAGAATGATCCTGAGGGGGGGTGTGTAGTTCTGATGGCCGGCCGGAAAGGCGCCGTCGGGTTCTACTCTCAAAGCGGGACTTGGTTGGTCGGGCGGTATTTGGGAAGGTTGTTGTGCTATGAACCGGTGTGTCCTTTGCGGCGAGGAGGTGCAAAGGAAGCTGACTGCTTCTGAGGTGACCGGATTATAATCCGCTAGTAAACACATGTGAATCCGAACTGACCAGGGATTGCGATGATGGGGTGCCAGAGTGGTGTATGCAACCCCGATTTTGGAGAAATGGGGACCGCGAACATATTTGCCGACCTCCAGTGTTGCCATGGTCACTTGAAAGCGGATTGCCGACCATGGACTTGTCCAGAGTGTGGGGTTCTGTGTGGCGTTTCTCCGAGCAAAGGTAGCGCTCCTCATCCACCGCCTTCTTTTTCTCCATCTCATCCCTCCCTCTTCTTCTTCATCCTCCTCCGTATCATCATCTTTCTCCATCCTCTTTCCCTCTCCCCTTCCCTCGACTTTGATGTTTTTGTTGTCGTCCGCTCCGGTGAGGTCGATGGCGTTGTTGACGGTCGGTCCGGTGAGGTCGAGCAAGCTACTTGGTTTTATGGCGGGAAGGGGGAGGGGAAGAGACGAGCAAGCATTTTGGGCGGGAGGAACGGGAGAGGCGGCAAGAATAAAAAAAAACTTGAATGACGCAGTCCAGGAAAAGGTGCGTTGTTTACGCCGTGAAGGAGGGTTGGTTACGCCCGGTTCATAAATTCCATACTGTTACGTTCAAAAGTCTTACCTTAACATAGTTCTTTGACTGCGTAGCCAGCGCCTCATCCACTCCGGCGTCGAATTCTTCTTGGGTGTACATGCGCGGGGGGGCCGGGGTGTGGGGCTTGGACGAAGGGCCGAGTGCTCGATGTGGGGAGGGAGAACGGGAGGGAGAGGCGGGCATCTTGGTAACAGGAGAGGAACCAAATGAGTACGCAGCTCTTACAAAACAGGAAAGGTTTTGTCATCTGAATTTTCTGCTCACTGATGAACAGGGGTCCATTTTCTGCCGGCGGAGCGTGCTTCACAATCTGCTTTACACAGCTTGCCTCAAAAAATCGTACGTACAGTACGTGGTGAGAGATTCCGTACAAAAGGGTACGTTCCGTGCCTCCAGGTTACCCTCGAAACATCGTACAGGTCATCGATTACCCCTTGGACACGGGCAGAAATGGTCGAAGAACGAGGGTCATGCCCACATCTCGTGAGCAACACTAGGAACATGTAGCGAGAGCTGAGTTTTCAGCAGTTTTAGCAATTTCAATACCAATCTCTGCATGACTCTACTTAGACAGTGTGGAGGATGATAGCGCTTGGGTGTTGGCAAGGAGACTTACCTGGGCCACGTCGTTACTATTGGAATTGACAGCAAACGCGCTGTCGAAGTGGAAGTTTGTACACAAAGTCACAAACCCCAGTGCGGAGGTCTGTACATGTACTCTGTGCGGAGGAGTACACCCTGTATGTACAGTATGTACTCGATCAACGATAAACAATTTGTCCCAATCCGCACCGTGCGCTCAACATGTCCGAGCCCTGCTTCATCTACCTCGTCCCCGATCTAGTTCTATGCCAGATATCTCTTCTTCTCTCCTGGGCCGACCTCCACCGATTTGCGGCGTGCTCAGCTCGGATAAGAGACCGAGTCGAGGCAGTGAACGTAACGTTCCGAGCGGATCGCCAGCTTCGCGAGCAACTGCACATAAACTTGGCGATTAGGCGGATGAATGACCCGCCTCAGGAGGACCCACTGCTGAAATACCGCCGGTTTGTCGAGAAACAGTATACATACTTCGACTTTCGGCGCACGTTCTTTTCGTCACACCGGGCGTATTTCAGGGACGAGGCAATCCGGTATGGGGGACCCTTTGACGCATGGTGTGCAGCAATTGTTGCGATATTGGCAGGAGGTGCGGCGGCCGCGGAGTTTCCTTCAGGATGGATTGGACTTTACCGCCAGTTTGGTTTTGTAAATGACGATGAGTCGCGGAGTGCAAAAGTAGTCTCAATTCCTACTCCTTGTGGGGACGTTGTTTTTGGGCTCAAAAGCGAGACCTACGGACGAACGCTCGAAGGTGGCGTGTACGAGGGAAAGCTACAGCTTTCCGCCGCAGTCAACGGTTGCGATCCAGTCGTCGTTCACCGTTGGAACAAAGAGAGCAGGGATTCCACACCATATCAGCGGAATTATCTGAACGCCCTCTCGGCGGTTATCGGCGTGCCAGAAAACATTCTCGAGGGGTGGCTGCAAGTCGCATTTGAAAGCGAGGAGGCGTGGAGAGTCACGTCGGCATATAAGAGCCATGAACTCGATTCTGAGGAGGATGGGGCCTCATCCGCTAAAGACCAAACATACTTGTCTGCCGAGCTGAAGGTGCTCCAAGATTCCACAGCAGCATCAGAAGCCCTTCTGCACCGCATCGAGCTCTTACGTCACGCCGATCGCCACCACACTTATGATCCGTGGACACCAGTACTGAGGATAATGCACAATGCGCGATCCCACCGCAGGTTGGAGAAACGCTTCCCGACCGTCTACTTTAAGGCGTGCAGTGAGTACGACGTCTTGCCTGTCTTGGATGATCAGCCTGGCTTTGGTCTCGCTTGGGCGGCTGATCACATTCGCTTCAATGAGTGTGTCCCATCTGATATATTCTACGAAGCACCTCGCCACCATTGCCCTCCGGTACATCTTAGATTTTATGTTAGAGGTCCGGTATCGGGCAATGCAGGGCATGCAGCTCGGCTCGCCTTCGTGTTCTCGGCGCTAGCATGCGCGAACTCGTACGATTGTCAGCTGAGCATTTCCACTTTGGAAGCGAGCGACTCGGACAGTACATGTCTTCTGGCCTACGCCGTGCATGGGTTCTCTGGCTTCGAATGGTGCAAACCTTTCCATTATCTGTCACGACGGGAAATGAGGATGTGGTTATCCACGGGCAGCCACAATGGGAAGGGGCCGGACAGGGTCTGGAAGACGCTTGGCACGGAGGAACGATGGAACGCGGTGTGGGAGCGCCTTGATTCTGAGCGAGTGTGGGATGACGCAAAGCGAAAGCAATTCTTGGCTATGCTGCTGGCGGTGACCATGTCGTTTGTCCCTCCCTTCGATGATGATCCGGATCCGGATTGGGCCTACACTGAGGATGCTGACGCGCAATTCGATGATGATCCGGATCCGGATTGGGCTGACGCTGAGGATGCTGACGCGCAATCGTCCGAATATTGGAGCGACGAGGAGGAGGACGAGACAGCGGAGGTGACCAAGTGTTTGGGCAACTTCCACGAGGGATACATGCATTTGTCAGAATCAGAATCGGATCAACTGGAACCTAATGACGAAAACAAAATGCGAGCCGTGGCCAACTGGCTTGCGGACTATTCCGGCGCGCGAAGGACACTCGTATCTTCGCGCGACGCATTCTTGCAAAGTGGCAGAGATCTGGATCCAGATGATAATTGTCCGCCTTGGGAACCATTTGAAAATGCATTCGAAAGCGTTTGTTTACGATGTCATAGCGGAAATCATGGGGAATTGAATGGGGAACCTTGCCCGTGTATTCCGCGACAAAACACTTCCGGCAGATTAGTGTACAACATGGGCAGGACCTGTAACGTCGATACATCATTGAGAATCCCCGGAATCATTCTTCCACAGAGAAGAAATCTCTGAAAGAACTCTATCTGAGAGTGCATGGTAGCATCGCTCGATGACTTTACTTGTCAATAGTCTTCCTGAGCTTCGTTTTCCGTCAAATTTATGTATTTTCGGCAAACATTCGATAGTGACGCTCTAGCACATGCGCCAAATGAGGCCTCCGCCGGTGAGCAGCAGGAAGTTCAACCGGAAGACGAAGAGGAAGCAGGCGAAGTATCGCCAGCCAAGTCTATAATCCTTCATCATCAGGGAAGACCGGAGCCTCTGGGGTCCGAGGCCAGTCCGAGGCGCGAATGCTGGGGCACTTGGGCAGATAAGCAACGCGCTGTTGAGGGCCGAGAGAAATCAAACGAAAACAAATTGATGGCGACAGTGAACGCTTTCAACGCTCCTCACCGGTCGAGGCAGCACGAATGGAGATGGGTGCAATGGTTCTGCGCGATTATTTCGTCATCACCGGTGTACAGTACAAGACTGACTAAACCCATGCCCCTCGGCACTGTATGGGGTTAACCATGCTATCCTATGGGTGTACGTGCAGGATGCAGTGCACGGGGGGGTTTCCACAGCCAACGCACAGAATTATCACATAATTCTGGCTCACACTCTGTCTTGACCGATTGACCGATTGACCTTAACTTGGCAATTGAGCCTGAGCGCGAACATCCCTATTCCCAGTTCAGAGTAGCGTCTATTAGCCATTGTTTTTCAAGACAACCATTGGGGCAGATAAGCATCGCGCTGTTGAGGGCCGAGAGAAATCAAACGAAAACAAATTGATGGCGACAGTGAACGCTTTCAATGCTCCTCACCGGTCGAGGCAGCACGAATGGAGAATCCTACTCTAAGATTGCGACGCCGCTGATGTGATCTGCGTCGGTTGGATGTGCCATCGGACTGGGACTCATTCCCAGCCTGGCGTGTCATGTGTGGAAGCCACGGGTTGAGCGTGCAGGCAACAGACTCTACCGTCGTGCACGCGAGTGCCTGAGAAGTTTGCGAGAGATGATCAAACTGAGGAGTTTGCGATAGAAAGGCCACCGAAAGCGGGAAGAGGTCATTTGTTGTGCACCAGTTGTTATGATCTCGACGACGGAGGCGGAAGCGAAGTAGAGAAGACAGGGCGAGAGTGATAGGCGACAAGAGATTGTATTGGCGAAACAAGAAACAAGGACTAGAACAGGAGATGAGAAGAACTGGTGTTGATCTGCTGGGGAGGAAGGGGATGGACGAAGAGAGGCCGGCTATTTATAGATAGGCAACCCAGCAGATCAGAGAACAACAACAACAAGAGGGGACTGGGGGGGCGCCAGCTATGCTCCTAGAGCGTGCGTGGCGAGCGTAGAGATCATTGCTACAGCTGCTGGCTATGGGGAAGTAGTGGGGGGTGTGGAGAAGCCGAGGGGGGATTGGCGAAATGAGAGGAGAGAGGAGGAGTGGCGATATTGCGGGAGGATTGGCGAAATGAGAGGAGAGAGGGGGAGTGGCATTGACATTGACATTGACACTGACATTGACACTGACATTGACATTGACATTGGCGTTTGACATTTGGCGGTTGACATTGGCGGCTGTCAGTAGGTAAGCTTATGGTATGGGCGCGTTGTCCATAACACCAATCCACGTGCATGCGGTAGAGGTTTCGCTCCGCCTTTGAAAAGATAGGTATGATGGATGTAGACGTGGATCGGATGCTCCGTTTGGTGGGCAGTGCTGCGAGCTGCTCACACATTGCCGTCCAGGTTGTGTTCTCTTCATCATCATTGGCAAAACAGAGGCCACCAAACTTGCGGTGGCGTAGGGAGAGTGCGTAGATTCGACGCTTCGCGGAGAGAAGGTGTTAAATGGCGTTTGATGTTTCTCCATGCGATGGCTGCAGAGTTCCCGGGACCTGGTTTCGCTTCCATAGTGCCCCGATAAGAATTCTGTCGCTGACCATATCGCAGAACCCAAGTGCATGAATCTCCATGATCTTCCTGAAGACCTGGGTTTCCCCCTCTGAATTGGACGCAGATGGTTGGGTCTGCAGCAGCAGGACTAGAGGTTCCCAACCCGTCCGCGGGTTGCCTTCAATGTCCCCGTTGCCAATATCGCTTGCAGAAGTCTGTGCCGCATTCGACTCGTGAAGTACAGAGGCAATCTGGGGCGTTACGGACCCACATTCCCCTGATGTGAGAGAAGGATAGGTTCTCGTCAACCGTTCACGGATGTATCATAATGCAACAAAGTGGGAGTTGGCCCGAGCAATCAGCTCTGAGCTGACGTTGGCTGCCGCAGAAAACTCCTCTGCCGTAAGTTGTTCGTAGGTGTTCAGTGTACTGCTCTGGCTTGGCAACGTGGTGGCGTGAGTATGCTGAATTTGGAGAGCGACGCTGTGAACAATGGCATGAGGACCTTCTCGTTTGCGTCGTTGTGAGCGGGTTGCTGAAAGTTCACCGCTCGCGTGCTCTCCCACTTCCATATTGGATATCTGTGTGTTGGTCTCCAGGTCGATCGAGGACACGTCTCCGTGCAGTGTGGTGAAGTGCGAGTCGGTCTTGCGAGTGGACTTTGTATGACTTTGTATTTGCTGTAGTTTCTGGCCAGAGACAGAGGGCACCCTTTTATGCTCGTCGAGAGTGCCAGTTGTCCGTCGACCGCTCACGTCGACCGAAAAGAGTTACATTCCACGTCAAACTGCAAACATGGACCCTTACCTCTATGCGGTCACCGCAAGAAGGGCAGACTCCGTGTCTCATGTCCTGAAGGGCAACATCACCGGTCCAACCGACGTGAACGTCGTCGTGAGGTGGGTGGTCTCCGAACGTTCGAAAGGTCCCTCCCTCCCTACTGAGAGGCGAGCTGACCATCCTCTTCCTCGTCACAGCAAGTTCACCCATATTGAGATATACATTTTGGAGCCGGTCGGGGATGAGTTGGAGTGGGGAGACGTCGCAGTGGAGGGAAATGAGTGATACTGACTGGTCGATGCAGATATGAGCCACTACATTGCCCTAATCCGGCTGTCACCCAACTCCTCCCCCTGTTCGGCCACTTCCTCCTCAACATCCTGAATGACAACAAACAAGCTCAAGAAATGTTGGGACACGCCGACGAGCTTGAAGAGGAGAATGCACAAGGAGGACGAGAAGATGCGACCGGGTATGGAGGCGATGAACAATATGAGAACGGTGGCCGTGAGCCAAGCGCTACAGATCCTTATGCGCCGGATAATGCCTTGATTACCATCTCTGGCGACCCACAGACATTGGGACAGGTGGGTGGGCACGATGCCGCGATGCATGTTGTTTGCTTCTCACGCCTTAGTGAAACCCATGCCTTTGTATGTAGGTCCTGAACATCAACAATCATGCCTTAAAACTCTTCGGCCTCCGTAAACCCGACGTTCTACACAAAAACATCATCACAATCATCCCATCGCCCTTCGCCGAGATTCACGATCAACTACTGCAGCGCTACCTCGACACGGGCTACGCAAAGGTCATCGACCGGCCGAGACAGGTTCTCCGCCTCCACAGCTCCGGCTATATCATGCCTGTATCGTTGCCGGTTTCTAAGGGCGTTTGGGGGTCCGTTGGTCGAGTAATCCTCCTTATTTTCACCGCGAAGCCGCTCGAGTTCTGCATTCAACTGACCCTTGTTGATTTTGTCGAGGTAGATGCGCACACCATGCGTGTCATCCACTGCAGGAAGGTGCGGTTAACATCACCCTTTTCATCCCCACATATAGAAGGCTGGAATAATGACGCACCTCGCAGATCGAACAGGGTGTGCCTCTCTCGCCAACCCGAATTGGTGGGATCCATCACGAAGGCCCAGCTTTGAAATCGTATCTGCAAAAGGAATTTCGTCAGCCTGGGAATCTCGTACGCTCGTTCAAAACACTGGAAATGAGGTTCTTACTTCCACGTGCACTATAAACATGAAGAAACGCCAAAGAAGAGTTTTTACGCAAACCTCTGGCAAGCTTCTACGCGCCGCTCTCCCCTGGACATCCTAATAATCACAGAGGCCACTTGATGTCAGCGAGCCACTTTCACGGAAAGTTTAATAACTTGCAATCACCTTTGATGATCATGGCTTTGAGGGCCTTATTGCGCTTCAAAAGAGTTTTCACCCCTTTCAAGGCATTGGGCCCCAAACGCGCAACTACATTGAACAATCAGTCAATGGTGCTCCAAATGGTGCTCCATCGGGCCGTTTACCTTCGACATGGAGATTTTTCAATGTCTCATTTCCTTCCTTGATTATCTCATCCCCTACCAGAGTCTCATTCACTACCAGACTTGCCGCAAGGGCGGCAATGCCGAGCAACTTCTCGTCCTCGTCCTCGACCTCGTCCTCTTGATCCCTGTCACCTGGCACATCAAGGAAGCCTCGCGGTGTGCGTTCGTCAAGCTCGAAGGCAAGTGTCTCCAAGGTTTTGTTTTGCCCAAGCGCAGCGAGCACTTCCGCCATATGCTTGGGGAGTTTCCTTGAAGCTGCGATCTCGCCGCAAGCTTAACAGGGAAGGTGGCGTGTCAGAAACTCAACTTGGAGCATGGGTAACGTGACATAGGGTTAGGCTATTCACCCAGCTATTCACCTTTTAAGCGAAGGTCGGTAATCTTGCCTTTCTCGCACAAGTGCTTTCTTCCTCGATGAAGAGTTTGCCGATCGTACCTTGGCCCTCGAGATCCTTGGAGAGCTTTCGGCGTAAAGCTCTGATGCACCGTATGATTGCATTCTGGTCGGCCTCCGATGGCTTTGAGGCTGGAAAAGTTCTTTTCGCGAATTCCTCGATGCACTTTTCAGCGGTCGGGCCGTCCTCAAAGCATCGCATCAAGCCCTCCTTGTAGGAAACATTTAACCAGAGATGGTCTCTTGTGGCCATGCGCTTCTGGATTTCAAAGAGTAGGTAGGTTAAGGACTTTTTTTGTTCCTTCAGAAGCTCAAAGAAATGAGTGTAGTGGCCCTTTGCTTGGAGAATCGCACCGAAAGTCCATTGCAGACGCGGATGAAGGGTTAGGTGCAGGAACGACTTTTCCGGGTCGTCGTTGTGGAAGATGTCGTGGTCCTTCGCTTTGGGTATATGTCGAAGCGCAAGCCGAACGGTTTCCGGGAGAGCATGCTTGGCCGCCCACCACAAGACGCAACGCCCGTGGATGTCTTTGAACTGATGGTAAGACATTAGATGAGTATAAGCGGAAGGTTGAGAGCGCCTAAAAACACGAAGCGGCGTATGATGACATGCCTCAAAGAGTTTCGGTTGCTTCATTAGAAAGCGCTGACATTCTCACATAACCATAAGGTCCAATGGGTTTTGTTTCAGCTTGCCGCGCACGACAGCAACTCCCTTCCGAGCCGCTTTGGTGTCCCCATTCATAAGCCCGCGAAAATGAGCAACAACGACCTCTGGGTCCGCTCTGAACGTCAGGTTCTCATTCAGGTCCTCCATGTGCTTCCGAATCACTTTCACTTGCTCCTTGGTGTCCACGACTTCCCCATGAATGTCACTCAATTTTTCTGGTATCTTCTTGGCAATGGTCAGAATCTCGTCACTCTGTCTCATGATGTACTGCAGGCTTAGATAGGAGCCGGTGGCGAGGGTGGTGAGGAACGCTTTCTTTTTCTCATTGAAGGTTTCTGCTTGGGCATCCATCCATTTCGCGTTCTGGCCGGTCATTCCTTCAATTAAATGGTAGACGGTTAGCCATGCTGGTCAATGTGAAGTAGAGGTCAGAAACTTACCGATTCTGCCAGTAGCCGAAGTCTTGATTCGCTCATTCAAGTTTTGGACGAACTCGGCGACGAACACTTGCATGTCGGTTACCGCCTTATGCACTGTCTCGTCTTGGGTAAGTCGGTGGCTGACATCCTTCATGTTGGTAACAGTTTTGGACTCCGCATCATCCTGCGGGGTGGCTTCAATGAGCTTGGTGCTACATGTTACCGAAAATACGCAGCGGAACGTCTCTTCCATTGTGTTGTAGAGCGAAGCAGCGGCGACAACGAATTTGTCGAATGCCGTAGCAGCCTACAAAACGAAGAATAATCTGAGTGACGACGTAACGAGGGACCAAGCGGCGAAACGCGGAGGCCAACATACCTTCAATGCGAAGCTTAGAACCCCAGCAAGGACCTTAACGCTTCCGTGCAGCTTAGAGAAGACGCAACAGAAGACAGATAAGAAAAGAATCCGCATGCATCATCGGAAGAAGGCGAGAACGACAAGACTTACGTTGCCAAGGGTATCCAAAGCGCCCGCTACCCCTTTGAGAAAGTCGGCGATCGGAGATTCTTTGATGGAGTCAGCGATTGCATTGGCCGTTTCCAGACTCATAAGAACGGCGTCCAGATGGGTCTGTCCTTTGTGTGCCACATTCACAATCGTCTCAGACTTTTCGATCATCATCTGATCGATTTTTTCGGGAGCTGGTTGGGCATAGTCGATCTTGAAATCGAGGCTCTCTTTGACACCTCTCTCTTCTATAATATCGATCGGTAAGGATTTCGCACTAAATTTGACACAGGGGATACATAAAGAAAAATTGCGGCTTGCGCATCCCCACCTTTGTCGTCTGGTCGCTCCGCAGGTTTGAAACAGCCTGCAACCGTAGCGAACATCCTGCTTCTCTTCCGTTTGCCTTGGCCGTTCTCGGGGTGCTCTTGCCGGCCGTCCACTCTGCGCTGGTCGGGAGGGTCGGCAGCGCAAATATGGAACAGAGGGCCGGGGCAGCCGCCCGAGGTCCCTGGCATTTATACCCCAGGCGCTGGAAAAAATTGTACTTTTGCATAGTTGTGCAGGTTGTGCAAAAAGCGGCTCGTTCGATTGTTGTGCAGAAGGCATCACGTTCGCGTATGTACCCGCACCTCAAGTTGCGGCCGTACTTCAAGTTTCCCACGCACACTCTAATATCATGCTATGTACAGTACATATATAGTTTCGGACTTGTATGTAAAGCTGGACAGTAGGGATTCGTAGGGTTTGTCACGGCTACTCCGTGGTGGTTAATGGTTGAAGCGATGGCGAGGATTCCCATGACAGAAACACTCATCTCCAAGATCATTTCCGTACGCGTCACAGAGGAAACGGCATACAGTATATGATACATCCAGCGCTCAGGGTGGCTTCGGCTTGCGTCGGCTCCTCAGTGTTACAATGTTCAAAGAATGCTAAGCGGTTGGCGCTCGCGGGTAAACAACGCGGTGACTTTGGTTTGCGGCAGAGTAGGACCGGCCTAGTTCTGCACCCGTATTCCCGGAGGATGAGCTTTAAATGAATGCCGTATACGAAATGCCAAACTTTCTGCATATATTGTACAGATATACGGCTCGCACCTAATGTACAGATTTCTGAACGCCGAGGCCATTACTTGTTACGCCGCTTCAAGGCCCAATATCGGAAAATGATGCCCGCTCACATCCCGGCCCTTTAGGTAGAAGGTATTCTGCATAATATTCCTTTCTTTCCGCATTGCTTTCACAGGGACCTTGGCGGCAACCCATTCAGCTTGTTGTACCCCAGCGTAAACTCCAAACACCATCGGCGGTCTTGCTGACTATTCTCGAAATTCATGCCGGCAACGATCCACGCCATGATTGCCGCCGCCTCCGCAATATTACATCCCAAAACCGCACAATCGGCCGGTGCAGCGATCCCTAATCCCATTTGTTGTGGCGCAACGTTTTTTGATGGCTGGATCCAGACCGAGGCCGCGAGATATCGGTCTGCGTGCGTCCACGTGTGCGAGCTGCCGAGATTGATTTGCTCCAGATATAGTGGGTCGGCCGGTTTGTTGACCAGAAGGTTGTTCAGAGGTGCCTGGTGCCGTTCCGAACGGCTCGGTGATGGTCCCCCGTCACCTTGCTGCGTAATGTTTCCAGTATGCTTTGCCGCGCTGCTGCTTCGAGCGACATCTATAAACCGCACAGTCGGCGTCCTCTTATCCACATCCACCCCCGGTTGCCGCCACCCATCGTTGTTCTCCCCAGCAGACCCCGCCTTCAATACGTCCTCACTCCATCCCGCAGGCAACACTCCAGTCGTAATCCACAATCCAGCAAACTGCTTCTCCGAACAATATGCGATCAGCATCGTGCGATACAGTTTCGCCAGCGGTGTGTGTTGCTCCCACCAGGGTTCATACGGTAGTGCCGGCCGGTGTGCGTTCGGGGGTGGCTTGTTCTGCCAGCCAGGGCGCCAGGATGCGGTAGAGGCGATCGGACGCGCCCATCTGCCTTTCGAGTCGACTCGTCGCGGTTGGCTGAAGGGGTCTTCTGGCATCAGGATTTCATCGGCGACACATGCGCTGTGGGTAGACGATTATGAGATTATGAACGGGCTGTGCCGAACGGGCTTGAAAGAAAGATAACTCACAGCCAATCTTGTGCTGTACTCTTTCCTCCTTTCCCTGAAGAGTTCCTCCTATGAGCTGTCCCTTCTTCGGCAAGGTTGTCGTCATGTTCCTGGGTGCTGTGCTTCGGGAAGGGAGTGACTGACATCGCGGATATTTCAGTGATAGGGCGCTTTTATCGCGAGAAGCTCAGTAACAGAGGGTTCCGGTGATCGTGAGCAGCGGCTTTTGGGCTTCTAATGATGGAATGGTCCCGCCAAATTCTAGGTTTCAGAAGGCAAGGTTTAGGTGTTTGAGGGAGGCCAGGGGCTTTGCTCTCATACCCACCCGACGACCTGTCGGTCATAACGCGTTCATGGTGACGCTTCGGACGAGTCGGACGCGTCGCTTCTGAGGCACCAACAAGCATTTAACTGAGCATGAACCCGTGAAGTATGGACGTTGGTGTGGTATCCAATCGCACGATCCTCGAAAGCCATACAAGCATGGGAGAGCTTGCGCCTGCCAGACAGTTGCAGCAAAAGCATGTATTGGCTGTATATACAAATTTGCCTGTCTATGAGGTCGACTTGCCATGTGAGTGCGTAGCAGAAAGTGGCGGCCGTGACCTGCCGAACAGTCGCGCGCGAGTCCTGGGAACCCGGATCCAGGACTCCAAGATGGTGGACCATCGCCCTATTTCAATCCAAAAATGGTGGCAGCGGCATGCCTTCGCCCTCCACCCATGCAGTTCCATCCATCCTCATCAAACCGGCAAACCGACACTATTCCGCGCAAAATATCTCGTGATGAAGCCCAGGCCTGCTGCGCCGCCTGGTAGGTAGGACCCGAAATACCATAGGAGGGCGATGAGTTGTGCAACGCTGGATATAATGGTCAGGACGTATGAATGCCGCTGTGAAAAGGAAAGCTCAGTAAATAGGCATGGTTGGGAAGTGCATAGCAAGGGCCTTTTGTGGAAGGCCATACCCCGATGGAGAAGTAGAGCGTCAACGCCATTGATACGAAGTAGACAGCCGTAAACGGTAGCCGCTCTTTCGTGATGATATGTGAGAAGAACGATCTAGGTCCTGTATGAGACGGTAGGAGTCAGATATGATTGCCGTATTACAGAATCGTATCGGCCCTTGTCAATTCCGCGTACGCAGAAAACCTCACCTTGCAGAAGCGCGAGGCTAATTGCCAACACGATTGATTGAGGTGAGTTTACCATCACAGTACGACTCGGTGCCAAGCAATGTCCAACTTACGCAGATACAGCCAAGATGCTGCCGAGGGTGAAGAGCGAGGCGAACTTGTGAGGACTTAATGGCAAAACCGGTAGACCGAGGAAGAAGGCCTTATGTGGATTTAGGAGCAAGAATCAGTATTGAGACCCTGCTTGACCTATCGATTTACTCTTTAGCGTATGTACTTACGATGAAGAAACAAAACACGGCTAGGCCCAGACAGACGACGCATCCCACGAGACGCTGAATTCATCAAAGGTATTAACTAAGCGTCGACCCGTAGCTCTCGACCGATCACATGGGTGGCCTCACCTGCCATCTTGTCAGCCCAAACAGCTCCATTTCTTGCGGCCCTCCTCCCCATCCTAAGTTCGTCCAGGCACCTGACAACGAAACCGGCGTCAGCCTTCGTAGGCGTACCATTGAAGTTTACGAGACTGCAGACTTACTTTGCGTCCGGGTTCGGAAGCCTCCGAGAAGTGACTCTCCTGCCGGGTCGGTTGCAGTCGCAACTGGCCGCGCCCCGGCCGACCCGCCAAATGCCGACGAGAAAGAGAACCCGCCACCTGGCGGCGCTGCGGCACGGCCACCGCCAGAGGCATTGAAGGAGCGGAGAGACTCCCGGAAGTTTTGTTCTGCGTTGTTCATTATTCGTTTTGTAATCAGGCTGCGAATACCGTTCTTGAAGTTGGCGCTTGGCCGCGTTTGCCTTTCCCACTTTTCTCTCAACGTGAGTTGAACTTTACTGATACCAGTCTACAAAAGGAAGCTCTCTCGACAGAGACCTTCACCTCCAAAAGAGCCCTTTTCCGACAAGCTTACCACTCAAACAAAAGCCCACGGAGCAAAGGATACAATGCACGACCACTACGAGACCGACCGCGACAGTCTGGAACACCAGGGAGACGAGCAGTACCACGAGGAGGAAGACGAGGAAGCACCCGGCTTCCTTGACGCCGACGACGTTGCCGAAGAGGTTTACGATGATGAGGACTGCATGGACCAAGGGGATGGCGCTGACGAGGACGAGGGCGAAGAGGGAGAGGACGAGGAGGGTTATGTAGACGATTCTGAGGGAGCGTTCATGCAGCATGGTGGTATGTAGAAGGACGTCTCCTGCTGTTCCTTTCGGATAGGTTCGCGCCTAAAAAGCTTGGGTTCTCATGCTCACTAGTCTCTTCGCCATCATCACAGAACCCATTTACGCAACAGCTTTCCACCCTACACACCCGTTTCTCGTGCTCACCGGTGGAGGCGACGACAAGTCCTATCTCTGGCGGGCAGATACCGGTGACGTTCTCGCACAGCTTCCACAACACGAAGACTCAGTGGCAGCGGTCGCATTCAGCCGTGACGGCATGTACGCTGCCTCGGGAGCGCTGGATGGGAAGGTGCATGTCGTCGAGGTCGCTGTCAGCGCCGACGGTACGGTGGGCGAGGTTGGAGCTGCCGGAGAGAGGAGAGGTGTCGTGAGTCTTGATGCTGGAAGTGGGATTACGTGGCTGGATTGGCATCCGCGCGGGCATGTGTTGCTCGCTGGGACGGAGGATGGTACCTTGTGGATGTGGCAGGTGCCGAGTGGGAACTGTATGAATGTGTTTAGCGGGCATGTGGAGAGTGTAACGTGTGGACAGTGGGCTCCTGATGGTAAGTGTTGAGGAGCGCATGTGAGTGCCGCGAATGGTGTTTCCCGGTATCTCCTATCCTCATATTTCATGACAATTCTTAGGCAAATCCATTGTTTCCGGCTCATCCGACGGATCCCTCATTCTGTGGGACCCCAAAGCCGCCACGGCAACACTACGCCTCACCGCCTCTGACGCCCGTTTTCACAGCGTGGGCATCACCAGTCTTGCCATGCACCCTGACGGCCAACTCCTTTTGACTGGCGCCGAGGACGGCACAGCCAGGTTGATTCACGGTGGCAACGGCCGCATCTTGGCGTCCTTTGATTCCCATACCGAGTCCATCGAAGCAGCCGCGTTCTGCCCTACTATGCCGATCGTGGCTACTGGAAGTGTCGACGGTAACATTTGCCTTTGGGACACCCAGGCGATGAGATTGAGGCAGACGTTGCGTCATGATGTGAGCTTCCGATTTCAGGTTTGCCCGTACACGTTTCGATCTTCTCACTAACTGACATCCGATTTCCCCCTCTCATCCCAGGACGCAATCACCTCCCTCAAATTCCACAAAACGCAGCCCCTAATCTACAGCGTCTCCACCGACCGCACAGCCCGCGTATGGGACGCACGGACGGGCGACTGCCTGCGCGTACTGAGAGGGCATCGCGAAGGGATCCTGAGCTTCGACTACAACGTGGACGGCAGCGTGATTGTCACGGGCGCGGATGATGGGTCTGCGAGGGTTTGGGGATTGCAGTGATGGGCTGTTGGGCAAGCAGATAGGATAGACTAGATGCTGGGCTCCTCCAGTCTCCGCGTAGTACGAATGGACGTTCGCAGAGCATTCACCGGGAATTACTTTTTTTGTATTTTACTTACACACATCCATCAGCTATATATATGCCGTCTAGAGCAATCTTCGTACTGGCGTGCTTGCTAAGATGTCCTTCGTTTCATTCACACCGTGTTAATCATAATCACCGTCTTGGCCATTTTGCGGGAGAACGTGATGGGGATCAGACTTTGGCCTCTTCTTGAGTCTCCAGGCCAACGTCACATTCACTTGGTGCAAGTGAATCCCATATCAAATCACCCCAAGGACGATCGACATCAAACGAATCACCGACGTTACGTCCAGTGTGCGTTCCTCGGGCTCACCTCGCCTTTCAAGAAATTCTTCCCATCTCCGCCTGTTGCCGTAGTTCACATATTACTGATACACCCTGTCAAAGGAAAGAAGTGTCCGTGAGACCAGGTCAAAGGATGATAAGATTGACTACGTGGAGAATCCCAAAACGTGGAGAATCCCAAAAAAAAACGAGAAATATGCGTAAGCGATGGGAAGTGGGTAAGCAAATGCAAGTATGAGGTATCAAGTATGCTCCGCCCAGGAAAGACTGACTGATAGACGAGCAAACAAATATGCAAAGTGGAGGTGATATATGGTGGTGGGAACACAGGTGACCCGCAGAAGGTTCTCAAATTCCCACAATGCCGCCAACCCGCGTTGGGGGCTGCATAGGGATAGCCATAGCAGCCGTTTCCTGGATCGTCATTTCCTCGATTTGGCGGGCCAGGGTGCGCATATTATCCTTTGTCGGCGCAACAAACGGTTGTTCGTAAATGTCCATTGCTATGGCTTCGTCGGATGAAGGCGTTGGAGATGATGTTGCTGCGGGGAGAGGGGAGGCGAAAGGTTGGGGTATCATTTGGGTGGATGTGGTGGGGCCTGTGTGGTAGTTCTGTGGTATGGGAATAGTGAACAGTGTCTGAGTTTGCTTTTGTTCACTGGCGGACATTTCGAACACAACTTACGGAGACGGCGCAGAAGCCATAGCAGCCAGAGTCTATCCAAGGCATGATGAGCTATGAGACGTTCGAGAGGGGCGAAGAAGGCAGTCCGGACTATTGGGAGGTACAAATGCGGTTTGGTCGAGCGGGGATTTGGTTGGCAAGATGTTGGATGGAGGTGAGAAAAACGAGCCAAGAATCGGAGAATCGGAGCAACGATAAGAACCCACGCACAACTGACAGCGGCGGGCCTGCGGCCAAGACCGATGAGTGACGGCGAGAACGCGGCGCATGCTCACGTCAGCAGTGACAGTATGTTCGCTGGTCACATCGCCGGAAATATGTTAAACCAGAATGATTTTGAGTGGTCTCTCCTGAGAAACCATTTATGGAGCAAGGTAGCGCGAAGTTCGAGAGAAAGAACAGGATTCTGAACATGCCTCGGCAGTGCAACTTATCGTTGCCGGTAATCGTGAAGTTGCTCGGAGCAAGGCAGGCAGGCCTCTTTTCCATGTTACGTTTTCATGTTAGCGGCCCATTCGCGATCTAATCACAGTATGTACATGTGCACCAATTGAATCCGTCGGGATAGCGAAGAAAAACTTCCCTATTATCCCTCGTGCCATAATTTAGTTTCGATTTTTTGTAGTGCGTGAAGCACGCTGTTTTTCGAGTGTCTGCGTAGTGGAGGGAGAGGTTAGCAGCAGCTATATGGCAAAGTCTTCCTCCCTTATGAATTGTGGTGACTTACCTGGACATCGTAATGGAGTTTCCGATCTTCGCTAATTGTTGAACGTCGTTGCACAATGCCTCGAGGGTTGGAAATCGGTTTGAAAGGCTGACTCAACTCACCCTGCTGTCATTTTTCGCGCTGTCACTTTTTGTGAACCGGATTTGCGACGAAGGAACAGAGAGAACCGTGAATCTTGATCGAGGTCTTACAGAATGTGGATTCCAAATACCATACGATATTCTTCATTTGACAATGTTTCATGAAATGAGGGTTCGCTACTAAATGACGCTTACAAAGTTGAACATATGTGTACGCCGTCATCCGCTTCCCTACCCCAAGTAAACCCAGAGCGGCATAGGAAAAATGGATGTGCGCGAGCCGGGAGCAAATCCTCATAGTCATGCTCGCGGGACGGTTCCCCTGCGGTCGGCGCTAGTCGTATCGGGATCGAATCACCGTGAAATCAAGTGAGCATCGTGACGTCGGACGGCAAAGAACATGTTTGCAGCACGGGCCCGGGATACGCACATCGCGATGTAAGTAGCATAGGTTTCATCATCGGCTCTCGGCTTCCTGAAGAGTATCTCTAGAACGCCGCCCCGATTGTAATTCGCCAGCTCGAGCATCCCCTGTGCTTCCGCATCGTGAAAGTTCTTCCGATCCTCTGCTAGGTGGGGAAAGTCGAAGCACGCGCTTGGGATTGAGTAGTGCCGAGTACTCCAGTGAGTTCGGTAAACCAATATCGGGGGATACCACTCGGTTGGGATGGAGGCCATGCAATAGTGGAATGTGATGTAAGACAACGCATAGCCATACGCCAGGGAAGGTGGTACAGAGCTTCACTCCTCGGATGGCATCTGATTTTGAGGAGGGTGCCGCCAGGGTGTGGGCATCTGTCCTTTATTATTCAATACATCCGCGGGGCTACTCTATGCGTTCGCAGGTTCCTCTCCACGACAGTAGGCGGTGGAGAATACCACCCTCCTAGTTCCAATGGTCATGCGCCAGAACTTGATAGTTGTCCTGCGTCTCTATCTGCCAAATCAAGACCATCTATTCTGATGTCTGATTTTTGCAACTCATCGATGCCAGCGCTGGCCCCAGTCCGGTTGCCTTGCGCTCCTCCCTCTGACTTGCCCGTCGCATTTCCCTCTCCATTAGACTGGCCATCAATCGTTTCCCTCGCTGCGGCCTTTTCTTCCCCCTCTTGCTCCTTGAGGCTCTCAACATTGTTAGCGGCCGATTCAACCAACAACGCGTCGATCTTCTGCATGAGCGAGTCGGTCCTCGACTCTAACTGATCTAAGGCTCCATTTGCAGAATCCTGGTCATTCGAAAGATGAGTGTAAGACGGCTGTGTGCACAGGCACTATTAGTTACTCAACACCGAGGAACCCACCATTTGCTGTAATAGACCCGCTATGTCTAGGGAATCGATATCTGTTACTGAATCTCCGATATTCAGCGTGGCGAGCATGTCTTGTAAGGGGGAAACGGACAGTGAGTCGTTTGTCATTTCTTGAATGCTGCCAGGTGCGTATATGATTGGGAACTTGAGAAGTTCGATGGTCAGTCGATGGTATGAGAAGTTTGAGGTGAAGTCTGTTCGATTTGACGCAGACGCGCTCGGATCGACTGGCATGCCCAACTGGTAAGGAAAGCATGTTCAGGAGCAGAAGGAACGATCAATTATGCCACCCCCACTCCCGAATTCAATTGGAAGTAATCTCTGAAGACACAGGATGTTTGTCCAACGGTACCAAAAATAAGATGATATTGCAGATATATATGATGTAAAATATGGTACGCCCGCTCGCTGCCATCCTCAATTCGCTGATGCCTCGCATCCATTTAGGCTCATGATATCGTCACGTTCAAATGCCAGCTGAAATGATCACGCCGCCCGAACTCGTTTCCGCCGCCTCGCGCCTCCAGCCCCACCACTTTCTACATGTCCCTCTTGATCGTCAATTTCCATCGCCTCGGAATCCCTCCTGCGTTTCGATCGACGAGGAGGCGTTTGTGGGTTCGGAGTTGACGTCGGCTTAGCGCCTGCTGGATTGGCCATATCTTGATCCTGAGAAATGCCGGCAGCGGTCCCCTCTGCCTCTCCCTCATCTTCCGTTGCCCACCCTTCAGCATCGCCTTTCGCAGCGTGGTTAGCCGCCTTGGTGTCTAGTCCGGTCTTCCCAATGCCTGCATCAGTCGCCTTGCCAGTCCCTTCAAGGCTCCCCTTCTCTTGTACGGGTGTAAGTCTGGGTCCACCTCCGCCTCGGCCCTTCGTTCCAACGCGTGGCTTTGGCAAAGGTTCCGCCGCATGTCTTTGATGTCGTTCCAGGGGATCATCCATTCTGCGCTGACTGGTCGGTAGCAATATTTGCAACCTCGCCCTTGCGGAGCTCAACACGCTGTTCGGTACTCCTGCTAACCGTGCGGCATTCAACATCGACTCCCAGTCCATGAGAAGCCCACTGAGTTGGGAGCCGGGGATTCGATCCCTACGGGCCTTACGATGTGCTTTGGTTACCAGCTTCCCGTCCGGCAGGCTGTTGTGTCGTATGCTTTGTATGGCATGAAGCAAGCGGTCGACAGTCGCATGTGCTTCGTTGACCATGGCCCTTTTCTCAACAGCGGTTGGTTGGTGGTAAAAGCTATAGCTGCTTGGTAACCGGCTTTCATCCTGAGGCTCCGAGATTTCCTCCCTCAAGATGCGCTCGCTTGTCCAGACTTGCTTAGCAAGGACTCCTAGTTCCACGCGTAAGCTCTCCGCAGCCTCGTTCTCTACAATCTCGCTGTTCCCTGCTCCGTCCCCTGCCAGCTCTGGCGCAGGCCAGTTCAGATTCACCTCGCCTTCAGGTCCAAGGTCCTCCCACTCCTCATCAGGCGCCTCCGTATACCGTGCACAAAGCGGGACCCTCTCATAAACTGTGGGCCACATTCCACGCCTCTGCAACAGCGCTTGAAACTTCTCGTCCTCGAAAGGTTCGCCAATTGCTATCCGCGCCGTATCGTCAAACGCAGAGTTTGCCACACCCATCACGACGGCGCGCAAATCGTTCAGCCATGTCTGAGGATGCCGAGTGATGTACTTGTGCCGGATTGCCTCGCGCACGTGGAGTGGGATGTGTGCCAGCTCAGAATTCTCACTCAAGCGACTTGCGAGCATCCGTGGACTTGCCGGTCCAAGTGACGGCGACGGTACCGGAGTTGCATCTCCATAACCACTGCGAGACGGAGTCGAATATCCGGAATTGTATCCCGTCCCGAACTGCACCCCTTCCATCATGCCCTCTCTGTCCGTGTCTTGAGCGACGCTAAGCCCCTCTTCGTCGAAATCAGAGGTGTCCGAGTCATCTTGGACGGGAACATAGGGCGAGTCGGTGTCAGCATCAAAGTGGAACCCGGTGTAAGGACCCCACGATGAAGATGAGGCTCCCGAGACGGGCTGAGTGAGTGGTGCTGACGAGCTATACAGTGACATGGCCAAAAGTCCCTTCCTCTGTCTTTCTACTATGCATAACTAAGGGCTAATTGAAGAAGTGCCAACGGCGAAGTCGAAGCACAGCTAAGCACAGCGACTCCGCGAGTCTTTCGAACTGTTCGCCTTTTCGCGTTTGTGAATACTCGCTTCTCATTTCCAGAACAACCAACACCCTGTATCGGACCACGACGCCGCTTACGATGGACTCACCTGCACTCCCCTCAACCGGCGTCAGCTCGCAGGTCACCTCCAGCTTCAGTCTGGACCGGCCGCCAACAAAGTCTCGCCGAAGAACTCCGCGAAAAAGCTCAGCAGGTCGACCATTGACCTCCGCGTCGACAAGATCCTCTCGGCGTCATGAGGGATACTACGTGGTCGCAATCAGTGAGGGCCGGGGTGTGGCCTCGGAGCTCGGTTTGGCTGCTATGGACTTGAGAACGAATGAATGTCTCCTCTATCAGGTTGGAGAAATGGGAATTGGTCCGTGGGAAAATCGGAGCAATTCTCACGTCTCTGGGCACGCCTTAGTTTGCAGACTCTCAGACTTTCACGAAAACGGTGCATAAGCTGTGCATCCTCAATCCCGCAGAGGCATGAACCTGCACTTCGCTATCTATTCGCTGGGAATCTATGGCTCAGGCTGTTTCGTTCGCAGATCCTATTGTCCTTCACCTTGATAGAGCCTGTGAAATCCAAACTTGTCACAGCGATCGGGGAAAATCTTCCAGATGTCGATTTGGTGCCGGTGTCTAGGAAGAACTTCAACGTCTGTAACTCTTTCTCTGCCAGCGTGTGCCCAGTATATTCTCATCCATGTGCTCTTCAGGACAATGTTGGATTGCGCTACATTCAGCAGTATGGCGTGGCTGATGACAACAGAAATTTCATGCTGGGACTGTCATCCAAGTGGGATCTTCTCAGCGTTTTCGACTTTTGGATGTTACCGCTCACGTAAATTCCATTCAGATTTTACTGTCTTTCCGCGGTGGCCGCCCTTATGAAGTATTCAATCGACATCGAATATGAATGAGCGATGGATGGAACTCACCTCTTTCGCAACAGATACATCGAAAATATGCAAAACATCTTGTTTGCCAATCAGTCGATCCGTTTCAAGTTTCAAGTAATAGAGGGGACTATGATGATAGGTATCGGTCGACCTCGGCTGAGCTCTCGAGCTTTGGATGGGGATACGAATGTCTATTGACAACTCCTGTGTTAGATCCCAGCACCGCTAGGAACTTGGAGTTGACGCTCAACTTGACAAACCCGAAGAGCACGCAAACTCTATTCGGTGTACTGAATCATACCTGTACACCCATGGGAGGTTGGTCTCTGGAGCCTATTGGTCGCCACCCTATTGGACTGATGAAAGACATCGTAGCTCGCCTCTTGAGGATGAACATTCTGCAACCGCTTTGTGGTATGCCGACGATGCATGGGTTTTTTTTTTTGCTGTTTCTGTCGATTCTTATCACTGATGGCCACCCTAACAATAAGATCTGGCTACTATAAACACACGACTGGATGCTGTTCAAGGTGGATCTATAGTTCTTGCTGTACCTGCTCATTATCTGTGATCTAATCGTTCCATCGAAATTCTAGAGCTTACCCAGCGGGAGGTATGTCTTCGAGTTTCCCACGGCGGTGGCACCTTAGCTCACTCTTTCATTAGGGAACTTTCAACGCCTTGCGAGCGGGTTAGCTCGGTCTGCTTATCGGCATTGATGTTAATCCTGGTCTGGCTCACTCCTTCTTGTACAGCATTGAAGAACTCACTGGATTGCGACAATCTCATTACTTCGGTGCGGACGGATTGCTCATCAATTTCCTGATCCGGCCTTCCTAATCATACTTTCATCAGTTGGTGCAAGTTCCGAAAAGCCCACATCTGCGCCATGCCGAGTCCGCCATCAACAACGTCATCGCATTCAAGTATACACTCAAGCTGATCGAGTCTGTTGTCAGCGCGGCGGACGGTGGTGACAACGCCCTACTACTTGCCATCGTGAAGGTGCGATTTTTCCGTCAAGCTTCGTTCTGCAGAGAATGATAGTTGAGATCAGATTGTATTACTGGGCTATACAGACGCTGAGTGATCCCGAGCTGACTGAACTAGCCCAGCGACTCGATGAGGTGGTCAATGCGGATATCACCTATCCGAAAAGTGCAATGGGACTGCGACATCAACGGTGCTACGCAGTGAAGGTGAGGGCGATGAAGATCTTGCCTGAGATTTTTAGCGGAGACAGCTACCTAACCTTCCTTCTGTTCCCAGGCTGGATTTAATGGTCTTCTTGACGTTGGTATGTTGGAAGGAATCTTTGATAATGGCAAGGATCTAATAATCTGCTTAGCGAGACAAACGTACCGAGAGACCACAAATGATGTGTACGATTTGGTCACGTCATACTCAGGTATGCTTTCCCTAGGACCTCCCTAGGACCTTGTGGTCAACGATTAACCAACTGCGTTTCACAGAGAAACATGAAATCAACTTTCGAGTCGTGTACAATGCATCCCTCGGTTTCTACATCACCGCTTCGCGTGAAGAGCTCGGGGCTCGTGACTTGCCCTTGGAGTTTATCAACGTGAAGATGAAGCGCAAGGTCCTGGAATGCACTACGTTGAAATTGGTAAGCACATCATGCATCGACATGGCTGAATGATGGAACTCAGTTGCGAACATGACCAAATGGTACCAAAGCTGAGTCACAACGACCGGATTCAAGAGTCGTTGACGGAAGTGTATCTGATGTCGGACAGGTAGTGGCACGTAGCGGTGGAATGAGAGGGACAGTGAACGCGCTAACACATTCTGTCAGGATCATCGCCGAGCTGATTGACGACATACGCGGGAAGGCAGGAATACTGTTCAGAGCGTCAGAGTCGCTCGCTTTGTTGGACATGCTGCTCTCGTTCGCCCATTCCTGCACGATTAGCGATTGTGGTATGCGTCTCTTCAAACCCCGCTCGCTGATGGTTATGCTCATACTAGCTCCGTGAAGTCCGACCGGAGTTCACAGACACCTTGGCCATTAAGAATGGACGGCACCCAGTGAAGGAGTCCCTGGGAATTGTTCCCTTCGTGCCGAACGATATCTTTGCGAGCGAGGCAGCGAACTTGCAAATCATTACTGGACCGAACATGGTATGGGTTTCAAAGCGCTTCGCTCGTCTGCACGAAACGAATCTGATCCTCTTGTTTTGAAGTCTGGGAAGTCGACGTATTTGCGACAGATCGCATTACTCACCGTCATCTCGCAGCTTGGCGCGTTCGTGCCGGCCGAGTATGCGTCGGTCAGGTTGACAGACAAGCTGTTCTCCCGGATTGGAAGTGATGATAGTTTGGAGGTGAGGACAGTGCAGCGCTCGATAAGCATATGCCCGACTAAGCTCTCGGTCATGATTTCAATCAGGCCAACTGTTCCACATTCATGCTGGAAATGAGAGAAACTGCTTTCATTTTACAAAACGTTGCAAGTCGAAGCTTGATCATCATTGATGAGCTTGGTAGAGGTAGGTCCTCCTATCTTTCCTTTGGCATCTCGATCAAGCCCTGACCAATAGACGTTGTCAGGCACTTCTACAAACGATGGACTCGGAATCACGTTCGCGGTCTGCGAAGAACTTGCGAAAACGCAGGTACGGCGCTCGGCGGCGCAGATCTCACTGTTCGTTTCAAATGAAAACTGACGCTTCATCTTCCTCCGTCAGGCTTTCACATTCGTAGCGACCCATTTCCAGGAACTCGCAGCCGTCATGGAAGTGTACCCCAACGTCGTCAATCTTCATTTGCACGTTGAGGTGAGTCCCTTCGTGTCTTGGATATACCCGCAGAACATTTTTACACCCACTTTGCAGATGGACGAAACCGGAGCAAACAACCCGCTGAAATGCTCATACACTGTCCGTGACGGGATTTCCAGCGAGTTGCATTATGGTGAGTGACCACTTGAGATGCACCTACGGGAGAACATATGCTTTACGGTTCCTTTCCCTCCTTGCAAGGTTTGAAACTCGCTCAGAGCGCCGGCCTGCCTCAGGATATACTCACCCGCGCGACCGAGATCTCTCGGGGGGTAAGTGCACCCCTCTCCAATCCACAGCAGAACGCATCCTTACCACCTCTACTCCCCGCATCAGCTAAAAGCAAAAACAACCCAAACCCGCGCCCAAAACCGTGCCGCAATCTTCGACGCCGCCCAACGCGCTGCCTTACAACTCACACGATGCCTCATCCAGGCTCGCAAGACGAGTACCCTGCCGGAGGCGCAGTTGAGACTGTATTTGGGGTCAATTCAAAAGGAGTTTGCGCCGTTGACTCAGCCTTTGTTGGATGTTGGTGACGGAGGTGGTGATGAGAGGATGGAATGAAGGCGGAGACGGCGTACATTGAATCGGACCTATTAACAATCCAGAGTGGTCGGTGGGGTCGTTGTTTCTTGGGTAGACTGGACGTGATAACACGGTGCACTTCAGAACGAAGGAAAGATAGCCCATTGAAGTTGACAAAGGCTTCGTTATGTCATTCCGATTCGGGCTTCTAAACGGCTGGGGAGACTATTTCTCGCGCTGCAACGTTGGGTAAGGTGCATATGACAGAATCACACATCCGGGGACTTCGTCCGAAAACGCGAAACTGACGCGTAATTTAGACCAGAGATTGAGATCCTTCAGATGGGGGAACTGGCCGAACGAATGCCGTCCGCCCTTGTTATCAGTCCGTCCGAAAAACGCGAACCTGACGCGTCGACTCCGCTTTAGTCCGTTTTCGCGTTGCCATCGTCTTCAGAGGATGCGCAAGGGGTAGCGACGATATCGGGAGGAGAGGAGACGGGGGTGTATGCATCATGCTTACCTGTTCACTTCAGTCCCAAACTGCCTTTGAACGGAAGCGGAGTTGAACGGTCAGCGATCGTGTGCCCCATCGAGAATTTCGGTCGTGGCTCATTTGATGTCCCTCCCTGCATTCCAACCGGGTGTGCGTTTTGAGCTTCCCTAGCTTCTAACGCAGTTGTTCGAATACGCGAAGACTCGCGGTTCTTGGCATTTCCGGAAACGGGACACCGCGCAGGAGGACAGGGGGGAAGTGCGGCGTGATTATGGGGGCAACCGTGAAGCGAAAAGGAGGCAAGGGATATATAAGCATGTGAATACTCTATCCTGACGGGTGGTCCACGGGACACGCCGCCTCTGCGATCGGGTCGTATTGAATCACTTGTACATGTAGAAATGAGGGAATGAGGGACAAACGCGAAAGGAAGCCAGGTTATGGTATGTTGCTCAGTTGGCGGTGGAGGGGCTGACATCCTTTCGTTTCCGTAAACCTCCCCGCACTGAAGGAAGAAAAGGGCTCAAGCCATCCGTCAAGACAGAACCGCCATCCCACTTTCTGCATCTGGTGTAGTGCAGAGTTGCATGTTATTGTCTTCTCATTTCCGTTCTTGGTCTCGTACGGTATTCCACAAAAAACGGCGGAAACATATTTCTGATGTCATCACGCAAGCTGATCTTTGTTCCCAAATCCCAAAAAAGAAAATACTATATAAACAAAAGTACACGGTGATTCCAGGTATCCGGAACTCAACTTTCAATTCTTCGCGGGTTCCGGGTGCACTTGTCCATCCACGCCTAATTTGGTCTGAGCGGTGGCTGGTGCAGCCCCACCCGCGCTCGGCAGCGCAATGGGCGCATACGTCGCCACAGTACTCGTCGGTGTCTCCCCTCCAACATTTCCACCATACTTCCTCCCCTCAACATCCCCCCAACTCGGCTCCAACGGCCTACACATGGTCCAGCACCAATCGGCACACCCCCCACCCCTACTCCACGGGCTCACATCCTCCCTCTGATGATCTGATTCCCATCGCACGCGCTCACGGATCTGCTCGTGGGTCGTGAAGGCATTGCAGGAGATCCAGGTGTGGTAGCAGGACATGCCGAGGACGGACCAGCCGATGATGGCAGTGTAGAGCATGAGGGCGAAGTTGGCGGGGCGGTGTTTTACCGCGCGCCAGAAGCCGGGGGGTGGGAGGGTTGAATCAGGGGGTAGGGTGGAGAATGGTGATGATGTGTAACCTAGGCGGTCGAGGAGTTCGTCTGATTTGTTTTGGCCAAGGAGGAGGAGATCGGCGAGACAGAAGGCGAAAATGTACGTGGCGAGCATCGAACAGAAGAAAAGGAAACCGTAGAAATATCTGTAGTTTCTGCGTCCGACGCAGTTGGCCATCCACGGGCAGTGGTGGTCGTGGTTTTCGACGCAGCGGTCGCAGGTGCTGCAGTGGGACGCGCGCGGGGTGCGCCAGCTGCCGCAGGTCTGGCAAAATTTGACCGTGCCGAGGCGGGAGCCGTCGGGGCCGATTGGGACGGTGTGGTTTTCGGGGTTGTAGGGCAGGGGCGGGGGGGAGGTTGGGCGGGCGGAGGAGGCTGTTGTGGGGCGTGTGGAGGGGGAGCCGGTGGTGGTGGGGAGGGGGTTGATTTGTGAGTGTGTGATGAAGGGGTACCCTTGTGGGAGAGGGGAGTTGAAGCGGGCGGCCGGCGGTGGTTGCGGGGTGACGAGACTGTTTGGCTTTGCGTCGGAATGTTTTGAGGATGGGGGTGATGAGGCCGGACCCTCACCTATGTTGATTGTGACGGTATTATTGGCCTGGGTATTAATGGCCTGCTGCTGTGGTGGGGGCGGCTCGTTGACGGCGTTGCCGATGGCTTCCGGTTGCAAGTTCTTCGGAATGTATCCTGGATCGGTGAAACTCGTCCGCAGATATAGTGCGATTGTGAAGCCCCACAGCCATGCGAACGCCACTGGGACGGCGGCGTTGAATTCTCGGGTCACATGCGGTAGACTGCGGTGAAACGACCGGTCAGCGAAGCTTCAGAATGACAAGATCTGGACTTGAGGAATATCTTACGTATAGACTGAGAATATGACACATGCCACCACAATCAAGATGATGCCAACAAAGAAGATGCCAGAGTCCTGTTCGAGAGCGTAAACGTCAATAAGAATGCGAAATGGTAAAGCGAAGGTCCCTCATAGTAAGAAAGAGCAAGGCGGAGCGAAGGCTGGGCGAGCGAAGCGACGGATCGTGGGACGCTTTGAGAGGTGGACGAGTACCAAAGCCGGCCGTTCGCTCTCGATCACAGTTCAAGACAGGGACTCGCTAACGCTCGCGCAAAATCAAGACCGCTCGCTGTTGCTCACATTTACTGCTCGCTGCCCCTCGCACATTCACTGCGTTCGTCCTCAAGCATCCCATGCGCCTCGCTTCGCTCGCGGCCGCACCCATTACGCTCGGGCTCCGATCCTCACCTTTCTCATAAATATGACTCTCCACAAAGGCGTTTTTGTAACACGTTTATTCGACCCCTGCCAATTATTTTGGTGTGTATGGGGTTGAACAGCTTCCGGCGGAATGGGCAGAGAAGATGCGGCAAGCGGGGCTTTGGATGACTGATGCCTCATTCCTAGCACTGAACCTTCCGTTTCCTCGTCTTCATAGTCATCGTGGGTAGCGTTTTCGACGTGGGCCGATAGAGGAGACGCTATTACCGGTGTGTAACCGTTTGAGGGAGGCGGGGTTGGCAGAGGGACGAGTGCAGGCGGAGGGGGCATTATGGAGGTAGTCGAAGTGGAAGAGACTAGAGAGGATTCCTCTGGTATTGCGATGGACGAAGAAGACTCTTGTCGCCTGTCGGTGAGGGAGTGGAGGGCCAGCATGTGGTTCTCGGGGCCGCTGGGAGACCCCGACGGACTTGGCAAGTCGGACGACATTATTGCACTTGGCGAGTTCTAGTTCAGTCACAAGGACGATCGAAGGTAAGCGACAGACAGCGCCCAAGTCCAGGAAGAAACCGACAGCCCCAGAGCGGGAGGGAGCGCTCGCTGGTTAGCGTTGGCAGACAAGCCGGGGGTTTCGCAGATGCTGAGCAATGTTGGAAGGACGTTTCTGGAGCAAGCGGTCGACGTCACAACTTACTGTAGTAACTTCGGGTTTATATGTGTTTCTTTTGCCTTGTCACGTGGGCTGGAATAGAACTCGGACGCCCGATCAATTACGGGCAGCCAACCACAGAAGGCCATCCGTCAGTCCGTCAAAGCTTGCGGCGGTCCCGCATTGACATTAGGACACTCCGCGAATTCAGTGCCGACTGCAGTCGCATCCTACGAACCTCACTAGGAATCCTATCTACAAAGGGCGGCTGTATCTCTGCAGGAAGTCTCTCCGGCAGGAGTTCATACTCACTATATCCAGAGGTCAGTCATGTCTAGTGCTGAGATCACACGTCCTTCCCGCGCTCATATTCCAATGTCGCAACTTGCATCTTGAACCTCTGAATCGCTTAGAAGAGCTCGGGGTCACTGCCCGCTTTCTGCAAGCAACATGGCTCAATACGCATACGACGAGACGGGTGCCGTCTTCAACTACTTTGTCTTGACCGTCCTCGCTTTCGTCCTCTTTCCGTACACTTTTTCCGGACTGTTTTCAAGAGGAAACGGTGGGAATTTGCGAGGGAGCATTGTCTGTGAAATGGGGCGTTGCTGATAGTCCCCAATTCTGTATTTGCGAATAGGTGCAACGGCCGCAGATGGGTGCAACTGCGACCAATGTCAGCAAAAGCGCGTCCGATTAGCGCTTGCAAAGAAGAAGGAGACCCCTCTGATATCGACGAGGTTCATCCTCCTGGCCCTTGGATGGACGCTCTTCGGATTCGTGTTATACTCGGCCGCCACCACCTCACTCGAAGAGAAAGGGATTTGGGATCCTTACAAGGTCCTCGGATTGGAGCCTGGAGCCAGTGTTGAAGACGTGAAGGCTGCCAAAAGAGGGCTCTTTTTCAAATATCATCCGGACAAAAACCCTGACAGGGAGGAATGGGCAGCAGAGCAGATGGCGGAGGTCAACAAGGCTCTGAAGACGTTGACGAACGATGAGGCTCGCAAGAACTGGGAGGAGTGGGGTCACCCCGACGGCAAACAATCCTTCCAGCTTGGGTTGGCGTTGCCCAAGTGGCTGGTGGAGGAGTCCAACAGCTTCAAAGTTCTGTTCGTCTACACCGCCGTCTTCATGGTTCTCTTGCCGGCTTTGGTGGTACGTTAGGGATACGCCGCGTAGGTGGGTCGGGGGGCCACAGCGCTCACATACCCCTTTCCAGGCACGCTGGTGGAGCAAGGCGAAGGTGATGAACAAGGATAAGATCCTGAACCCGACAATGGGGAAATTCTACCGGGACCTGAAAGCATCCATGGGCTTCAAACGTGAGTGGGAATTTGCTTTGGGGGGGCGAAGATTTCGATGCGGAGACTGATTACGACTGTTGGAACACGCCAGCTCTGATGGAGCTCATCGCCAAGGCGGACGAGTTCTACACGACCATAAGCTTGGACCCGCGGGACAATGCCGCGTTGGAGAAGGTACTAAAGACAGACCATCTGCCTTCTCTCGAAAGACTTCTAACGCGCATATCACCCAGCTGAACGCCAAAGTCAAAAGCGTGATGGAGGAAACAACATCCGACAGGTGGAACAAGAAGGTGGGGCCCGCACAGTCACCTTTGCTCACCCTTACTCGACTCCATGTACTAAATCATCCTCAAAAACAGGTTGGCACAGCAAAGGACGCGGCAACAGCCATGCAGCAGAAGGTGTACCTCCTGCTGGTGTCGCACATGCTTCGAATCGTACCCTCGGATGCCAAGCTTGCCAATGGTATACTCATCTGGAAAAAAACCTGCATGATCTGTTGTCAATCACTGACGTGTACATGTATGCTGTCCCCACAGAACAAAGGATCGTCGCCGAGACCAGCGCCACGCTTATCGGCGGCCTTCTGCAGATTGCGCAGTCGCGCCAGTGGCTAAACATTGCGCTGGCGGTTGTTGATTTGGGTCAGGTATTTATTGGCAGCAGGGGTCCAGGGGTATGCGATCACGGCGGAATGTGGGAAGTTTACTTACCACATTATTCCCACAGATGATCTCTCAAGCGCTGTATATCCACCAGTCGCCGATTTTGCAACTGCCGAATATCACAGCTGATAAACTCAAGCACTTCAAATCGAAGAAGGTATTGTTCTTTGCGTATTGGGTGCGTGGAAGTTGCACGTGGAAGGGGGCATACTGATATTGTATTGAAATTTGCAGCGAGAGGTCACGACTATCCGGGATTTACTGGAAAAGGACGAGAAGGAACAAGCGCGACTGCTTGAGTTCTTGTCTGAAGGGGAGAAGGAGAAGACTCTCTCTGTTGCCGAACAGTACCCTTTGCTGAGGATAACGAAGGCGAAGTTTTCAGGTAGGAAAACAGGGATGGACGAGAATTCGCAGTATGGGGGCAGATCGCTAAACCCACATCCCCAGTCCTTGGCGAGCCCGCGATCATACCCAATGCCATCGTCACCCTCATCGTCAAACTCGACCTCGCGAGCCCCTCCGAGATCCACACCGACATCAAACTCTCCGCCTCCACCACCCCCGAAGACGACGATGAAGACGACTCCAAAGAACCCTCCGTAAACTGGTGGGACACCTCCAAACCGCCCACACGGATCGCCCACGCGCCGTACTACCCGACCGAGAAGCGGCCCGTGTGGTGGATCTATTTCGGGGACATGAACCAGAACAGGTTGATTACGGTCGCCAAAGTGAATGATCTGATCAAGGAGAAGGTGGTACGCCTGCAGTTCCAGGCCCCCCCACGCCCGGGCAGCTGGGATTTCCAGGTGTTTGTGAAGAGTGATTCCCATGTTGGGTGTGACGCACTTTGTGAATTGAAGGTACAGCCGCGACGTTTTGGAGGAGCTGCGGTCTTTTCCAAGAGATGACTGATACCTCCCTCTCTATTTTTTCCGCCACAGCTGGTCGTACAACCCCCCGAAGCAGCCCCGCTAATCGAAGAAGACGACGACATCTCCGAACCCGAAGAAGACTCCCTCGCCGGCCAAATGGCGGCCATGAAATCCGGCGGCGCGCCACCCCCTCGCAGATCAAAATCCAACGGGAAAACCAACGGACATGCCGCCGATGACGATGACAGCAGTGACGATGAGAGTAGCAGTGAGAGCGAGGAGGAGGAACGGGCGCCGGTTCGGAAGGGAAGGAAGAAGGAGCGGGAGACGGGCGGGGAGAGTGATTATGAGGATTCGGAGAGTAGTGGGGATGATGAGTAGTGATGCATTCCCCTGTTCCTTGTGAACCCCACCTCGGGCATTTCATACCGCTTGTGTGATTACTTATTCCCATGATGTTTTTTCTTCATTCCATACTTCTGCAGAAACTGTGTATACTTGTCTCTGTGTGTTCTTATCCCATTCATTTTGTTTGATTATCATGTTTTCGAGTGTCTTGGCGATGTGTGGTCGATAAACTTACTGAGACCTGTGAGCGCATTCCTTCCGAGACCTTCGGACCACTTCTAACCTTCCCACTATCACCCACCTGTATATGACCAGCTTCACGTCTCCATCGTTCCCACGCACTCCCCCACCTGCTCTCGCCCCTCTCTGTCAGCTTCACCGCTCTCTTCAACCGGGTCAATTGCGTCTCATCAACCCCATCAAGCACTTCCTCGCGGCCGTGAAAGCCCACTGCTGTGGCGACGAACGTCACTATTTCTGCGGTAGCACGGGCTTTATGTATCCACTGATGCACCTGCATCGTGCATGAGAAGCGGGGCTGAATGGGGTACGATGGGCTAGCCCGCGTTACTTTCTTGCAAGCTTGCGGTCCAGGTCGCTAAAATAGCTTCATCACCTTACCCACAACTCCATCCAAACCCCTCACATCCACCGTACTCAACAGCCACATTCCTACGCACCGGCGCGAGGAATTTGAGCCACAGGTGTGGGGAGAGGGGGGCAGTACGATTAATCAACTGGGCAAAACTGAGTTGCCGGACATTTTGTCCGGAAAGGGATCATCGGTTTTACGCGTTACTTTCGCGTTTTCGGACACCCTGGCCGACCTGGGCCTCTTTTTCCCCGTCCTCATCTCCACGGCCGCTGTACTTCTGAAGACCTCCCAATGGGGCATGCTATCGTTGGCCCGACCGTGGGCATGAAGTCCCTGCCTCACTTTGCGGACATCAGAGCGCGGGCTGAAACCACTTTGTCCGGACTCCATTTCGCGTTTGGTCTGTTGAAACACGGGATTGTTCATAATGAGATCTCTCGCATGGCTTCCCATGAGATACTTTGCTGCTTCCTTTCCTCCAGATCCAAGGTCGCCTCCTGACCCAAGGTCGCATGGGCTCGCCCCCTGGGACAAGCCCGTTTCTGCCGTTGAGACAGTCTCTGACGGTCCACCGGCCAAATCCGTGTCAGTTTCGCGTTTTCGGACAACTGGAACACCCCCATTGCTAAAGCGGGGGTTTCAAAGGTCAAATGCCGTTGATGAGTCACTCTGAACCACCCGCTTGAGTGCGACACGCCAAACCCCCTTGTGCGCAGAAGGAGCAACCCTGGGACTCACACCACCTAGGCTAAGGGGGTCCGTTTCGCGTTTCCAGAGACGCTATGTTTTCATGCGCCACTTTTATTTTTCGCGCGTTTCTGATCTGGTACCATAGTAAAAGGGCCTGATGTTTGACCGCCGCTAATGTGTATGGTACTTCTATTCGGATGCCCTGCTTTCGCGTTTGAGTTGCCCCTCCAGTTCTGTCCATCTCTGGGCTGAAATTTTATCTTACAAACGGAGCGGAGCAGTCCTCGTAGACGACAAGGGGGAGGTGCCCATTAGTTCCGCGTTTCCAGACAAGTTTTGCTCAACGCGTTTCTGTAATCATATACGAGATGTACTCGTCCGACTTGCATTTGGGAAGAACTGTTTTGAGTGTTTTGGGTGTGGGTTTTGAAGGAAGCCGGCGCAGGGAAGCGTACAGCGGAGGCATAACGTGTCAGGCTGGCGCTCACTGCCCTCCACCCGCTTCCCACCCCGCTCTTACCTACCCTCCGCTCCGCAAAAACAGGCCCGCGATTGGAACATAAAGGTGGGCCCAAGCGCCGACTAATGCTTACCTGTTTCTGCGAAACGTGGTTCCTGACCAATCTGAGCCCGACGCGTCAGTTTCGCGTTTTCGGACACGTACCCCGGGATTTCGGACACGTACCCACGGGATTGCGCTATGAAACCACAAGGGGGCGAAATTGAGCCGAATCGCATCACGATTCGTCGGTAGGTGTCCACCTCCTGCATTGCTTTTATGGTCGTGATATGAATATTCCGGGCACGCGATGCGCGGTTTTTCTGGCGGGGTGGGTAAGACTGGGGAGCTTCTACTGTCGAATATGATGAAAGTGATATGCAGGAGGGTTCTTCTTTATCCAAGTCGATTATCTGACCTCACCTGCCCGCCAGTTCGGCGACCACCTCCGCTACACTCTTCATGGAGGCCGCGTCACACTCCTTCGGTGGGCCGCATTTAAGATTTAGTCAGCACCCTTTTTAGGCCTCGGATGCTGTTGACGCTGTTAGGGTGTCACGTACCCCCTGTCTTCCCATCAACGTGGCGTGCGTTGCGAAATATTTCCTCTGGATTTCTTTGTTGCCGGATATCAAATAGAGACATGCAAGGGGGTTGGACGGGTCTTGAAATTACGCCAAACGAGGGGAAGGGTATACACCATGTATATGAGTATATGCAAAACAGTGTGCGTATGTGACCTGTGCAAACAAAGTCGGACTTGATGCACCTCACAACCCCGTCCGCCTCCTAATCATCATCGCCCGATTCTTCCCCCTCCTCTCCCTCCTCTCCCTCCTCGTCTGTCTAGCCCGTTCCCCAAACCGTACCCTAACCCCCCTGCCCTCACTCTCACTCTCGCTTGAATCACTCGAACTCGAATCAGAAGATGACGAAGAAGAAGCCGATGATGATGACGAGCTATGGGCGACGTCGTCCCCTGAATCGTCGTGTAATTTTTTGAGCGTGAAGCCGGCGTTGGCGCGCAGACGGAGACGGGTGCGGTTCCAGGCGGCGCGGCCGGGGGTTACGGATGGTGAGGCGGGGGTGGAGGTCGAGTGCGGGGCGGTGGGGGTACGTGGACCGATCGGGATGGATGTTTCTGGGAAGGGGAACGCTGTAGCTATCGTCGGCGGCGCGGCGGTGTCCTGGAAATGTGCGCGACGAACGGGTGTCGGCGTGGTTCCCAGTTTCGGGCTCGCGGGCGGGGAATGCGTGTGGTGCTCCCCGGGTTGGTTGAGGAGGTTCGCTGTGGACGCGGTGAGATCCCCCGCCGAATCCTCCGAACCATGCTGCTGCAAATGCTGGTGGTACAACGTATCGAGATCCAGCACCGTGTCGCCGCGGGCGGGGACTGGTAGAGGCGGCACGACGAGGCCACCGGTGGATCCGAAATGGGTGTGGCGCGGGGTGCCGGGGACGTCGGTGGCTGGTATCACCAAACTACTCGCTGTCCCCTCTCTCTCCTTTTCGGATTTAGGACGCTCGGCCCAGATCTTCATTGTCATCTTATCGCGTTTGAGTGTTCCGCGGGCGTGGGCGTGGTGCTGCTGCTGGTGTTTCTTCTTCTTCCCGTGCCCTTTTTTATGGTGGATATGATCGTAATAATGCATCCCGCGTAAAAGATCCTTCCGCGTCAATATCCCAACCAGGAACCCGTCATGGTTAACCACCATCACATGCCGCAACCCCAACTGCCTCACCATCCCAAACACCTTCGACGCCGTCGAGTCCTCGCGCACGACCACAGGGGACACATTCGACAGGGGCGTCATATCGATCCGGGTTTGGTCGGGGTCGAAGCCTTGGTCGTCCACGAGGCGTTTTAAGGTTTCTGCTAACAGGTCCCGGTACACGAACCCGACCGGACGGTACTTGATCAACGTCTGCCCCGTCGAGTCCTCGACCGCGAGTTTCTCACACACGGGGAAACCGATGAACCCGGACTGCAGGGCGCTGAGACAGGCCGACAGGCGGGGGTGGGTGGTGATGACGACCAAGTTCCGTGAGCTCATGATCTTGCGGACCGTAATGGTGCGCATGGAGTGGGACGGGTCGGACGGCAGGTAGGGTGTTTTGTTCTGGTGCATCTCGCGGTGGTAGAGGGATTCGCCGAGGAAGGAGGATACCCACGAGGCGGTGAAACAGACGATGATCAAGGCCGGTACCGAGTCCATATCTCCTGTCAACTCCAGTGTTACGACAATCACAGTCAA